GCGACTGTGGAATCCAACCCTCGACTTATACGCCGATCACCCGAGCTCTCACAGTTCACCTAACCATCACAGACGGCTAGTGCTTCTCAAACGCTGCACACATTTAGCTGGAAAGTACTCGAGATTGCGTGGTTGGCACTGTGCCCTTGTTTGAGACTTAATTTGTTTCCTTCTCCTCTCTCAGCCCTGTCGAAGGAACGATTAACGACTCTGTCGTACACCATGGGAGAGGCGACAACATCCACGCTAGTACAGCCGGTCTTTAGGGTGTCTGGCTCTACTCCTCTTGTGCGTACCCGACGACACTTTCCCCGACAGGTTGCCATATTTGTGCCGTCTGCTTCATCGATTATGTGTCGCAATGCCGCATGGGGCGCTCCAGACAATGACGTCATAATGTGCGTTAAACTCAGTGGCCGTGCTAAACGTTGTTCGTCTGTTCAGAGTTTTGTCATGTGTTGATCGATGACAGTGTGAAATGCCACTCGGAGCTTTACAGACGTAGCCGCCCTCTGCTCGTCTGTAATACCAGATGCTTGTACGTTTGTGATAACCTAAGAATCAGAAAGCATATGAAATGCACAAACGTTAAATAACTGTCATGCTGCCCTCCAGTAAGAAATCGTATCTAGAAGTTTGAAAGAGTTATACAAAATACGAAGAGATGGGCACACACAGACAATCACAGCAATCACAGTCACACCCCTACTCCACGGTCCGTAGCCACCTGCTTAGGTATGTTGTTTGTGAAACGTTCACAGTGCCTGCGTCACCTTCGTATGCGGCAACTTCTCAAAACGGCATTCTACATTATAGTTGCTGCCGACCTAAAACTGCAGTGAGACGGGTACAGCTGTCTGAATAAACGATGAATAGTACAGATGTGCCGGCCAGTTTGGCTTGGTCATTTCTGTGTAGTCAAGGTCTTCTCAGCATGCAATAACAGTGGGTCTTACCATGCAAATTCAACTTTGTATAACTGGTTTTAGCTACCAACTTGAATGCCTGGCAAATTTTTACGGCAATCCTTATGTTTGAGCTTAACCACAGACAACCACAGACACCACAGACAAGCACAGGATCGGGTTAACTGGCGGAACATGGGAGAGGCCTTTGTCCTGCAGTGGACGTAGTCAGGCTTATGATGATGATGATGATGATGACAGACGATAGATAATGTTTTAATCTAGGAACAATGAACTGTTTAATTTCTGAACAAGCTCAGTGTCAGTAATATCAGTACAACAACACCTATAGGCTGCCTCGAATATTCGACACAGAACGCGTCGTGATGACAAAATTATTTTGAAACTTGCCGGGCTAAAGGCGTCGTGCGATAATGCGACACACCGTAGCGACTCACTTCGCTCTAATTTTGACCAAATGGGGGTTGTTTAGCAGCGTGCATATTCCGGCCAGACGATAATCCACGATTTCTTCTTTAGCGCAAAACTGCTCCTGGAACAAGGAAGAAAGAAAATCCAAAAAGTGCTTGTGTGCGTCGCATTCTTTCAGTTCATTGTTCCACATATATTTTTTTTCGCCAGAGTAGCAGACATCCATAACGAGCACCTAAATGTAAATACACGGGTGTCACCTGAACACCGCCCGCACCGAAATGCAGCCGCTGTCGCCAGTAATCAAGCCTATGCGTCCTTGATTTATTGATTGATTGATGATTGATTTGTGGGGTTTAACGTCCCAAAACCACCATTTGATTATGAGAGACGCCGTAGTGGAGGGCTCCGGAAATTTTGACCACCTGCTGTTCTTTAACGTGCACCCAAATCTGAGTACACGGGCCTACAACATTTCCGCCTCCATCGGAAATGCAGCCGCCGCAGCCGGGAATCGAACCCGCGACTTGCGGGTCAGCAGCCGAGTACCTTAGCCACTAGACCACCGCGGCGGGGCAGCCTATACGTCCTTGAGCTTAGCATCGCGGCACCGTATACCTCCTTACTTAGCCTGGATATTTCCTAAGTGGAGTATGCAAAATGTTGTTGTTTTTTTTAGGAATTCACCGAGCCCATCAGTCTGGTAAGTGCGATACAACGTACCTTATGTCAGCCAGTTGCACTTGGTACCAGAAAGTTTGCAAGGCATAATTTTAAAGAAAAGAAGCTTAATGTTCCCCGTAGCCCTTGACACATTGTAACATTAGATCTTAAACGTAGTTATTCATAAAATGTGATGTTTTTAGATCTTAAAACAGACCAGAAGTTCACTTTTGTCGTAAAGAACTTTTTCTGATAAGCTTTTAAGGTAGACTGCTCTCTTTACTCATTTTTTTTTCTAAGGCACCGTGCCCTTAGGGTAGTACGGAATACGGGCTGGACTTTTATTCCAGACCCTCAAATTCTACTGAAACTGTAAATTTTATCTTATCAGCATCAATAATCAAAGAGGGAGTTATAATATACCCGATTCACTAGCTCGTGGTAGTGTGGAGCTGTACTTCCTTGGTCCTTGGCAGACTTGTATGCTATATAAACCACTTGAGCAAAAATGAAACTGCCTCTATCAGTTCATTCGCTTTATCTTCATCATTTTCGTGTGTGTAGCTCATGTACACGTTACAACAATAAGGGGTAACTTCGGCAGAATCCGGTGTATTCTCGTTTTCGCCTAGAGCTCGCACGGCCAGGGGGCAGTCCTTGAACGCCACAGAAAAAGAAAAAATGCGTGGACGGCCGTCTCATACTAGGCGCCGGGAAGTCGAGAAAGGCCGATGACTTATTCGCAAACGGAATCTCATCTTCATTTTTTTCGTGTGTTTTTTTTTTTCAGCAACGGTGTTGTTGGCGTCGATCCAGTAGCCTACCTCGTGACCTCATTCTTTATTTGAACTAGGCTACATAGGGTTCCTCAATGGGTGTAGTGGTGCGTAAAGTGTACGTGAGAACGAACAAAAGCTTTACGGCGAATGCGGGACGCAGTCACCGATGACGGATGCTTTCGGCTGCCCACACGATCGACCGTATATAGAGCCGCAAGGGCCATACCTGTGCAAGTCTTTCGTCCACTGTAGCAACTGACGAGTCCTTGTTTGATCCAGCTGAGCGCGAGTCAGTATTTGCATCATGACTCATTGTGAGAAGTACACGACTCATCGCTGACCTTCGTTGAACCTTCTATCTATGGCTTCTGTGTAGATTATGACAATGACCACGGCCAAGACTTACCGGCTGTCGAAGCAATCGGTGCTCGTGACGAAAGCTGCGATATTTCCCTCGAAACCTGTCCAGCTCCGAGTCAATGAATGAACGAGAAACAACTGGTGGGAAAGTGAATAATCGTGTTTTTTTTCCTACGATGAGAACTAATCGCTGGAGAGTCTCGATGGTGTCACCTTGTTTTGACGTCATAATTTGCCTCCCATGACAGGGTAATTATCACACATCTTGTTTTTTTTTCTGTTCCCTGTGCACTGCGTGCTTTCGTCTCACGTTAAGTGTCAACGCTTTTGAACACCCCTACATAATCGGTTGCGCTGTGCGATTGCTTAGACTTCCCTTGATACAGGTGAGGATAGTTCGGCGCCCTTCTTAACAATCTGATAAACAGCTTCTATGGAGAGCGGTGAAGTCTCGCATGCGGCTCAGCGCCGAATCGCATTGCAATACGTGCGTGAGCAAAACGTGGGGGTCACCATTCTCTTTTCGTGAGCTGTGGTTATTCCACCCGTCCATGCGTCGTCTTCTTTAGTTTCGCTATTGATGCAAACAGCGGTAGACCTGCGAACCACAAGGGAGCCAGCGCTTTTACCAGTGGATTTGTCTTTTACAAGGCTCCGACGAAGCGAACTCGAATATACGTGGCAAATAATTCCCTACAGCGAAGTCCTCCGCATATCGCCTAAAGGTAGTCCGTCTAGTTAAACTCTGTTTCGTAATATATTGTCACCAAGAAATGAAGAATTTTCTCCGCGGATCTGATTTTTCATTATTATAGTTTCACTGTACCGTACCACTTACGGAATGATCTAAGCAATCCATTCTTTCACATATTTCGTAAGCTTTCCTGGCACGCGGAGTACCGGAATGCGCCTATATTTCTTAATCTTTAATGGCTCATGGATAACCGAAAAGTGCGCTTAGCTGTACGCACGTGTAAGGTGAGGTAGCTTCAGTCACATCCGCAAAGATGCATCGAGTCTTTGAGAGCTGTCTAGACTGGTTGTGATGACAGTGAACACAGTTCATTTCAGCGGTACAGACTCTTTAGCATACTTCCACTGCCAAGGAGGCTGTAAACAACACGCTGTAAGAAGTAAAAACATATTGGCACCGAAAATTTTCACCTGTAGATGTGTCAAGAACGTCTTGCTTGTTACGTCAGCTCGCGTGTACTTGTCACAGCACAGCACTAAACACTCACTGTGTGGTCCACAGCCGTCGATCACGTCACCACAGAAAGTGTAGAACACATGCATACAAAACTAAGAGTGCTTGTAACCCGTAACCAGACGACGGAGTGTCGTAGCATGACGTCATGGTGTCCAGTCATGAGCCATTCGAACGTGCAACGGCAGTCATCTGAAATGACACTGGCTCGTTGCCCACTGCGAGAAGCCGATGAGTATGTTTAACATAGCAGAGAATTTTTCTTCTTTTTTTCTTGTTTCGAAACACATCCCTCTGAATACATAAGCTTGTCCAGGAGAAGGAGTGATTATATCTATGCATGCTTTTGCCGGTTTGTGCAATGAACAACAGTGCGGCTTGGTACGTATCAATACAGAAGCTTATAGGATACAACCTGGTAAACTTGAACTGCAACTACTGAAACATAGCGGGGTTTCCTGTATACTACTCGATCTCATCTCGCGTTTTTTTTTACTCGCAAATAAACCTTTTCAAGTTGCACAAACTTGACACTCGGTGAGGTCTCAAATATGACTGTGCTGTTTCTGACCGCTTTCACTTTCCCGTGACAATCATATGCTCCCAAAGGCACTGGCGGGGGTCGGGGGGGGGGGGGGGGGGGGGGGGGCGTGCACTGTTTGTTTACTCAGTCGGACCTGTACCATTATGGTATAAACAGCAGGGTAATGACCATGCAGGTTTCTGAAAATAATAGCTGCCGACTTCCCCTGATGTTGCGTTCTACGAGTTGTTTGCTCCCAATCTTTACACCTGAAAAGCTAAGCACCAAAGGCAGGTCGTTATCACAATCACGTCGTTCCATTAATTGTTAAGAACGATGTTTCTTGGAATCAACTAAATGGCGGAAGGGAGGGGAAGAGGGGGCACCGAGACGGAGTTTTGTTCCCACTGATGGGAAACGCCTACGGGGACAACATTAAACTGACTGTGGACCCCAAACCATTTTCGAAAGCCAAGTTTCTTGGAACACGGCCGCATGGGCCAATTGCGCAAGGAGTAATGATGACATTGCTGCTTGAAGTCGACAGGTCTCTGCGACTCTTCTTGTGGGCTTCTTGTACAGCTTCCTGTGATCGGACAATAAGCGATTTCGTTTTCTCTTGTGTATTTGTTCTCACCCCTTCACTTCTTTTCAAATTTGAAGGATAGCAAACCACAAGGTTCGTCTGTGACATTTCTTACCTTTCCTCTCTTCGCTTAACTGTCTTTGTGTTTCTCTCTCACACATACCCTCTTTAAAAATCACTTGCCGATTGTCTTGTCCCACAGATAACGGCATTCAAACCGTGACTCTTGTTTCGGCACTTGATGAAATGACAGCCGAATTGTTCTCGTGACCGTCACTAGTACTCGAGCCGCAGCTGCTGCAGTCTTCGTCGTCGCTGTCGGTCGTCGACCTTTCGTCGTCTGAACTGTCACTCGGGTCGCTGGGGTCGAGACCCCCCGGCGTGTCGCAGCCGCCTGTCGGAACATCGTAGCGTCCGTTGCTGAGCGGCGGAGTGCGAGTACAAGGCGGTGCTGGCGGAAGCAGCAGACCGGAAGTCAACGGGACAGTCACTTCCACCCGTTCAGAAGCCGCTGTACCAGTGGCTGGAACCTTGATACGGTAAGGCACTGCCGCAGGCGGAGGTGCCTTGGTGTTGTTGTGCAGAGCCGAATGTGGGGCGCCTGGCCTCGCCCCCGTTCTCAGGGTGCGCATCCTACGCCAGGCCTCAGGAATGCCTGCAATATAATTTAGGATCGCCAGAGAGCCACGTTTACGGGCAGGCTTAGCACAAAACGTATAGTTCTACAGGAGTGTTAAAGAAAGCTTGTATTCTTTCACACGTATAACGCTTGTATACACTTTTAATTTCGCTAAAGATGTTCACTTCAACAAAGTCGAAATAACTTCGTCATTTCCGTTACGAAATTGGCGTAGAAATTTTCAGATGACTCTGAGAATGCGGATATTCGTGAATATCAATATCGAAACAGGGCTCGTAATTCGCAACGTTCAATTTCATTTCGCATTCACCTTGTCACCGCAAAAAGAAGTAAACTGTGGGCGTAGCTATAGAAATTTCGTTTGAGGGGGAGGGGCTAATCCCACCTCCTATGAGTTCACACGCATATTTCTATGCATGCCCATTTATTTATGTATTTTTATACACGTACGAAATTGAATGCCTTCAGGAACATGGTGTCGATCTCGGTGCAGAAGACTGAGGCGCAAAAAAAAAAAACATAACGTGAAGCAGGAAGAGCAGGAGAGAAGACAGAACAGCGCCATTCTATCTCCTCAATCTCCTCTCCCTCCTGGCTAGGCAAGTGCGTGTGACAATGGCAGCGAGATGTGGTCCGAGCCATGACCGAGGACTAACAAGGAGGAAGCTGAGATGGGTCTTCAGATAACGCGCTTCATGAAGAGACTGCTTGGCTTCCCACGCGTCCGGGCTCTTTAGGGTGCACGACTTGATGCACGGCTTATACTCATCGAGTCACAGTAGCACACCTTGACCATCTTTACGACAATACGATGTCCACGTCACTCATTAAGGTGTTGCAGCAACAATTTTACGGAATATAACGACTACTATCCATGTTTACTTGCCTACGACGATGGTCAACAAGGATATTTTACACAAATCAGAGCAAACGTTAAGTTTTCGTAATCCTTAATCTCTTTAATTATTCGCTAATAATTCTACCTTCAATCTGTCGTGCTTTAAAGTGTGGTACTTGAACTGGTATAGCGCATTACGGGGAAGAAGAAACGGCCGAGCAGACCGACACAAGAGGACAGAGCGCTAACTTCCAATTGAGCTTTATTGTCAAACTGCATCAAATATGTAGACCGGCGCACGCATACAAAACCATTGTATAGCAAGAGCTGGCATCACGTGTATTAGCGCCCCTTCTTTGGTTTTATCTGAACATGAAGTGGCCTTCCTTAATCAGGATAACCGCCTATGAATCTGTGATATGTGACGGCGCGATGTTGTGTGTAATCTTGTCGTTGCGTTAGGGTGGTTTTGTATGCGTGCGCCGGTCTATTTGATGCAGTCTGACAATGAAGCTCAGTTGGAAGTTAGCGCTCTGTCCTCTTGTGTCGGTCTGCTCGGCCGTTTCTTCTTCCCCGTAATGCGCTATACCAGTTCAAGTACGACGAACCAACTCGCCCAATCTTCAACACTCGTACACTTTTGTAGGTGTGGGCTCGCGAGAATGTCGTCAGGCGCGCTTACTCTTGCTAGAGATGGCCGGCGCGTCGCATCGGCGCACCAGCAGCAGCACAGCGGCGACGGCGAGAAGCAGACCGGCAAGGGCCCCAAACACGATGCCGACGATGACGCCCGCACTGGCGCCAGCCGTCGGCTGCAAGCGAGCACCGACCAGACCCTTGAGTTGGAGCCTGCACGTCAAGTTCTGAGTTTGAGTTTATTCAACCACGTGACAAGTAAACGAAAATACACTGTTTACGCGGTTTGGTGCGAAGGGAAAAAAAGCTGCATTTCACAGCTTGACTGGCCCCTTCATGCACCCAGAAAAAAAATTTTAACTACAAATTTACAAAAAGTTACAAAAGTTACAGGCAGCGGAAAGCGACCACACAAAAAGAAACACGCATGTGGCCCATGACAGCAAATAATAAAATCAAAACTCTAAAATACACACAAAAATATTCATAACAAAGCAATGCATGAAAGAACAAAAACTGAATAACCATTAGAGAAATCACCCTACATTCATTTACAACACAATCAGCACATCCGATTTAACATTTCAGTTTTAGACAATATACGCAGATTGTCAGTTGTTAGTTTCCATTTCTTCATCACACTTGGAAGGCGGTAACGTAGTGTTTCAAATCCATAGTTTGTGCGAGGACAAGGTATACGTGCCAAGTCTCCGTACACCGAGTAACGCGACTGGCAGGGTTTGGTTGCAAGGTGGCCAAGGTGCGTAAAAAGATACTTCCTCTGCGTATTTCTGATTTAAAAGCTGACAAAAGCTGGTATTCGTAGTAACAGGTAATTCTTGAAATTCTATATTTTGCAAATATTGAAGCAGTGTGTGCGTTATAAGATACACCTTCAATGCACCGCAAGGCCTTTTTTTTTTTTTTGTAACACGACCAGGTTCTTTAGAGATGCTTTAGAGCCTGTAGACCAGACCAGATGACAATAGTGTAAATGTGAAGAAAAAAGAGCATTGTACACTAATATTTTTTTTTGTTTCACAGGTAGTATGTTCTGGCATCGACGCAACACACCTAGAACTTTACAAAGTTTGTGACTAATGTGTTCTGCATGGTAATTCCATGCCATGTGTTCGTGAAAATGGACACCGAGAGTTTTAACTGTTTGACAAAGTTTAATTTCAACGTTATTTCAACGTTTCAAGTGACGCAGCAATCAATTAGTATGCGGCAGGAGTTCAAGAGAAGATGGAAGCTTCAAGATATCTGGAAAATCTTTTGAACGCGGGCCTCGTCTTCTGAAGTCTTCAAGACTGCAACTGCAGCCCTGAAGAAGACAAGAGCACTTGTAGAAACGAAGGATCTAGCACACGCCGTGTTCCACAATTTTTGCGGTGGCGAAAAAATTTTTGCAGCGGTGAATTCTAGAGGCAATAAACTTCTGTAGTGAGTCCATTAAATGGCTACTGGAAAACCTGTTGCAGGGTCCCTTTGAGGGATTGAGTAGACAGAATTCACTGACTGACTGGTTAATTAAAAAGATTTGCCGTGACGAACGGGTTACCTGCGAAGCATGTCGAAGTACGACTGTACCATAGACTCGAGACCCAGATAGAAGTTGCAGTTGGAGAAGTGGCCAGCGGCTCTCCAGGTAGATTTGGTCTGCCACTTCCTGCGGGAATACGTCCGACACGGCGGGCCCCACAAGCGTGGTCGACTGCGCGTTGGTTACAAAAAGACTCTGGTTGCAGTAATGAATGGAAGTGCGTGTGCACACGTCATAACAAGAAATTGTTAGCTTGAAAAAACAGATGAACCAAAACCACAAATAATAATTTATTATTTTAATCACAAATATTTATTAATAATAATAAGTTGTATAGAGCCTAAAAATCTTAAAACAATCTTGTTCTATTTCCACCACGACAGCGATTAGTAGTTTTAAACTTCAAACAATAATTCACATGTATCGGTCTGTATATGATCACCCCATTAACGTTTACAGAGGCAGGCTGGCGCAAACTGCAAAAAAAAGTAGCAACGAAACCTACTAAGATATGTTAGAAGGCATCCAATCAAAGAATATTGAATGACAGACCTGGCTGAATCAGATTAAACTGAATGGACTTCCATCTTTGCGTGCGCGACACAAGTTGCTTCGCCTAAATTACGGTCATTTAATCTCGTCGTAGCTGAACCACCTCTGTGAAGCCCGCAAACCTTTATAGGGGGTCATTTAAGAAAGGATCGTATCTTCTCTAGGAGGTATCCAGTTTCGTCATCATGATCTCCGCATGAAGATTATGGTCCCCGTGAATATGCCGGCCTTTACACATTACCATAGTGTCCTTGGTCGAGATCAGAAGCAGTATGTCGTCGTCGCAATTTCCCAGGTTCCACTTTTTGCGCAGGGTCTCCGCGAACACGCGCACTGCTTCTTCGACCGGCTGACTGCAACAGAGATAGAATAATTTGTCACCCGATCGTTACTGCAACCGCGACAATTCACTTGTTCACTCTATAGATCAGTGCGTGCTTTCATGCGCAGATCGATTAGTTTTCTTTAACTTTGCCTTTTGAACGGCTGCGATATCGATGACCGACATCTATGAAAACCAGTTGTAGTTTTTTTTATATATAGTTATGTTTAGTGACTAATGATTCTATTCATTTCGTTTTTATGGCGAAAGCGTGCGATGATTCATCGAACGCGAAATGGGACCATCAGCGTTAACACGAGCGGTGCCAGCAGTCACGATGTGATGACGCCACGCAAGGACGTCATCATGGCGACACTATGGCGTGGCATAACGCGAGGTCACATGGTGACGTCATGACATGACGTCACCACTTGGTGCGCGTGGGTCGATGCCGAAGGCACTGCAGAAACCACGCTAGGTGCAGAAAGATTTCGGTGGTGGGAAGGGGAGAGGACTCAACTCTTCGTGTTTTGAAATAAATGTTTTCGATCGGGCTATCGATCAGTACAATGGACTGAGAATAAACTAGATGGTTTTCACTCCTTCTTCAAATGCATAATGAACCGCTATTTTTTAATTGTCTCCATGCAGTTCAAGAACCAAACGCAGCAACGAAAGTGGAGAATTTGCTATAGAATAATAATAGCAAGAAAGGAAAGCATGAAAGAACAAATTGTTGATGCACTTTAAAAAGTAAGAGTAACTCTATAGAGTATATAAATTTCTCAAGTTTTTTTAATGAAAAAAAAAACCATAACATACCGAATTACGGTAATACTAGATTCAATATTTATGGTTAATAAGTTCCTTTAAAAAAGTGTGGGCAGTGATACTTCTGTCGAATAGATCGCTCGTAGATGAATCGATTCATCATCTGTAAATCTGCTAATAGGGTAGGAAGATTTGATTAGTTGGTTCATTTATTATTGGAATGAATGAGTGATCGATTTACCATATAACTGAGCGTAAAATTATTTGTTCGGTCTGTATCACCATAGTAAGGCTGATTTGTTGATCAAACCAAAATCTGGTTGCCGTATTGGTTTTTCAATGTTATATTAACATGACTGCCACTCGTATTGACTTATTGATTGATCGATCAATCGATCAATTACTCGATTGATTGAATAATTGATTGAATAATTGATCGATCGAATGATTGATCTATCTAGTTATCTATCTATCGATTTGACTGATTGATTGATCAATCAGTTGATAGATCGTTCTATTGATTGATTGATTGATTGATTGATTGGTTGATTGATTGATTGATTGGTTGTGGGCTCACTTGTTGACCCTGTGAAAATGCTCCATGATGGCAACGCCCAATGTGATGCCCCTGGCGTGAGATTTGCTGCACGTCGGGCAGATGCAGAGCGTCTCGTTTCTGATTCTTTCGATTATTCCGTCCAGGGCGTCAGCTGCGAACAGAAACAAGTGTCAGTTAAGTAACTATGAGGGCGTAAAATTGAATTTACAGTTCAATTAGATAAGAAAATATTCGATTAAGAATTTTGAACATCAGCAGCGTTTCTTAAAAGAGGCGTAGAAAAAAAGTTATCAGCTATTTTTGTGACGTTTTGATTAGCTGTTCAGCCGCTCTGCGCAGCCTCAGCCTCGATGACCGATTCTGGGCCGTCCAGCTGGCCCTCAATGCGGCGATGAGGCACGACGTCATCATGTAGAAGACATAAATAGGCCCGGTCGCGCTTAACCCTGCTGGACCTCAATAAGGTATCTGTAACCAAACTGCTCCCTTTAACAAATGGCCGCACTGTATTTCGTGCTTTATTCTAGCATGTTTGCACGAAGTATGGTTTGCTGTATACGTTTATGTATGACGTTACCATATTCATAACTTTAAAGTCCTTCTCACCGGAACCCATGCCCGGGGAAGCCAACCGGCCTCAACCCCACTCATTTTTCTGCACTTCGCCTGACTTGTATAAGGTACATTAGTGATGCCTTATAAGTTACATCGTGACTGGCAGCGCGAAACACCCCAACATAGACCAGAGAAAAGGACACAATACAGCGCTGTACCATGTCCTTTTCTATGGTCTATGTTGGGGTGTTTCGCGCTGCCAGCCACGATGTAACCAATAATGCATCATTAATGAACCTTATACAAGTCAGGCGAAGTGGTGGAAAATGAGCGGGGTTGAGGCCGGTTGTCTTACCTGGGCGCTGTACCGTGTCCTCTTAGAATAGCTGTACCGTGTCCGAACATATACTAGAAAAAAGGACATGGTACAGTGCTGTAACATGTCCTTTTCTCTCGTTGATGTCCGGTTGTTTCAAGCTGTAAGTCTGCTAGTCCAGATTCATCTTTGTCGACAATGACGTCAATGGTTTATAACACCAATATCTCCTGTAATCGGTGTTCTTGGCGCCTCTGGATACCTTCAAATTCAAGTGCTCTTAAACCAGTGCAATCATATTCCTTGAAAGGGATGATAACACAAGACATGCTTATCAAGAACTTCCTTGGAGGAGTCGGCGGTGGGGGGGGGGGGGGGGGGATTAAGACCCTTCCCTGCGGGAATCGCACATCTGATCAAAAAAATATCGAAATGGTGTATGAAAGACACTTTTGAATGCGTGCGAGTAGACGTGAGTGATAAACGTGAATGCAGGTAAGCCTAATTGCAACGTTGAAGATGAATACATGTGACCCTAGGTCGACAAAAAAGTGGAACTCACTCACACTGACGAAGCATTTCTTCAACTGGGCTCAAACTCACCAAAATATAACTCAGCCAGAGTCACTCAGGCTCAAACTCAGACTCGTGGCTTGATCGGAGTCTGAGTGACTCTGGCTGAGTTATATTTTGGTGAGTTTAAGCCCAGTTGAAGAAATGTTTCGTGAGTGTGAGTGAGTTGGGCGGGTCTAAGTGAGTCCCACTTTTTTTGTCGACCTTGGGTCACGTGTATTACTCACTACATGATCCTTGTCCGAGTGAGTCCGAGTGATTTGACTCCTGAGTGAGCTCGCCGACCAACGTACAATATAAGTAGTGACCATCTAGAGGACCAAAATATGCATTCGACTATATAGCACAATCACCAGGCTATATAAATATGAATCTCGAGCGTGTCCCCTCCCCCCGCATCAACACAAGGGAGGTCAAAACCCTCCTGCTTTCCTCTACCCCCTCTGTGTTATTTAGGCCCCTACCCAGGGATAACCAAAGAATACCGTCTATTACTCGCCTTGTTTCTTGGTCATGACGCGGTCCGGGTCACAGACAAACGACGGCCTATAGCGGTTGCAGTACCGCGGTTGCGTCAACGGGTGGGGGTACTCGTCCACGCGCCAGTACCACTTCGAGTCCGGGTCCTCGTCCTCGAGGTTGCACCAGCTTTCCGCCGATAGAGCCACGGAGGGCGCGCACGACAACAACATGGCCGCCAGCAAGATGGCCGGCGCCTGTCCTCGGCGATTGCCGCGGACCAACATGGCCGCGCCTTTCGCCCGTAGAGCGGCCAGCATCGCTGTCTGGCCAACTACATGTGCGCGCTGAATAGCAGTCGATGACAAGCAGAGGGTCGCGACGAGCTCCGAGCGGTCGAGTCTCAGCCGAGTTGGAGGCATGTCGTTTTATTCGGACCCGTGGTCGCACCAGCGGGCGCCCTGGTTTGCAAGCCCTGGAATTTCATCATGGCGCCAGCCTTCTGCGTCGCTCTCATCGAGGGAAGATGCGTCGACCTTGGGAGAACCCAAGTGCTGCCGATTACAGGAAATATCGGTAGTGCCTGCAATATTAGAAAAAAAGTTGGAAACTGCTGCAAATTAAAGCGTTCTGTAAGAAAGGAAGAAAAAAACACCGACACCAGTGCAGCCACTGGTGGCTACTTTTCGCCAAATTGGCGAATTTGAGAGGCCCGAAGCGACCTAAAAGTATAAACGGCGACTTGGCGAATTTTCGGCAATTTTTGGCATAGGCTTCCACTCAGCCATGCATATACTATACTTAGCGTCTTCAAAACAAATGGGCAAAAACATTTTTTTTCTTTTTTCTGTAGTTTTAGACTCACCAGTATGCACACTTCACCAGGCGCACTTTACGCGCAATTTAGTACGTCTGTCCTGTTTCTCGTTTGTATCTCCTAATTCTCTATATAGTATATATAGATCATGTAGGTACTGGAACACTGGTGCGTCCGCCAGCAACCTCCCAGCTAAATTTAGATCAGTGTACTGCTTGGCGTGCTGCGAGGCGGCGATGTTATGCTACGTTTTTAGGGATTTATAAGCTTTCAGCTTCTTGAAAGTTTCGTTTCTGAAGTAGCTAGGTGACGGCTATAAATTGCGTGTTTCGGCCACAGCTCCCACTGTCGCGAATAGCTTGTCAACTTCTTCACTGCTGTAGTACCCACCTAATTTGGCCTGTTGTGTTTAAATTTGTTAATGATATGTTCTTAAGGTGGGCCTCACAGTCGGGCTTCGTCGGGCAGCCTTCAGAAACTGCAGTGTGGTAAGCATGACCACACAGTAAGCATGGTGCAGGCATTGCGACGGTTAAGCAGTACTTTCGAATTCATTTCGGTTGTTTTGTAATTAAGTTGTTTGACTATCGGCCGCAGGATTTCACTGCAATGAAATTCTACAAGTCTGCAGAAAGGCTACGTGCGCCATCCCTCTCTTGTAGTGACTGCTTCTTCCTGTATTCCCTAGAACCGAAACCACCACAATTTTGTTATGCGGCGCTAGCATTCAGGGACGCTGCTAGAACGTGCATGCCCTTCCTCAGTACTCCCATGGTGAAGCGGTTGATGTGACTTGCATTGAAAAACGTGTATGTGATTTGGGGTTTATGGATGTTACCTTACTGCGTGGGGCTATACATAATTGGGAATTTCTTTATTACTAGGCACTCTGCACATATGTAGAGTGGCGTCCTTTTTTTTGGCGACACGTAAAGGAAAATGGCGACTTTCGGCGACATTTCGCGTCGTAGTTTGGGAAATTTCACTCGAAAGTCAGTAGCATACAACGCTGATCGACACCGGGAATTTCGCGGTGCTAGAGGCGGCGGTGGTTGGTTCATGTGATTTGACGGATTAGGTGATAGATGACACCGATCGTCTCCTCGCAATTTTCTTTTTTTTTTTCTTGCTCGGCCAGCTCACACAATCACTGCACTCATCTTCGGCGTTTTTGCGTAATAATAATAATTTACAACAATTGTTGGCGTTTCACGTCCCAAAACAACAATATGATGGCAGACGTCGTAGAGGCGGGCTTCGGAAGTTTTCGACCACCTGACGCTCTTTAGCGTGCACCTAAGTGTAAGAGCACAGTCCTCCAGCATTTTCGCCTCCATCGATTATGCGGCTGCCACGGCCGGGATTCCAACCCGCGACCAGCACTCACCATAACCAGTTGGGCACTATAACCACTAAAGAACCGTGGTGGGTAAATCCGCGTTTTCGCATATCGGTTTCCTGGTCATAGCTTCACGTGACTGTCTTTCTACTTGACTTGCATTGCCCGAACAGTCTTCATGCCCGGGGCGCCCCCTCGCGGAATCGTCACAGGCGCAGGAGTGGTTAGGCGGCCAAAACAATGCCACGGTAGCTTTTGACTGCTGCTATAAATTGCAATTTCAGATTTAGAAGGACCGAAATATTATCTTCTCAACTTCATGGACTACCCAATTTAGCGAAATAATGGTAGCGTGCAAATCTCGTTAAATCTAGTTTTCGCTGTATGTGGCTTTCAAATACGGAAACACGTTTCTACTTGTAATTGGTTTTAGGTCACCAATTTGAATGGCCCAATATATTTCGTCAGATATGCCAATATCTCTGCTCAGCCAAACCCAACATTTTATGTAGTAACTACGAACCTTTACCTGTCAATCTGAGTAGTATTTATATCAGCCGAGAAAAAAAATACCATTTGAACGTAAATGAACTAGCACGATTGCATTTCATAGATGAAGGATGGGCGCACAGTAGTCCAATGGGAGGAGCTTACATCTGGGGGTGGAGCTTACCAAGTTTAGTCAGAAAGAAGCGAGACTTTTATGTCTTCCTGTATGTTTGCTGCTGAGCTTTAGCGCTGTCATTAAAATGAGTCGTCTGACTATAAGTACGTTCACTTTCTTTGTTTAGGGACGAAGCTCCTCAGGGTGCGGGTCGTTTCCTCCACTGTAGTAGTATGTTGTAGCAACCACTTCTAGTTAGTTTTAAGGATTGCTCATTAGATGGCGTTGTGTAGAGGTCCTTAATAAGACCGATTTACTTGAAGTATATAAGACATTAGCCCAACATAAAAAGAAATATTTCTCCTTGCGAGCCTGGTGGCACACATGTCGCCGCCCCGTTATATAAAGGGAAGGCTCATAGCATCCATCCATCTATCTCGGAAATAATATCACTAGATGGCGTTAGTTGTTTTCGTATAGATTACGATTAAAAAGGAATGGAATAATAAAAAGAAACATGTTTCACATGGCGCTGTTATAATAATAAATTCACTGCATATCTATGAGCTTAATGATAATGAGTTGGGGCGAAGCGTCAGTTCTTCCGATGCCTGCTCCAGTGTGATAGGAGCGGGCGGACGGACAGACAGACGCTTTACCACACACATCATCATTCACTCCATGGATATGCTGCGATACACTTTTTTAACTACTTGCTCCGGAACGTGACAGCGTCGTTCTGAAGAGTTGGAAGTGACGGACGCAGCTGACTGTACGTAACGGCCGTCGAAGACAACAGAAATCCGAGCACGTGCGAACGAACGTCGCGTCGGTGATAGTAACAGTGAAGCATAACGCCGCTCAGAGTATATCTTGTTTACCGCCAGTCGAGCGCTGAACGATAAGGAAGAGTGGGCCCCTGTTCGGTACAAAGGGCCGAGCACTTGTCAAAATAAGAGACTTTTCCGGTCTTGACCACTGCATAGTCAGACGATCGACTCGACGGCCATGCACAAGCGTGGTTTCACCGATTACCGAAAATTAATCGTTTAAGTGTCACACTAACAATAATAACAGTATCCGAGCTGTAACGTGCCAAAACCATCATATTATTTTGAGAGATGACAGTGGAAGGCTCCCGAACTTTCGGCCAGCTGGAGTTCCTTATCTAACTCCAAATACACGGACCTGCGATTTTTTTTTCTCCTCCATCGATAATGCGGTCGTCACAGCCTTGACTCGACCTCGCCAACTTCGGGTTCATTGTGACACTATTAGCGTCACGCGCGGCTATTGTCCAACCGAAAATTCTCTGCGGGTAGATTTTGATCTATGTGACATTAACGTGTCAACTAGGGGCGCAGCCAGAAATTCTTACCGGCTACGACTTGGGAAGGTGTCGTTAACCAACTTTTACGTACGCTCGCACACGTGTTCGAGTGTGTGCACGTGTGTGCGTCACATAAGAATGTATATATAGTATACACAGGCGTGCACACGGAGGAGTAGCGGAGCGACTGCCCCCGGTGAGTGCCTAAAGAACAAGGGGGAAGAGGACAGATGCATAGACTGCCCCACACCATTGCTCACTCGGACTGGCCCTTTCATTGTTTAATGAAGAGCAGGGTTGTGGCCACACAGTTTTTTTAACTATATAATGGCAGCTAAAGGCCCCTGATGTGGCATTTATGGAACTGCTTTACTTCCGGAAAGGCTGGGGCCAAAGACAGGCTATTTCGAAAAATTCAGCCACCCAAATCTTAAACCATATCGTGCGCAGGAAGGCTTTTATGCCTGTCAGAGACATATGATAGAACGAAGTAAAAAAAATGGTTTTGTGGTAATGTTCTTTGTGGGCATGCACCTGCCCTCGCCCCTTTTTGGAACCCAATTCAGTCAATATGGCGAAGATACACAGAAAAAACTGCCGCTCGTGCACGATAGTTACAGATTTGGGTGACAGTGCGTCACGGCTTCACTTTCACTTTCTTCATCCATCGTGAACGAACGAAAAAAAAATGAGAGAGGCGAGGAACTTGAGTGTTGCGATTCAAATACATTTCGAAAGACAGAGGGGGCCTGTGGCCCCCAGCCCTTGATCCCATTGTGCCGCCCCCGGTAACGTCGCCACCAGTCTTCAGCCTTCGCGTCATTTCTTGTTCACCAAATAGGCGTGTTCTCGAATTGTGGGACAAGGAAAGAGGTCGGTGCGAGTAGGAATACGTGGTGGGGGTATCTGATTCTATTCTATAGTTTAAGGGGAGTTTCGCTTATATAGCAAAAATAAGCTATATAAAGGAGATGGAAACTGCGTCACGCTATAGAACTGTTCGCGAAGTCATTTATTTCGCTTCTTCACTCACGACCTAGGAGCGACACGAGCTTACACTAACGCATCGTTCGGCGCATGCGCAGTGCATCACTACAATACTGTTTATACCATCGCCCTCACCACGTTATTTGTGCACACCTTCATTGAAGGCTCCCACCTAGCTTCATTGAAGCTAACGACAGCCCCGCCGCGGTGGTCTAGTGGCTAAGGTACTCGGCTGCTAACCCGCAGGTCGCGGGCTCGAATCCCGGCTGCGGCGGCTGCATTTTCGATGGAGGCGGAAATGTTGTAGGCCCGTGTGCTCAGATTTGGGTGCACGTTAAAGAACCCCAGGTGGACAAAATTTCCGGAGCCCTCCACTACGGCGTCTCTCATAATCATATGGTGGTTTTGGGACGTTAAGCCCCACATATCGATCAATCGAAGCTAACCACACCGCAAACACACTGCGCATGTGCTCTACTTCTTATCGATACAGAGAGGCATCGCCGATAGCAATGCGCGTCCTGCGCTTCTGTGTTCCCGCTAACCGTATTCAGGATGGTACGTGGCCAGCTGCAGGACCATCTGGAATGTTGTTCATTCGTTTACAGTGCCGTAGTGTTGCCTGCACTGAACGCGCGCTGTGATGTTGCGGTCATGTCTTGGGCTCGAATCACATTGCGCAATCGCATATCAAAATGTAATCTTTCCTCTGTTATCGTATATTTCTCTAAGACTTTAGAGCTCGAATAAATGCGTACACACTCGACTTGCTCATTATGACACATCTCACCAGAGTCGAGGGTGGTTAACAACGGAATCGAAAATTGGCATAAGATTGTCGTACTCTAAGAAAAACTTTTGTGAAATCAACGAACAAAGTCTACGTAATCCTGAAAAATGCCCATTTGTTTATTGAAACACAAAAGAAAATGCCTTACATACGAAATAACATGTTCTGTTTTTGGTACACGGAAAGATTCTTTGTGTTTAGTGGGCTCCTTGCAAACGTCATTAAAAGCTGCCTTCTCTCTCTAATGTTGTAATTAGGTCCTAGTTAATGTTGTCATTTTACCTTTCAGTTATATTTCAACCAAAGGGCTCTCATTACCAGGATACCTATTTAGACAAAGTTGTTTGATGGAAAGCATAGTCAGTGTGTAAACGCATATATATATATATATATATATATATATATATATATATATATATATATATATATATATATATATATATATCCTCCGTTTGCATGCCGCGAGCTTATGTCGCAGCATGTCGACAGCAAAGTATGTTTTTTTTTCTTTTTATCCAAGTTTAACATTCACTTGTTTGTAACCTCTAAAAATCACGCTCGGCTGGCCACTTACATTCCATTGATAACGTCTAGCACGAATAAAGACACAAATAATCGCAAATAGACAGAGGCACGAACAGCGTGAGTTTAACCACTTGCAAGACGTGCGCTGTTTGTCCAATCGTGCGCAGGCATGTTAAAGCAGTTGTGTGTACACTGTGTTTTAGCTCGCCTATCCGACGTGCATAGGCTGCCAGGCAATGTATGGCCGACTGTGATGATTTGTCATATTTTTTGTCATATAGTTAATCCTACAACGTGTACCTGGAGGCCATGTGAGCTGTACACTGTTGAAAAAAAAATACACAAATCGGCCAACACTTCATTTTGTCTACTGAAAACTGCTTAAATAGTGGTGAGAATTAGCAGAGTTCGATACCTTCGTTGCAAACGTAATTTTTTTGAATTAGGAAATGAGGATCGGGACGAAAACTAGCCTAGTAAATTGGAATCCGTTTCGCATGCCAAAACATTGATATGGTTATGAGGGATATGGTAACGAAAGGCTTTGGAAGCTTCAACAGTCGACAGTGCGTGGGCGTCTATAATATCCATCGATATGCGACCGCCGATGCCTCGATCGAATCCGCGACTCTCGGGTTAACAGTCGAGTACCATAAACACTGCTCCACCGCGGCCAACCCATTTCGTACTGTCTCCTCCTTTCTTAACAGACTCACCCTCACATTTAACGTTAGCCAACAACATTCCCTTACTGCAGATGCGGAGACAAAAAGCTAGATTAGAATTCCTTGATCAACTTTTGAACAAAAAAAAATAGCTCTAGACCCGTCCCCGTATTTGACACCCCTTAGTAGCCGGGCCACCCAACACCACCACCCAAATGCTTTGATCCCATATTTTGCTCGCACAGACCTACAGAAGTATTCGTACTTTCCAAGAACCATGTGTGAATGGAACTGTCTTACTAATACATGTGATGAATGAACTAACCTACCAAACAACCTTCTCCGCCCATCGTTGTTTCGTTTCACAATTATTTTATTTGTATGTGTATTACTACTCTGCTTGGACCTCGAGTCTGCAGTATTGAATAAATAAATAAACAACAAACTTAGAAGCACTCTCTTTTTTCCAGCTAGAAACTACCTGCAGCAAACGCAACTACAGCCTGAGCCAACATTCATACCTCGACGAACTGCAGAGACGAAACTGCACACGTAGTTTCGGCATGTGTATACACAGCATGCACACAAGTCATTCGGACAGTACTTAAACGCCTTCCGGTGATTTACGAACCAGCGAAGACATAAAAGCTCACCCAAAGAGGGGGGAAAAAAGCAGCAGCCGAGATATCGTCGCACAAGGAGCTCAAATCACGCACCCACTCGAGAGGGTGATAAGGCTTCCCATAAAAATGCGAACGACCAAATAAAGAAGAAGAGGAAGAACGCACCTAGCGTCTTCATTCGAGACGAGGTCCGACGTCGGCAGCTTCCGAACGCTTCTTCCACGCGAGCACATATTAATAATAATTCCTCGGCGTTACACGCTCGCCCGAAGACGGGCCACTAACACTTATGGGCGATATATACACACACAACGCCGAAAGCAGCTCCGATAGGCTCTCCTGGCGACGCGTATCTTTTCTTTGACACCACGCACAGAGATAACGGGAGAGCCTGGCCGTGCGACCGTCCGGCAGAACATAATAATGATAGTGCGATTACCGCGCCGGGGTCGTCTGCCGAGCGCAGAGAGTACGTCTGTGCTTTCGTACATCCTGTGACGCACATTGTGCCTCGATTTGCTTTCTTTCCTTCTTATTTTTTGTCTCTTATCGGGCGTATACTCGCACAGTAGCCGACAAAGAGCGCGCGGATCTTATCTAGCCGCGAGAGATTTCTCTTTTATAAGGCACACACGCTTCCGTTTTGCACTGTGGAAGCTACAAGACCACTCGCCTTTATTCTGAATTCCACTTACTATACGATCAAAACGGCTGCATCCGGCGATCTGATTGATCGGACGTTAACACCTGCAGTACGTATCGACGTCACGCTAAGCGTGGAGTACCTTTAGCTCACGCTGTCAGCGGTTGATTGATTTGTGGGGTTTAACGTCCCAAAACCACGATCTGATTATGAGAGACGCCGTAGTGGAGGGCTCCGGAAATTTTTACCACCTGCAGGGCTCTTTAACGTGCACCCAAATCTGAGCACACGGGCCTCCAGCCTTTGCGCCTCCATCGGAAATGCAGCCGCCGCAGCCTACGGGATTTGATCCCGCGACCCGCGGGTCAGCAGCCGAATACCTTAGCCACTAGACCACCGTGCCAGCGAGCCAGAGCAGTTATGCGAGCGCTCAGACGAGATGACTGGCGCACATCGTCGAAAGCACAAAACGGTAACATTCAGGCAAACCACTTGAAAGTTCGAAAATACGCGTTCCCTGCCCCGCTCCTTTGGCCACTAATTCCGGATCACATTAACTACATATTGCCGAAACAAGTTGCAGATAATTTCTTTCAAGTTTTTTCCTGAAAAGACTCGCAAGGGCTTCTACTCTACCAGCTGATTCTTTACGGCACAACGAAAAGTTCTCCCTCAGTAGCGGTAAAGTATGTTGATTCCAGAATCGCGTGGATGTATTTTATAATGATTTTTCGATCTAAGAAGCCACTAACGTACGGGTGCCTTCTCCAGCAATTCAAAGGAGGCACGCGTAGCGATTTCTACAGCCTTTCTCACAAAACATTATACGCCATAACACAGCGAGATTAGTGGGTGCCGCGATATTTAGGCAGCACGTCGCGCCATCTGTCGCAAGCGCAGCGAAGCAACATTCTGAACTGCCATGCCAACAGATACTCCGCACTTCAAACTTGCGAATCCGACCGGTAAGCATCGTTCGCGCTTTTCACTCCTAAATACTTAGGCTTTTTTTTCTTGTAGAAAGTCGGAAAGACCTTCATCGATAGTCCGGATTGTCTACAGCACGTGCAATATGGTTTGCGGAAGCAACTTTGTCAGGTACGTACGGTCGTGGTGTTAAGAAACGTGAACAGCGGAAAGCGTAACTTTCGACGCTGTCGAATTGCGACATGCCTTTATTGTTGCTAGGGGGAGCTTCACACTTCAGCCGATGTCATCGTAGCGCTAGAATTCCGCTCCGGCTTGCGCTCATGTACCACATGTACTTATCATTTGCCAGTCATGTGTATACACTCTGAGCACACACGCAGTGCGAATGTTCCCCCCGGAGCATGATTTTATGGTGCTATACGGTAACACCAACTGAAAGCACAGATTCGCCTAGCGACAGTCAAAGCATGTCGCAGTTCGAGCGAGTCGAAAGCTACGCTTCCCGCTGTTGATCTTTCTTTGCATCGTGATAGTAGGGCGTTACATTTGTACTCCACGTGCGCAGAGTTCGCACGTACGCGTTAGTCGTAATGTCTCCTGGCATGTGGCCTTCGAGGGTACAGCAATGATTAGGTGCCGCAGGCACTCTCAAATTATAACAGGTAGATTGCCAGTATCCCTCAAGAGGGAGGTATATAACAGCTGTATCTTGCCGGTACTTAGCTACGGAGAAGAAACCTGGAGACTTACAAAGAGGTTTCAGCTTAAATTGAGGACGGCGCAGCGAGCAATGGAAATGAAAATGGTAGGTGTAACCTTAAAAGACAAGAAGAGAGCAGAGTGGACTAGGGAACAAACGGGGGTTAAGGATATCATAGCTGAAATCAAGAAGAAGAAATGGACATGGGCCGGGCATGTAGCGCGTAGACAGGATAATCGCTGGTCGTTAAGGATAACTAACTGGATTCCCAGAGAAGGCAAGCGGGTTAGGGGGAGACAGAAGGTTAGGTGAGCAGATGAGATTAAGAAGTTTGCGGGTATAAATTGGCAGCAGCAAGCACAGGACCGGGTTAACTGGCGGAACATGGGAGAGGCCTTTGTCCTGCAGTGGACGTAGTCAGGCTGGTGATGATGATGATGAGGTGCCGCAAACTGCAGGCATACTGCACGCAAATTCCTGCTGCAAGGAAAATAGTTGGCGTCAAGACACGCAGTAAGTGCACCTACTCGTATACTTTTACAGAGCTCGTAGTTTTTCCTCTTGATATCGATTATCCGCTGTCGGCGGAGCTCGATGGCTTCCGTTGCGGATGAAAATCTGTGCAATCTGAAAACACCGCACCGGTACGATTCCCCAGTCGTGTTGTGATCTTCGCAGGCAGTGCTGAGTAACATCTTCCTCTTGTGTTCATTGTTTTCACATCAAAATACGGCGCACTGGAGCCCAGACGACTTCTTGTAAGCGGCAGCGACGTCAATAGGCTCTTTCTAATATTTTAATATCCCGCATGTCGTGTTCACTTGGTGCAAGAGATACCCACCCTGGCAGTTTAGAACAAAATGGCCATTTGGGCGCTAGAGTATGAGCCGAGGCGCCTGGGTGCGTGATAGGCGTGCTCTCAACTGTCGAAACCTCCTTCATTCTTTCATCTTCGACCATTTTTTAATAAAAGAAAAAAACGATAGAATGATAGAATCATGTACCAACTGGCCCTTCAAGAAACCCTACTGCGATAGAATAAGTTTTCTAAACGATCGTCATCACGTGAAATTCCTTAAGCACCTCTCGGGCCGGGCGTTCGTGGTTTTTCCTTCTCCAACCTGACAGACGCAGCTAGCCCCTCAGTTAACCTTCCCGGTGCCTGTAGCCTGCGTGATTAGCTCCGCCCACGCGCCGTTCCTGGGGCTAATCACGGAGGCGCCGGATGACGTGAAGTGATTGTGGCGCCACTGTTCTGCCCACTACACACGAAGGTATAACACGCATTATAGTTTAAAGGTATTATAATAAAATGTGTATGTATTTCAACACTGTATAAACATCATGAAAGTTTAAAATCGAACACCCCTTCATTTATTAAGGAGGGTCTCGGCAGGTCAATCGTAGCACTGCGTCACCACACAAAAAAGCTGAAGTTTGTTTTGTTGTAGCGTGAGCTACATTAGCCGAGGTAGAGTAGTGCTGTGCATGCACTATTAGCGCGGATTGCGCGCCTCGCTTTGGCCGCGCAGGTCCACGCATTCAGAATGAGTGACGTCATAGTCACGGCAGATTCATTCTTATACGCCGTGGCTTGTGTACCTCGAATCACGCCCTGCTCTTCTTTATCACGTTTGCCGCGGCGCTAGAAAAGAAGAGTGAAATTGCTGCTCAGCGGTGCAGAACACTGGAGAAGCTTATCTCATCGGATACCGAAGTTGCCTGGCAATTGGTGCAGGAGCGTAGGAAGAACGAACAAAAGAAGGGTAAACGTGCTGCGGAGACAGCAGAGTAAAGGGAGGAACGCCTAGCACAGCGGCGTCGCTAGAAGGCTGAGTGGTGTGCCCGACAATCTCGGCAACTGAAGGCTCCCTGAGTGCTGCCATAGTCCTTTCTGAGCTGTTAACAAGTGTGACCCCCCACCCCACAATCTCGGCAACTGAAGGCTCCCCGAGTGCTGCCATAGTCCTTTCTGAGCTGTTAACACGCGTGACCCCCCAATCTCGGCAACTGAAGGCTCCCTGAGTGCTGCCATAGTCCTTTCTGAGCTGTTAGCACGCGTGACCCCCCAATCAGGCAACTGAAGGCTCCCTGAGTGCTGCCATAGTCCTTTCTGAGCTGTTAACACGCGTGACCCCCCTACCCCCCAATCTCGGCAACTGATGGCTCCCTGAGTACTGCCATAGTCCTTTCTGAGCTGTTAACAAGTGTGACCCCCCACCCCACAATCTCGGCAACTGAAGGCTCCCTGAATGCTGCCATAGTCCTTTCTGAGCTGTTAGCACGCGTGACCCCCTTACCCCCCCCCCCCCCAATCTCGTCAACTGAAGGCTCCCTGAGTGCTGCCATAGTCCTTTCTGAGCTGTTCGAGGTATAGCGCATCCAGGACGGGACAGAGAAGAAAACACAGGACACATACACGGCGCTAACTTTCAACAAAGAAATAACTCGAACAACATGAATAACCAACAAGCCCGCCGTGCAACCTTAGTCGACTACCTTTCTGAGCTGTTAACAAGTGTGCCCCCCCCCCCCCCCGGACGTACTGTCGAAGCAGTAAGATAAGCTTCTGTGCAACAGCCCAGAAAAGAGAGGATCCTTCTCTCCGTCAAGAAGGTCTATACAGCGGAAATTGTTGAAAGCGCCGGTGCGACTCAAACCTTTCAAGACGGACTTTGGAAACAATATGCTTGAATGTGTGCAACATGTGTGACTGTAGCACATGAGACTTGACGCCGGTACAGTGTAATGCGTGAAACTTAGTCTCCTTAGCATCGCGCTAAGGCAGCACCTTAGCATCCTGCTGTTTATATCCTGGCATAACCGAGCTAAGCCACTGCTAATTAATTTGCGGTATAATTAGTCCCAAATTCCTCTGCAGAAAGCGCCTTCCATAAAAATTGGTTGTCGGTTAACTCACGCGACGGCGAAAAGACGAAGTGGACGAAGTATACGCACTCGCGTGACCTTTATGAGCTTGAAAGTCAGATTCACGCCATGAGCCATTTTCCAAGTTTGTACTTAAAATACTTGTAGAAGCACCACTTAAAAAAATCGCCGCATATCTACGAAGTGAATGACGACGAGTGGGCGAAGCACCAGGGATCATTCGGGTAACCGTGAGTTGAAGACCACCATTTTCAATCGGACGTTTGCTGTAATTTGTTTTGGGAAGCTCGACCAGTAACAATTCCAGTGCAAGTCGACTAGCCAACACTATTCCAAAATATTGGAAACTTCGAATATTCGCATATGCCTATCAAGAACACATCTAGACTGCATAAGTTATGGGCACTCAAATGTCTTGGTGACATTTTGGCAAGCCAATAGCGTGCTGTTCCGTGGAGGTTCGTCATTCGGGTTATTTTATCTACCGTGGTCACATAAGAGTGCGTGCGAAGGAATCAAAGAGAAACCAAAGCATTTTTATTGATCGCTGGGGCTGCTCTGCATTCCCAATTCTTCTACCCATTCAACGTACAGAGTGTTTTTTTTGTTGTTGTTGTTTACGCAATACACATTTTTTTTTTAACACTAACAGTTAGGCACTGTGTCGTCTTCGCAGCCAGTCTCTAGGCCGAGGTGGAAAGATTTTGCCACTAATTAGATCACTCAGAAATTATGAACAAAAACATTTTGATTGACTTTTTATTGTCCATTTTAGGGCAGTTTATATGGCGAAGTTGTTCTATATCGCAAATTATGGGGAGCCTAGTTTTAAAAAATTGAAGATATCGAATGTAGTTTCAAAGATCCATCATCTAATTTCCAAATGGCTATGCTAGAAAAACTGAAACTGAACGCACTGGGTGCGCTGGAAAGGCGGTCTTAGTGCTGTGTCACACCTGAACTTCCCCTTACGTAATTCAAAAAATGTCGCTTCACGCGACAAATGATATGTCATCCTAGCAGAGCAGCTCGACCAATAGTTCTTCGTGCGTAATGTGCGGTGATTATCTTATCCTTTGTATTGCTAACCTTTGAAAGGTACAAGAGTCGAATATTAAGCCAAAACCCTTTAATGTTTCATACTCGCGATGACCGGTGTCTGATCTCCTGGCACGGTGCCAGCAGTGGCGTCTCCCCTGATGCGGGAGGATCTGCATGATGGCCGAAGTGCCAGAATACGAATGCATGCGAAAACGGTGGCATGTAAGTCTCGCTGCGATTACGCAAAGGGACGTTCACATCTGAATATGGTTTAATTAAGATGCAAACAATTTGTATCTAACAGCGTGCTCGTGATGCAGCACAGGGTAGTCCTTACGGCTTAGCCAGTGCGTTCAGTTTCAGTTCCTCCGGCATCGCGGTCTGGAAAATTGACAGAGGATCTTTGAAACTACATTCCGATATTTTTATTTTAAAAATTAGGCTGTCCATGATTTGTGACTTGGAACAATGAGCGTAGAACAACATCACCATATGAACCGCCCTAATATGAATAATAAAAAGTTAATTAAATATTTTTGTTAATTAATCATTTATGAGTGATCTATATATTGGCAAAATCTTTTCGCCTCTGCCTATAGACAGGCTGGGAAGGCGATTAAGGCCTAACTATTATAGTTTTTAAAATAAAAATCTGTATTGCATAAAAAAAAAACACCTGTATACTGAATGGGTAAAGTGGCAGGAATGCTGAGCAGCCCCAGCGATCAATTAAATACCTTTTTTTTTTATTCCTTTGCACATACTCTATACTGACCCAAGTCACAACAATGAATTAAATAACCTGAAAAACGAACAGCTACAGAGCACCACACTATTGGCTCGCCAAAATGTCACCAAGACATTTGAATGTCCATAAATTTTGCAGTCCAGATGTGTTCTTGATAGGAATGTGCGAAATTTCAAGTTTCGAATATTTTTCGCATTGAAAGTGATCCCTTCAGATCTTCAATATGCTTTACCTCATTAGCGTTCTCGTATTGGGGCAAAACTACCTTTCAATTTCCATTACAGTTAAAATTTTTAAAGTACGATATAAGGTGGCCCCTTCTAATTTTTTTAAACACCTCATCTCCTCACAGCCGTATAGCAGCAAAGCTACCTTTCAGGCTCCGCTGCGGTCGCAAATGTATTGATTTGAAAAAGTCGCTGGTTCCAAAATGTTGATGATTGATGTGGAAGAGGTGGGGGCTCAAATAATGCCATTTTAGACCCGACATTTGAATAGGAAGCTTGAAAGTTTGGTCCCAGAAGATATCTAGCATCCAATATTTTGGATGTTTTCTACATAAAAATCTACAAGGCAGATTTGGAACTGCGAATCGAAGAGAGCGCACCCCTGTCTGCCACATCATAGAAGTTGAAATAAAAGAAGAGGCTGAGAAAATAGCATCTCTGCCTTTCACGTGAGAAGTGCTTTTGGCAACTCTCTGGTAGCACCAAGTCATGTACCCAAATACAATGCAACCTTCGCATTGCATAATTCTTGATAAGATGACTATGAAATACCACCCCGCGAGCACTTCATCAACCTAGCGAAAAGAAACGCTGTCATGTTGCTTTCTCTCGTGAGAATAAGCTCAGAAATCCTCTTGCACGTTTTTTTCCCGCTATTTTGCTTCGAGCTATTGGAAAAAGATTCCAGAAATATTCGTGAAATATTAAAGAAAGTATTTGATACGTTTCGCACTCGCACTTCAATATACGAAATCGCTTCGCACCCCAAATTTTTCTGTTCGCACAGCTCTAGTTCGTGACCAATGTGCACTGCAGACATCTCGCAGGCTTGAGCTAGCTCTTTGAGACAATTTATGCAGCTGTCTAGTGCATGACACCAGGTGTGACAGTGATCAGACCGAAATGCTTCACCAATAAAAACTTGTCAACTACGCCGTAAGTCGATGGCACGCAGTAAGAGACAAGAGAATGAGGCAGCCAAACACCCAGTCTGTGGATAAGAGATTGAGTGTTACCAGAAATACAGAACAGACAACATATATACTTGCAGAAAACAGTTTGTATGATGGAACAATACGATGAAAAATATGAACGCTTAACAACGTTCAACGTGAGACTAAGAACACAGGACTTCTCATTTCCCCTTCAGCTAGCTTTTGCATCGATAGCGATGTTCATCTAACAGCGCTAAACGTAGCAACCATCATCTTTGGCTCCCTTTCTTAGGTAATAACAAAACTCCAACACGGAGTGTCATTTGTGCGTGCTTCTGTACAGGTTGATGAGCTCCCAGCACCTGAGCCGGGGCTTGGTGTGACGCAAGTTGAGGAAGGCGTGTTCCAGGAATGTCAGGATGTTCCGGCCTCCCTGCGGATACTCGATGTGGAACACCCAGAAGGATGCGAACAGCACGCACACTGCCTCCGAGCAGAGACGAGGCGGTGAGCAGGTAGAACCCGCCGACAAACAGGTCCAGGTTCCCGTTGGGACGTTGGACTAGACATGGAGTTGGAAGTGTTGGGCCCTGTCGGACAAAAAAGAAGAGCAGCAAAGACCAGCTATTCTCACTAAGAATTCAACTTGTACACATTACAGAAAAAAAAAAACGAAAATCGCTGGATTATAATTACACAGTATAGGTACTCCCTTCAAGAAGGTAATTGAGAAGCTAGTATAAAGTGATTGATCACTTCTGAAATTACCTTGCTTACAAGTTCGTTAATACTATTGTAAACGCAGCAAATAGACGAGGCTGGACAAATTATGATTATGACGTCGGGGCCTCTCCTCGGTGATTCTTCCTCCATGATGCAGGTCTACTCTTAAACTGACGTAACCTAAAAGGTCACCTGGTTAGTGTGTGTGGCTACCGGGGGTTCCAAATTGTCGTTATAGAAGTGACCTTTTTTAGGAGGTTGCTGCCGCTGCGGTGTCTCTCATAATCATATCGTGGTTCTCGATTGTCAAACCACAGCAATGATAACGCTCCCACTCAGAGAACGGTCGGGGCCAATGTAGAAGTGAAGGGGCAAGTTGAAAATTTCTTTTTACTTAGCACATTCTCCTCCAGGAATCTCTCGCTGACAAGAACGAAACACCCAAACACAGAAGCGGTCTCACAGATGTGAAAGATGTAGCTGAAAAGGCAAAACTTTCCAGGAGTACTGTACGACATTCCTTGAGCAGACTGGGAATAACATACACTCACACATCGATATAATGAACACGCATATAACGATATGTCAGTACTTATGAAGTTAATGAGAAATAGTCCTGCAATAGACACAGTGTTAGAAAAAACCTTTATAACAAATTTTCGAATATAACAAACTTATTTTCTTGTAAGATTTTAATGAGGAAGCATTTTAATGAGGACAAGAATAAGAAAGTTGCTTCTAATTCTCTTGTGAAGCATGTGGTATCCATTGGACAGGAAATCAACTAGGACGATGCCTGCACCATCGCCACTGAAAGAAAGTTGTTCCATAAGGTGGAAAACTGGGCGAGTTCGTGCAGATTAATTGTGGCACTCGGATTGCGCTAGAATCTAGCTATTAAGACCGAACAGAAATACCAGAACACTGCTCCCCTTGCATATGCAATGCCTGCAACGTGATAACACATACTTAAAGAGGACATACTGTTTTGTTTACTGTCATTGTAAACAAGGCTCTTATTTGGAAGCATGAATGTCTTTAAAATTTTTCCACCTTTTACCTTGTTCAGTGTTTTTTATTTATTTCACTAAGAACAACACAAGCTGGCCTGCCGCTTAGAGCTGGTCAATATTGTAATACTGTAAAATCTCGATATCATGAAAAAGAAATAGAACGAATTACCGGTTGAAACGAAGTTGCGGATACGGCAATTTATTTCAATGGGCAATTCGACCTGTCTGTCAATGCTTTCCAAGAGCTACCGCATTTGCAATACATTGTTCCCTCAACCAAACAATGGTTCTCAAACAGGAGTGTGCCAGCTGTGATTTGCAGTGCGCTGACCAACATTGTTGCCAGTGCCCAGCTGTGTGTCACAATGTTTACTGTGACATACAGGGCCAATAAAACTTCACAACTCACTTTTTGTGGCTGCTGCGTGCATTGCGGTCCCTATCGGCTTGCCTCTAGTGAAATTAGGTATTTTGGCCACAGAGTGACAACAGTATTTTAGACCAAACAATGAAGTCGTCATCAAACACACTGCAAATGAAAAACTGGTAACTATGAAAGACAATACAGCAAAGAAGTCTTGAAACGCCCACCTCTGTCAGAAGACTGTCCAGACTTTCTGAAACCCTTTGAGCAATGGCACCCAACACCATGAGAAGAATATCTGTGGCAAAACAAAAAATTTTCAGAGCATGTTTGATTGTGAACTTTAAGCACAGTGCACTAATAAAGAAAAGTATACTTTAGGACAGTGGTTCACAAATGATAATCTATGATTCGAAAAACCCTCACCCGCTTTTTTTTTAAGTCGTACTTAAATTTAAGTGCAGCTGTGCCAGGTGTTGAAGAAATGTCTAAAATGAAGTGATGTGGCACATTTGTTCGATGTTTTTGGTAGCAATAAAAGGCACCTGTTTCGAGCTCCAGTTGTGTTAATTTGCCTACATACCCCACCTCCCTCCCTTCCACTGCGAGGGGTCCCCCATCACTTCCACCAGTCCACAAGGCATCCCCAACACATCCATGGCTGAGAACTGCTGCTTTAAGATTTCAGACTGAATGTTCTGAATATATGATCTATGAATTGATACTCATGGATAACTGCACATAAGCAAAAGAAACAATCTATTTTATTTTTATTACAAAGAGACACTGAAGCCAAGTGCTAAATTAGCTTACATAGATAAAGAATTACTTCAAAACTCCCTTTTGCCTAATTTTGGAATGATATGTTTCATTCTAAACCAGCAAATAAATTTTAAAAAGGTAATGCCACATCGAAGCTCAAAACACCAGTACACCTGTGCCAGTAAGGTCCTCAAATTGGCTCAGTAAGGCCCTCAAAACTTGACACATCATAAAGCACGTTAGCGTACCGTTTCCGGCATTGGAAATCTTCTAGTATCTCATCCTTCGTCCCCGAGTTCATCAGCACCAGGAACATCCTCTTGATGCCCTTTTCGAAGCATTCAGGAATGTCGGCAGTCCACAGCGTCTTGAAGTCGGCGAGCAGCTAGGAAGGGAGATGTCGGAGAATAGTTTAGTGGGCAGCATAGTCGTGATTAGCTACCCAAGTAGCACCCAATGTTGACTCATCGTTGCTGCAACATCGAGAAAGTTGGAAAGCTGCTTCAACGTTGCAGCAAGATTTCGTGCGATTAGGGAAAGTAGCCCTGCAACACTTTTCAAAATAATCATCTAACGACTTTGTTAAAGGAAGGTTATTACCTCACAATGGACCGCCATAAAAGTTTTCAGGATCTGTCGAGTTGGGGTTCCAGGGATTTGCTGCACGCACTCAAGAACTTTTCCCTCTTCGCAAACTATCATGCGTACTGAAAGCTACGCATGGAGAGATGACAAGAGGGCAAGAATCTAAATTCACTTGTGAGTGCACATCCCAACCTTGAGCACTTACTTAATTTTTTTTCTTTGAACACGCGGCTTAGTTTCAGTGCGACCACGAGTGCGCTTGCATAATTATAGCGCTAACTCTAGCACCATTCAAGCACAGAACGTAACTCTAGCACTATAAAATGCAGTGTGGGCACAATGCAGCATCCCGTGGTGGCTGCGATAGCTACACAGCTTCCAATGCTAGAATCGGCCGGTGGCCGTGGACTTCGCCCTAACGAAGCGGTAGCAGGGCATCATTTGTCTAAACATAAGCGAGGAATTTCGAAGCTGACTTTGGAGCTAATTTCAAATTTTAAGCTGTGTGCTGCACCATAATCGGGAGCCTCCACTACCGACTGGCAGCCTTTTCTGCCTATGCTCAAAAAGTGTTGAAGGGCCCCTTCAACTGGCAAGGCATTCTCACGCTTGTGATGTCCCGAAGAAATTATAGTAATGTTTCGTCTCTTCCAGGGGAGCTATGTTCACAATGCCAAAATTTTAGTGCATCTGTTATTTGCAATCACTTTTGGGCACTGTCCGGTCCCTCATTTCAGTATGCTGCATCCCGACCAAAAAGGCCTTCATACTCTTGACATCATAGCTAGCGATAAAATAGCAAAGAACAGCAGTAGCGGCTATCACTGTGATACAGCAGAGCAAGGAATACAGCAGCATCACTTATAATAAAAATGCACGATGCCATGAACTGCAAACAGCAGCAGCAGATATCACAGTGCAATGACAGCTAACTTACAGCTGACTCCTGCCTGTAAGAAGCAAAGGCGGCGATGGCTTGCTCCACTGTCATGTCACGTATGCTGTCACTCCGCTCCTTGACTGCAAGTGCTTCGCTCTGATCGCCTGCGCCTTCCGTGCCTGCAAGTGCCGGCAGGCCCGTTTGCCACGAGGAATTCGGCACTGAACGATGTCACACCCTGTATGGCCTAGAAAGACACAATCATGTCTGCTCCAACGATGCAACATGGTGCCTCCTTGTGTGATACTGCCAGAAAAGTACTCTCGGTGATAATTCGAAATCATGGAACTATCATGGTTAGAATAGTGGGCAAGGCAATCTTGCATTAAACTATAAAGCACTTTGCACATTGTAGATTGAGACATATTTTCCCAAGTAGCTTGTCACAGATCTCGCGAGTGCTTACAGGGGATAGAATTTAGAAGCAGGGGTATTTGCGATGGGAACAGCAAACACTTTATCCAACAACAAATTGACTCTCCGCAAGGGACCTACACGAGACGAATTCTGTATTTACTCGCATATGAGGTGCACTTTTTTTTTCCGGAAAATGCGGCTCCAAGTTTGGCATGCACCTACTATGCAGGGTAAAATTTCTGAAATTATGATTTCTCTCGATAGCATAGACTGTTGATAAGGTATACATCGTCAAACTCACGAATATTTGCACTACAGCTGCAACGACCTCCTTCATAGGCTTGTTATGACTGTCAATCATCATTTAGGTTTTTTCAACAGCTGTGAACCGGTTGCTAAGTTGTAGACGCATTCCAAGCAAAAGTGCGCAGTTGAGACGAGCTGATTTCCTCTCTGTCAAGCGTGAACAAGAGTGCCCTCGGGCTGGCTCAGGACGATAAGAAAACCCACGAAACAGGAAAGGCCATTGCGATCTTGACTCCATACAAGGCTTTCCGAGCAAATGAGGAGGCGCCGGGGCCATTTTAGATGCCACCATGATATTTGCGGGTTCGGGTGGCAGCTAAAACCAAACCGGTTGCAGCTGAACCTTTCGAGGATAGCGAAGTCTTGAAATTCGCAGTTGTTAAAGAGTAACTCCTAGCAAAACGACAAGGGATTAGTCGACCGCTCCTCATCCCCCCCTCTTTCCATGGACGCGGCTACATGGGGTGGCTTGTTTGACAATAAACCTGTCAGGCTGCTACACTATTCTACCCGAACGCAGACAGGCAAAGAAAATTTTGGCACGTCTATGAGGAGCTGGTCTTTTCGAACATCCCCCTACTTGCTGGGAGAGTTCTTGGAACTCTAGGAACCTCAGACGTGCGCAAAATCTGGTGTCGCGTGGGAAATCTTGGTGTTGTGCGTTTGCGACTATACTTGGCCATCGTTTAGATTGCGCCCTCTCTACGTGCACTTAAACTAGCACTTAAATTACTAATATCTAAAGTAGCACTTAAATTTACTAATATCTAATTTGCCTTGCTGAAATAAATACTGTTTTATTTATTATTATTTGTGGGAAGTCATAGGTAAGATACAGATATTATTCACTTCGCAAAAATGCCTTTCTTTTTCTTCTCTTTTTTACACAGCACCACATTTTTGGCAAGCTCTTCTTCATAATAAACATGGTGTCCGTGACATACAAACATGTGGAGGGCGATAGAAAGTTACTGTGCGGCCGCAAGCGTCCAAAAAAATAACATACTTGTAATGTGACAGTGAGGATGACGATAGTTATAGCGCGAGAACAGAATGACGACAAAGAGACAAGAAGGACACCTCGTCGTTTTGTTCTCGCGCTATAACTATCGTCATATCATATCAACTAGCCCAAACTGCCCCACTAAGTCACAGCGAGGTTTACACTGAACAATCAAATTGTCTCTCCCCAAATATTTCTCTAAACGCTTCAACGACGCAAGCAAGCCAAACCGAAATGGGCCTGCAAGCTGCCATACTGCTTGTGGAGCAACACGAATTTGTGAAAACCGCATCTATAGCCTTCGCTGCACTGTTAATAGCTTCATGGCATAACACGCAGTGCTGTGAAGCAGCACTATAAAAAACCTATCATATTATTTGCACCCCCACTTGGCCACTGAAATTTTCTAGTTTCTGGTGTGGGTTATATGCAATAAGTACGGTATGTCAACTTCTCCATTCGTAACCATGTAACTAAATTTTTCGTCATTCTTACGAGTGCCTCATCTGACTTGTTGCTTGAAGAGGTCTTGCGAAGGGACCCCGCTACCAAAATGAGACCCACTGGACCCAAAGTCCCAACAGGCTACCCAGCGCAAGACGTGTTGAGCATGCAGTCTTCGCGTGTTCGAGAATCGAGGCATGCGATGCGGTGCACTTTCAAATGTTCGAAAATTAACATCGAGAGACACCTCGTGCCAACGAAAAGATCCCTGGGGGAACTACAGAAAGTGCCACAGACTTGCATGGGTCACTAGAGCGACAGAAAGAGAGGTGACATTTACCACAGGACGAGCGACACGTCCCACACTCTCTTTTGGTTTCGGTGGAGCGGCGGCCCGCCGTGTGGTTGCAGTGAACTTGCTCCGGACCTCGTTCATGTTCCAAACGTGTTCCGGCAGCCGGCGTCGAACGTTCTTGAACTTGGACTTCAGCGAGTCGACCCACAGCTCCTGCAGCACAGGCAACCATTTCAGTCCTACGTCCTTGGCCAACCGATCAATGTCTTCAAAAAAAAAAAAACTTCATTCATTTTTACCATATACAAATGACACTTTCAGGCAAAGTACATTTTAGCCTGCCAGATGCAGATATGCAATCTATGTTTATGTATCTGAAGTAGTTTATGAGATATTAATTATATTATAAAAAAATCAATATGGCCAACTTATAAAAATTTTATCGTAGAATATCCTAGAAATTCATCTAGGCCTTTTCTAAAACAATTGGAGACTTCAAGTAGATTACAGTCAAACTCCGCTACAATGAGCACTGCTTCAACGAAATTTCCGCGACATCGAAAAATTCACAATTCCCCGTTAGCAGTCCATAAGAGTCAATGCATAAATATTGTCGCCACAACGAACACTTTTTATTCGATCGTCCTGCTTCAACGAAATTTTACGATGCAACTCCAGGCGCAGATCTTTATTTCTATGCAGTAAACCCAATCTTTAACATTTCGATGCATTTTCAGAGCCTGAAAATGTGTGAACGAAGTCTAAAACACGCGTTGGCACCACCAGAAATCGCCGCTATACCGCCGCTGATCAGCAAGCATGGGCGCCGCCATTGCTCGGTAGTGATGGCATTGAGACTGCCCTGGTTCTGCCACTGGCTTGCTTTTGAGCCGCAGACGATCCGAAGCTGAAGCTCAGTCGCTCAGTTCATGGTTATTCACGCAGCTGCTGGGTGCAACCACGGAACGATGCCTTTACCAATTCCGGTGCTTATCATCAAGTTTGCGCTTGGCCGGTGTGGTAACTAATCAGAGCGGCTGTTCATCCGCATTATCAACAAAATCAGCTAGCCGCGAGTGATGGATGATAAGAATGGCATAGAACAATGCAAAAGTCGTCGCTCCACGATACCCTGCCTCCATCTCGGCGTTGTCGGATACTTTTGACGGCGGACAGCTACTGGTGTTAACGTGTTATTGAAACTGTTTGGTTCGTTCACGAAGGCGGTTTTAGGCGTTGTTTCAGCGTGCTTTTCACCATGGCCTCACTATGCATGAGTGAGAATCACGTCGTCACGCTGCTGGGAAAGAATAAGAAGCAGCGGAGATTTTTTTGAATTTTGAGAATAAACCTTCCTTTGTTTTGCTAGCTCAGATCAGTTACAATTTTTCGATTTCACTGCAACAAAATTTTCGCTTCAACAAAATTTCTTCCGTGCCCCGTCAGTTTATTTGTACTGGGGTTCGACTGTATTACATTGGTTTTCATCATCAGCCTGACTAAACCCACTGAAGGACAAAGGCCTCTCCCATTTTCGGTCAATCAACCCGGTCCTGTGCTTGCTGCTGCCACTTTATACCTGCAAACTCCCTAAACTCATCTGCCCACCTAACTTTCTGTCTCCCCCTAACCCGCTTGCCTTCTCTGGAAAACCAGTCAGTTACCCTTAATGACCAGCGGTTATCCTGCCTACGGGCTTCATGCCCGGCCTATGTCCCTTTCTTCTTCTTGATTTCAAGTACGATATTCAAGTACGATATTATTCTTGTGGTTCGGCTCTGTACTTACCACCTGTCCTAAGCAGAAGTACTCTTTTACAACTTCAAGAGCACTATTGCCTACCTGTAAAGAGAGTTTAAGGCAGGGAGACAAGATCTCTCCAATGCTATTCACAGAGTGTTTACAGGTTTTCAGGGCAACAAAAGTGCTGAATACCAATTCTTTCTTTCTTAAATGTATATGTAGCCACGTAACTGCTTCATCCATTCTATGACAATTGATATTATTTCAGAAGAACCTTCAGAACAATGTCAATGTTCAATAAAATGGCCAAAATTGAACAAACAGTTGAATCCTGATGCTTTTGCACTGAAACCACAACGTTGTTTCACTTGGTAACAAACTATGGATCATCACTGATCACTTGCAGTTCTTTACTGTGCGCCCAACTGGAAGTACTGTGGCTGTTTTTGCTTTCGGCTACCAACAATATACAGCTGCCTTTGCCAAAGTCGAACCATCATCTTCAAAGCGTAACAGCACAAGACCACAGCCACTAGGCTACAATGATGGGTAATCAAATGTTTCTTAGTATTTTTTTTTTTGCTTTAGCAGTCAATGTAAATAATGAAACTAAAGAGACCTATTTTAAAGGGACATCACAACACATCCTTTTCCAGGCACTCTACGACTTGTAACAAGTGCTAATTGTTTCTCTCACCCTTCCAGTTTCCCCAGTGGTATCAATCAGGTGTGGGTACTTGTGGAGCAGGAGGTCCACAGCAGTCCTGTACAGGTGCGACGTCGGGTATCTGGAAAATCGAAAATTTCAAAACCAGCGGCCCAGCTAACAAATACTGGTACAGACGTGCTGGCAATCATTGACACCAACAACACGAAATACCAAAATGAAAATTACCAAGCTCAACAGCGGACACTATGCCGGGCAAGAACGCTAGAGAATGCTGTACAACTTAAAGGGGACGTAAAACATTTTTTCGAGTAGCTATGGAATGAATTCACTGGAAGAGCTTATTGACTGACGAATTCAATGGTGCAAAAATTTTAAGAATCTGTTCAGTGCTAGTGGAGTTACAAAGATTTGGCACATGCTGCAATGACATTTCTCTTCTCTCGCCCCGACAAAAGCGCTGGAAGCTAAGCTGGGAGGGATGGCAGGGGCAAAGAGAATACGTCACCCGTGCCTTGTGACCTTGAGCGTTTTTTTTTTTTTCTTCGAATGCGTGGCTTTTTCAATGTGATCGCGTGCGCAGGCGTGGACAAGTCACGGCCTGCCGCGGCGATTTCTGTAACGACCGAGCGCGCCATGCTCAAATCAGCCACTGGCTGATAGATGGGCTTGCTACAAGTGATCTTAGAGCTTTTTCTGTCATTTGTCGATAGAAGAGAAAGCAATTTTTAGCTGACTTTGATAATTTATTGTGAATTCCAGGCCGTGTGCTACGCTATAATATTTGGCTTGCGTGTTGTTGGGAGCCTTTATTACCAATCAGCAGCGTTTTTGACCATGCTCAAAAAGTGTTGCAGGGCCCCTTTAGCAGGTGCACCCTACTGTCACTGTCATTCAATTCGAAGAGAATTTGCACAGATGCCCTATCCAGTCACATTTCTTCATTCCATGATGTCAAAGACCTTTCATGTATTTGAGGTAGGTGGTTTTCCTATAGAGACACAAGTTGCTGTACCTAGTTTTGGTCTGAAACTTAAATTTTTAGCTAAATCTCATAGAAAATTCTGATATCACTCACTGCTCAGCCAGACGTAATATTTTATGTCGGGATGACGAACCTTTGATTGGTAATACACTGAAATCTCAATATAACAAACCTGGATATAACGATATATTGGTTATAACAAACTAAATTAAAAAGTCTTGCATTAGATAGTGTATTAAATACACCTTTATAACGAAGTCATTTTCATCTAAAAAGCAACTCTGCTATTATGAGGTATGAGTGTATGCATAATATTCACATTAGCAGCAGAAAAGTACTCATGGTTGCTATGGAAACTATCTGTCACAACGCTCTTGCACAGAAGACTGGAGCTGCGCTGTTGTTCTTGGGTCGCAAACGACAATAACTGTGTCTGTAAACATGCCATGAGACTCCATAAGCAGTCTGCTAACCCGCAGGTCGCGGGATCAAATCCCGGCTGCGGCGGCTGCATTTCTGATGGAGGCGGAAATGTTGTAGGCCCGTGTGCTCAGATTTGGGCGCACGTTAAAGAACCCCAGGTGGTCGAAATTTCCGAAGCTCTCCACTACGGCGTCTCTCATATTCATATGGTGGTTTTGGGACGTTAAACTCCACATATCAATCAAACTCCATAAGCAGTGAAACCCCACTTATACATTCCTCACATTTTTTCCCAGGAATAACATTTCTTTCGCATAAGGGCCCACGAATGAAGCTACAAACGCCTCTCTACTAGAATCGTCTTCTTACACACCGTTTCCGCAACGTTCCGGCCTAACATGCTGCGAAGTGTGATTGCATTGGAGGTGCATAAATGAGTTTGGCAATGCGTGATATCGCAAGTTTTCCGACTGCTCAAAAATATTTCATCATGTTAGAGGACCAAAATAAATGCATACCAGCCAAGTTCAAGGATTTTTAATCTGGGAAATTGTCGCAATGAGGGGGGGGGGGGGGGGGGCACAAAAAAAAACAGGACACATACAAACAAACAAAAAAAACTCGAAAAACAAAAGGGCGTTGGAGGGTGGTCTCAATCACAGGCGCGGACATCAGCGTTGCGGTCTTATAGAGGCTAGGAGTGCCCGAACACACGAGGGTAGAGTTTTTCACTAAGGTGAGAGTCTGAAACGATCAACACAACTAACAGAATTTATTTAAGTTAAAACAACTCGCATATGTCTTCCTGGGACACACGTAAACGGACGGGATGGCGCAGCTGGCTGCCGCAAAAGCGCAAGTCATAGCTTTGCTCACTACTAGATTCTTTTGACAGGAACGCCAAAACGCGTCTGGCCCCTTTTTATTGCGGTAGCAATTATACGGACAGTCCAGGCTGTTTTTCCGCCGTCGCCACCGCCGCCGTCCTTCACCATATATGTAAATGTATCTATATATATGAAAACTCAAAGAACTCTCGCTGCCGAGCTCGTCACGATGTGCCAACGCGTGCTTATCTCTCACGTGTACTTTGCCCCATGGATGGATGCCTGTGGGCGAGCACCTAGTATCCTTAGGTTAGAGAATCATGTGCCATCGGCTATCACTGAAACGAAAGCGTTAGTTGCCAGTCCACACAGGTCACTTTGGTCTCTGCACAGGCCCCTTTTGCGAAAACAGCGCGGTTTTCATACACAGCGAGGTATAACAACTGGGACACTTGTTAGTTTGTACGCATCTGTACCTGTGATTGCGTATCTTGCATCGTTTTTGTTTAAACAGAGTGTTACGTGTCGAGCGGTAAACGTTGTCAGTTCACTCTCGTCCTGCAAGTATCGTTTTGGTGCGTCATTTGTGCGTGAGCAGCGCAATGCACGTTTCGATCTGCTTGCCGTTTTCAGCGTTACATTCCAAGTTGTTGATGTCGCATTGGTGAAACTGTAACTTTTTAAAAATTTTTTACGTATTTACTGCCTTTAACCTACCGCTGCGTGCTCTCGGAGCTCGTAGATCGCTATCGCGTCGCCGCGACCACGGTTTTGTGCGCGGCGGTTGCGGCAAACGGTAGTTCATTTTACAATCCCCATGCACTTGGCTGTGCACGCGCCTTCTAAACTAAGTCGTTTTATGCCATCTATGATAGCATCTGCCACAGTTTTGTTCGCAGAGTTTACGTAACGCAGCATTGCTTTGACTGGTTGAGCGCACACTGTCAGGGTTCTGTCAGTTACGTCGTCGCCACACATGATCGTGTCAAGAGCGGCCGTGGTTTCGTCTACAGCGGTTGTGGCAACGACAATCACACACACTGTAGAAAACAGTGCGTGCGCCGGTCGCATGCGTACTTCCGAAGCTTCGAGTTTGCTGCTCTCGGCCTTTGTTCGGCGGTTTCCGTACTGAAGTTCGTATCACCCGCTGCGATTAGGAAATGTGTTCGGAACATTCAAATTGAGGCCCAATTAACATAGTGGAATTTGGCTGGGGAATTCCAGTAATTCGTATTTGCCGCGGTTTCGCATCACTGAGATTATACTGTACATTTACATGAACGCCTCTTAAACTCATTTATAATAAAATGGGGTAGGTTCGAAAAGCCTGGAGTGGATGGAGCAGCTTTTTTGTAAATGCAGCCAGATCATGCACAGAAATTTCAATTTCCGCGAGATTTTTATGACAACCGTACAATCGGAAAAAAACGGTCTAAATCCGGGAGTCTCCCGGCCAGTCCGGGAAACTTGGCAGGTATGTAAATGCCATACTTTCGTGAAGGACTTCACTGAGCCATTGACTGATGAATAAACATTTCTGACTAAAAGCTGTGTGAAATGCATCTCTTTTACCTATTTAGCAGCACTCTCCCCAAACTTGAACCACAGGTTCACACTAGGCTTCCCGGCTGCTGTACGTATTTTTTTTCGTGGTCCAGAGAAAAATGTATTAGAGAAGTTTTACTGTAACTGCTTATGATAATTATAATCATGGCACTGGTGGTGGTAGCAAACTATGTATTTATAGTCAACTCTTGATATAATGACTATAGATGTAATGAATATCTACACACTAATACACTGTTGCAAATATACCAGTAGACTCTCCGTAAACGAAAATTCGTTAAATGAAACTGCAGCTTAATCTAAAGGAGTGCTGTTAATGCGATTGGTTTCATAACTTAATTCCGCACCCCTACAACTCACTCAATAAACGGAAATCCTCTTGGAGCATATATTCCTGGTTTCTTCAGTCTTTAGGGTTCATTTAACAAGAGTCTGTTGAACGTTTATGATGAACTTGAGGGCATAATATTGTAATTTTCATGTCAGCGTCAACTTCGTTATGAGAAGGTTCGACTGTAGATTCATCATAAAACATGCACAAATACCTGGCTTGTCTTTCAATGCTGACTAGCACAAACACACTCAAAAAAGGTCTGTGACATGTATCTTCGGGCATGTTCATGGTCATTTGTCTTTAGTTTCAAAGTGCACTAAACATACAACGGAAAAGTGCTGTGTCCCCGTCGTTATTTTCCGTCGTTGTTTGCTAAGCGTGCTAGAAAAGTGAAAAACAAGCTCGTGGGCTTCTAGATGCAATACACTTGGCACGCAGATGACAACACTAATGAAAGAATGTCGCATACAAAATGAGGATGCTTTGTCTTACAGGGTTATCTTGGAGCAAGCGTCAAAGAGGCACCGGATGATGTGACGCCGAAGCCTGCTGGACACTGGCTGTTTCGTCTCCAGCGCATCTTCAAACACCCCAAAGGACGGCAGTTCAAACTGCATGTCATCCCTGTCCTCGAGAGACGGTCTCCCCTTTTTGCATGGGCTTGACCTAGATTAATTATAGTCGGGGCGTGGGTTAGACTAATCTGGCATGGACTTGCTAAGCAGAGCTTAATCAATCTTGACTAAATCTGTATTTGTCATAATCCTCCTTAATTTGGATTAGTGTATTTACACATTTACTTACAACTGGCTTGATCACAGAGGGCCAGAGTTCGTGATTTTGACTGATGGATTAAATTGGATCAGCTTACGCTGGAAAACTTAATCTGGCCTGGCTCAACCCTAAACCTAGCTGGGCAAACTTGACTTCATTTATATTAGCTTATTAGGCTTAATCCTAATTAGATAAGTTAACTAGGCTTGGCTTAATAATATTTGACAATGTATACCTAGATTCGACTAAGTTAAACTAAGCTTGATTCGATCATGCTCAACATGAACTAATTAGACTTAGAGTCCTGGCTTCATTAGAATTGATCATGCTAACTTACTGCACTGCACACACGAAGTGCAGCTGTGCTATTTGCCTGGTGATGCCAGATTCAATATAAGGTGGAGGCCATCCATAATGATGATAGTTTCTGTTCTCTTGAAACAAACAAGTGAAAAGCGTCACAACTACACTGTGCAAACTTTGTCGCCGACAGTGGGAAAGGTGAATTCAGGCTCTTTTAGCACAAATACAATATGCAGGATGCCAGTGCAATATAAAAAGTATGACAAATAAATACCAGCAGCAACAAACTTCAAAAGTGCATTGCATCAAAATTCACATGTTATTGCATTAGATTACTAAACATAAAGCATGTTACCATTGACACGTGAATGCACTAGACCACTAACCATAAAACGTGTCTGAGCTCTTCTACCTAGAATATACAGCATTCACAGTTTGAAATGTGACACCGAAACCTTTAGTATAATGACTTGCTTGTGCAATTGTATACGCAATAATCACCTCATGTCGCTACAAATTGTGAGGGTGCTATCACCCTTGCACGGTTGCTTTTTCCGCATGGCACGTGCATCCAGCGGGTTAGTGTTAACGGTTAGTTTTGATGTCAAGCAAGAGAAGGCGCTGTGGGTGCGTTATCATGCTGCCCTACCAGCCCGGGTAACCAGCTGCGCAGGGAACAGCAGCGAAGCTCTTTTGAGTTTAGCAGCGTGCGTGGACGAACAGCTCTCGACGAGTCTGTACGAATCTGCGAACCAGGCCCGCAGGCCCTTACGGTGAGTCAAACATTGGCGATGCCACATTTGCAGTGCCTTGTAAGTGCATTATATTGCTCGTTATTTTTATGCTGTTTGCCTGATGTATTGGCCTTGTGTTCGGATCCCTTGTCACTTAACTTGTTGCTCGTATTTGGCTAGAGAGCACGCCAGTCTAGAAGCAGTCGTGTTTTCTTGTTGCATGACGATGTGGTTGCGCCCATGTGTTCTGACAGCCGACTGACTCGCCGGCCTCACAAAATCTGGCCACTAAAAGTCATGTTGGCTCTGACGTAAGCATTTTGAGTTCTAAATATGCTGATATGAAGTGAACTGAAAACAATAGAAACAGAAGTACAGTAGACTCTCATTAAACGGAACCTGAAGGATCCGGGAAAATGTGTTCCATTTAACAGGAGTTCCATTTAGTGAGAGGTGAAGTGTGTTGCGGCATTCATGTATGAAACCAATCATATCAGAGGAAGTTGTTCCATTTGAGCAGCAGTTCCATTTAACAGATTTCAGTTTACTGAGAGCCTACTGTACAGCCATTGCCTAGTCTTACAACTGTCGCATTTCAATGTGTGAGCACTGCACAACCCGAATACCATAATGAAGTGACAAATGCCACTTATTACACTGAAAGCAGAAGGAATCTACGACGTTTCATCACACCCAAACCACATAAGTAAGCCATTCTAATTCTTGATGACAAATACACTGGAATTGCATGTGTCAGAACCCGGACATGACTGCAAAGCATGCTGGAGTGTAGGACTACAGATCAATTTTCGTCGCGTGAAGTCCTTCAAGGTGCACATAAATTTAATTAGATGGACATCTTTTGCCCCGTTGAAATGCCACCGCTGTGATTGCAATCAGACCAGCGACCTTGCACTTAGTAGCATAACAATGCCATAGTTGCTAAAGATGCCGCCACAATGGATGTCGACACAACAAAGCACAAGCCAAGCTTTACGACAACTGCCAATGGTACCAATTTGGGCAAAAAGTAAGTTGCAAAGCGAATTTGAACCGAATAGCGACTTGGTGGAGTAATTTTGAATACCATAGTTCAAATATTATAGCGCATACTACTATAAAGAATATTGAGCATTTTTGTCATGACCCAGCTTACATCTCTACATTTTTATGAATTAGAAAAAGGCTAGTGCAAATGCCTTTTGTTTTTTTCGGAACAAGGTGGAAGCAACTTTGAATAGTAGCAGTATAATGGAGTAACAGTGGGGATAAAGCAGCCAGTGGTAAAATACATCGGGTTCTAAAATTTTCTATGCTACCTAGGTCGTATAATCCTGCTTAACACACTTTTAAAGTTCAAAACATAGTTTATCGACACGCACGTAACATGTGAATTTAAACACTGTACCTGCCTTTTCCACGATGCCGTGGCACATGCCCCTTTGCCAAGCGAAAAAGTCGAGAAACGACTCATAGTGACGACTGAAAATAGCGCTAAGAAACGGGGACACAAGAAGAGGACACACGGCACACACGGTGTTAGAGGCTTTCATTCTAGCAATGCCAGTCCTCGCGGCCCCTTCCAAACCCTACTGAAATGCCAGTGGGTGGCACAGAAAAATGAATAAGACGAATTGTGGCTTAGCGGCAGCCAAGATTTTCCTTGCACGGGTGGTTTTGCAGCATAGCAACCTCCCGATGCAACGAAACCCCCTTTAAGGGGGGACACAGACTGTGGAGACCGAAATATCGTGAAAATCATTGTTTCTTTATTGTGTTTTTGAAATCTACAGCTACTAGTCCACTTGTTGCGTGAATTTAATGCCACTTATATCATTATTTTAGCCGCTAAAGCCTTTTATACGGCGCTTTCTAGCTATATTTGAGCCGAAATCGACATTGAAATCGCACCTTTTCCGTGACGCGCCCCTGCCCTTTCATGAGTGCCAGCGCGGCCCGCTTGGTCTCATTTGAGAGAGCCGTCTTTCACCTTCAAATTCCCGCCAGAATGGGTCCAATTCAACCATTGGCAGCTAGTAAAATGAGCGGCGAAAAGAAGTGTCAGAGCGCCTTCCTATTCGCTACTTTGCGCACGTGACTTGAGCTTGTCTCCCTATTTGTGGAGGCTCCTGGCTTCCTCTGCTCCAGGTATTGAGGTGCGCATCCATGCGCGCCATTTTGCCTCAGTGTCAGCGTAAAAGTTTCACGAGGTCAAATCCTGAGCGCAAATTTCGCACGCGGCACAAGTTTGGTGCGATAAAGGTGCAAAGGACGCTAGTAGCGAATTTCAAGAAGTGCTCCGTGATACAGCAAAACCCACAAGACGCTACCATGGAAGGCCTAGCTACCGTATCAGTTGTCACAGAGCCTGTGCAATATATGGAGTTGTCATGGCGCCTGTGCAAGATAAAGAGTGTTGCACGCAGTAAACTGTCATTTTGAATACTTCAAAACTTCAGAAACTTCAAATTCATGTCCAAGTAAATTAGAATGCTGTAACGCTAATGTAAATGTCCGAAGCGCTCGATTATTCACCCAAGCTTAGCATCACCACAACAAAGCATAAGCCCAACTTTACGGCAACAGCGAGCTGTGCCAATTTTACAATGCTGACGACGACTAAAACAGTGCGAAGGATGGGACAAACGAGAAGAGAACACAAACACAGCGCTGCTTCATTTGTCCCGTCCTTCACACTGTTTTAGTCATCGTCTACCATGCACCATTAACAAGCCCAATCAAGCACACTGTTGATGACAATGCTGAACTGACCTATCTTCGAGCGACAGTTCGCCACCGTTCGTGTTGCCGTCCACGAGTGCCCTGCCGCCAGCTTGCTCCACGAGCTCCTCCGTAGCACCACCATCCGTGCACGCGCTAAGTAGCTCCGAAACGGTGACGTCCCGCAACTCGGAATCGTCGAAGTTGGAACAGTTCGACGTAGCCTCACTGCTCCGTTGATCCGGCTCTACTTTGAAAGTCATTTCCGTGCCAGCGGAGGCATCCTCCCCCGATTGGTGGTGGGAGTCTGCTGACTCGCTGGCTTCCAATGGCACGTCAACACCGAGAGCCTGTCATTGAGAGGAAAATACGTCGAGGGGGCGGGGGGTGATCCTTACAATAATTGTAGGGGTATAACGTTCGAAAATCACTATATTATAATGAGGGACGCCATAGAGCAGGGCTTTGGAAGTTTTGACCACCTGAGGTTTTTTTGACGTGCTCTGAAACATAAGCCCACAGGCCTCTATGATATCGCCTCCATCGTCATGCTGTTTGGGCATCATACCCAATAGACCACTGCTGTAGGTCAAAGGGGGAAGGGGGCTCCTTTAGAAGCATATTTTTTTTAATTTTAGGTGTTTTTTCATGTGCTGATTGCAGGAGTACAATCATCTTTCCGGTACAATATGCTGTTCTTAATAAGAGAGGTTTCAAGCGCCTTGTTAGGAGTAGAATTAGTTCGAAACACTGACCCTTACAAAACAAATCAGCATATCGCAGTAACCCAGCAGAAAAACTAGTATCACCCCGAAATTCACACGAGCCGTGATCATGTCACCGAGGCTTCACTGTAACTATTTTTTACCAAAAGTTAAAACTAATGGTCGACCCACTTCTCTGTTTACAGTTGATTTCCTTCTAAACCAGTATTCCAGGTGACATGAAGCTTTTTCACAGTATAGGCAGTTTCGAAAAGCAATCATTTTCGTATTTACTTTAGCTGTGACTAATCTACTACAATTTATGCTGTTCAACCTGTTCTATTAAATCACTAATCATGTTCGTTCAATTTTATGTTGGCTCACTTAATGCCATACATCTGAACTTCTTGCAATTTCAGTACCGTCTCATACATTCTACATTTTTTTATCACTATTATTCATCACAACATGCAATTATTTCATACAATGGTGTTTCATTTACGAATTCAACTATTTTTCTAAGTTACATGTTTGTATGTAGACTCGTATGCTGCAATGCCATTTGTATTAACCAAATTTTTTTTGTTCGTTTCAATTCTCACAGTACGTATTTCTGTGTAATTCGATATCATGTTTTAGTTCCTTCGTTGTCAAATGTTATTAATTCTTCGAAACTTAACTGATTTTTTCTGTTAGTAAATGGCTTTTTCTTATTAGTTATCTTTTAATTAGTACAGAAGATTCCCTTGCAGCTTAAAGCTTTGGGTGCTGTAGGTGCTTTATATAATGTTTTCATTGCTAAATGAATTATGACTAAATGAATTTTCGATAACTTCATGAGTAAAAGGGCCCAGCAACACTTTTTGAGCATAGTCAGAAAATATTGCCGATCGGTAGTAGAGGCTCCCGAGAACACGTGAGCCAAATATTATAGCGCAGCACACGGCCTGGAATTCACAATAAATGATCAAAATCAGCTCAAAATTGCTTTCTATTTTCTCGACGAATGACAGAGGAAACCCAAAATCACTTGTAGAAGGCCAATTATATCAGCCATTGGCAGATTTGAGCATGGCGCGCTCGGTTGTTACAGGAATCGCAGCGGGAGGCTGCGACTTGTCCATGCATGCGCGCGATCACCTTAAGAAAGCCACGTATTCGAAGAAAAAAAAAAAGTGCTCAAGGTCACGGGGCGCACGTGACGTATTTTTTTTGCCCATGTCATCCCTCCCTGCTTAGCTTCCAGCGCTTTCGTCGGAACGAGAGAATGCAATTGCAGCATGCGACAAATCTTAGTAACTCCACTCACATTGGATGAATTCTTAAAAATTTTGCGGGGTTGAATTCGTGAGGCAGTAAGCTCTTTTAGTGAATCGGTTCCATGGTTACCTGAAGAAGTGTTTCAGGGCCCTTTCAATGCACAAGTAGCATGACAGGTGTTCTAGAGTGTCATTGCAACTATGATTACTGCACTGCGACTGCGATCAGCTGCTAAAATTCGAACTTGTAGCACTGTTCTCTCAGAGCTTCGCTCAAACAGCTCAAGCTACTTTGCAGGTGACAAGCTTCTGCTGCGAAACTATCACGCAATTTGTTGGGATACCTGCCAACAGGATGCATCAATCTCGCACCTGATAAGAATGTGCCAAATATTTTACACCCACCTTCTGTGCTTCGGCCACCTGGTACCGGACTTCTTCCAGCGTGCGTTTCCCTCCAAACTTCCTTCTCGACTCACCCACGAGACCAGGCTTCTCCGGGAGCTTTCGTCGCACGTTCTTGAACTTGCTCCTCAGGGCCAGACACCAGCATTGCTGGAAGTAGCATACGAACCAACATATGAAACTCTCAAGTTCGAAATCAAGAATGAAGCCGAGTATTGCAGACACTTGGGTGTTTGGTGCGGAGTAGGGTGCAACAACCCTTTTCTGCCTTTCTCCCCGAAGTTTCTAAACTATGCTTGTTTATGTATAGAGTTGAATCTGAATACTTTAGGCATCTATTATGCCCTTTATCCTCATCTGGACAGCAGTCAATCATCATCACCTATTCTGGCTGACAGCCATCATCGTTTTTGAATGTGCACATCATCTTTGCGTCCGCTGCGCTTGTTCGCTCCCAAGTTCACGGTCAATAAATGTCGTTACAACTGAGTCGTCATCCGAGCGCAACGAACCCAAAGATGAAGCGCACGTTCAAAGACGATGATGACTGTCAGCCAGAATAGGTGATGATGATTGACTGCAGTCCAGATGAGGATAAAGCGCATAATAGATGCCTACAATACATTTAATTTGAAGGGAATCACAAAAATGTTCTATATATAAGTAACTTGGTTTACAGTAATTTTCATATTAATAAAGTATTTCAAAGGTATTTTAAAGCTGCTCGATAACCAGAATACTTTGTTACATATGCGTTCGATATATACATGTCTGACCGTACTTGCACGCATGGATATATACACGAAGGGTGGTTGAAACCACCTCCTCCACCCCCCTCCCATACTCCGTTGACTTGCATGTTTATTTGTAGTGAGAGTGTGCCACAAAGTGTGTGAAACTGTACAGAAATGATAGAATGACACATGCCATTGCTTGTGCTGACATGCATCACTTTGACTATCTTGCTCGTCTTTAAGCACGCTGCTTTATATATCCTCAAAGCAACATTACTTGGTTACCCGTTCAACTATTACTTAGTTAGTGGATGAAGGAAATGACAAAGCCAGCGCAAAGAGCATGATTTCAGCTTACCTTCAACAACACAGGTCATGCTACATCTTCCAATGAAACAAGTGAACCCTGGCCTGAACTAATGACACCAGCCATAAAGTAAGTAGCAGTCACGCGTGTCAAACGCTAGCTTACCCAGTTGAAAGGTCCCTCAGCAATGTGCGGGTACTTCATCACCAGGACGTCGATTGCCCTTCTGTACAACCTCCTCGTTGGGTACCTGCAAAAACGAGGGGGTTTACAAACCAGGTCGATTTCAAGGTGTCTGTGCCAGTAGTTGAGCACTGTAACCAGAAGTGGCTATAGCGATTCACTCGTTAACCTTTTGTCATCGACTTGGCAGCCTGTGCGTTCTCCATTGCAAATGTTTCTTAGTGCTTCAGGAAGCATGATATGTGCTCCAAGATTCATGCATTCTTGCTAAATATTTTAATATTACCTTATCCATGTAAACAACTTTCAGTTTTGATTTCTTAGCACCAAGTTGGACACTGACTTCACCCTATTGGAAGCTTGAACACGCAGGCCCACAAAGCTGTTATGCACGCTACGCTGCATAGTCTTCTCTCACACACACATGTGAGCAACTGTCCCGATGCCTTCAACATGCTCTGAAATTTTCTAATAGAAAACATTTGAGTGTACGGCACTCTGGCATGCAGAGGTGCTCCCGAAGTACCAGGTTATGGGACAATGGCACCCACATCTTGAGACACTTTGTGTTATCATAGTTACGGTTACGTTTTTTCGTTCTCGCTGTAAAGCTGTGACAAAAAAAAACACTTCAAAATGCAACGCATTCAAAACTAATGCTACTGCCAAGAACTAACACCAGCAGAGAGGTGGAAAACATTAGGTTTCTTCAACAGTAATACTGTGCTTGCCTAGTTCACCTTTTCGCCACCAGGTAGCCCCCTAGGGATCCTGTGGCTTATAGAGTAACTGTATATGCTACCTTTAGATAACAGAGTAGAGCATTAGTTTTCCAACGATCATGCACTGCGGAGAAGCTGGTGCACAGGACGCACTGCCAAAACCGGTTGCTGTCCCCCTGAAATCTATCAAATGACCGTCGTGCACTCTGTAGCTCGTTAGCTACAAACTGGTAACTTTATTTGCTTTAGATTCATGTCCTTAAGCTTTGACAGAAAATTATTTGCGTGGATTCGGCACCATTTCCGAAAAAACATACTGAAATAATGAAAGCTGTAGGCTTAGTGTGGCACTCCTTGAATTTCGAATGTTTATATGTTTGTGAGTTGTTGCTTATCTTTTATAGCTGGCGCCACTTGACCATGCGGCAGCGGAGGTGCATTTTATTCGGCACTTTGCTATGCATTTGCGCTTTGCATTACCGAACAGACTAAAAAAATGCTTTTGAACTCCTGTGACACAGTCCCAGAAGCAGGTGCAGTCGAATTTAGATGATTCAAACTCAAAGGGGCCCGAAAATTTGTTTCAAATTAAAAGAAGTTCGAATTAATGAAAGCAAAATAAACGGAGGGCTCTCCATGCAGCGGTGCATGTGCATTGACCTAACACACGAGGGAGAAGTTTCAGAAGACTTGCATTTATTCACAAATCACAGGAGGTTTGTTATTAATTGAAGTAATCGGCGATGCGCATGTGCACACGTTTGCCTTGCAGCGAGTAAATCAATTTCGCACGCAGCTTGCAAAGCATTTCTACTTTAGCTTCAGCATTATCCTGGCAAAAAAAGCTGCGCGCGGAAATGTCCAGCGCCGACACTTCCTAAAAACTACGACAACAAGGACTGCGTAGCGAGCCTCCCGCTCTCCCCTACGCAGCCGCACCATGGCCAGCACGTGACGAGAAAGGAGGAGCGTCTCCATGCGGAGAGAAACAGATCGGCATTTGAGAGAAATTTTTTTTTTCCTCTCTTCACGCGTCGTTGAAAGGAGAAGGGTTACGTGGCAGGGACGGGAAAGGGGGAAGCGTGGCACCGGCGCGTGAGAGACCCCCCCCCTCAATGTGCAGAGTCACGCTCCCACAAGGGCTGCAGAAGATAGTGCCTTGTTCCTTTCCTTCAACCACACATTCACTCAACCCAGCGACATCTTTTTTTTTTTTTTCCTCTCTCTCTTCGCACGGTGGTTGGAAGGAGAAGGGTCTTTACGTGGCAGGGACAGAAAAGGGAGAAACGTGACACGGGCGTGTCGCAGATCGGCATTTGAGAGAGAGCAAACAATCCACCGCAGCCTTTTCTTTCCTTTTCATTTCCTTCGCGCGCAGCGTTGAGATGTCACAGGAGCCGCCGCGGGATGGGGCGGGGTGCTGAGAGCATTTTCGGAGCGTGGTATGCTCGAATGAACCGTCGGAAGTGCTTCGGCATTCGAATTACCGGGCGTTTTCGCCCATTGGAATACACATAGCTTTGACGAGACCTCATCATGAGTTTGAATTAACTGGAAGTTCGAATGAAGCGTCTTCAGATTAATGAGATTCGACTGTATTTCTTTTTTCTTCACCGGTCGTTGACACGCTAGGCACATCGGGTGGCGATTGGTGACATGCTTTGTCGATCGGCGACAGGATTAAGCAAGTCGCCTGCAAAAACAAAACGCGACTTTGCCGCGTAACTTTGGTTGCTAACCAGGCTAAATGGCAGACCTATGCGCTACTCCGCTCCCGTAGGTAGCATACACAGTGACTCTAGTGATTTGCAGCTTCTCACATGAACGGCTATGGAAACCAAGTATGCAAAGAAGTGTGCAAATGAACAAAAATTCTCTAATCTCATCTTTGCAGTTTTGCGTGAAGGTGCAAAGCACTTTGGGAAATGCAAGCAAGATTGGCTACTTTGGTAGCGAGCTCACAATATATAAGCGTAGTTCGCAATTGATGCACCCTTGGCTTGCCTGGAGCAGCAAAACTGTGGGTCACCGTTCGTTTCAAGTCAGTCTGATGTCACTGAAACTCTCCTTTCGCTTCCTACCCTGCAATGCCAGTATGAGTTGCGCTAGCGATGGGTCTCCCCAAGAATGAGCAGCCAGGCACACTATGGAAGCGAATTAAAATAATCTAAACGTTCTGCTGTGTCCAACACTTCCTGCTGAGTGTCCTTGCGTACAGAGGAAGCCTACAGCAGGCTTTTCATAACCTAAAAAATTCGATGGCACCGCTCCTTTAACATTGTTATTCAGTGCATACTGCGTACCCTGAAAATTGTTAGCTTTATGCGTCCCAAAATAAGCTATGTGGGATGCTGCAGAGCTCTGGTTATTTTTGAACACGCACTGCCATCACACGGTAAATGGGCCTCCAGCGTTTCGCTCCTATCGAAATGTGCACACTGCAACTGGCACTGAACTTACATCCTTTGGGTTCACACCTGAACACTGAAACAAAACTAAGCCACTGTGGTGACGATGCAAAAATGGGTCTATGGAGCACGGCTAGTGTAATTAGAACGGAACTTAAAGCGTGAGGCCAAGTATGATATGAACCCCAGAGAGACAAATGAAGGTTCGAACATTCTAAAACTACAAGCTGATTTACAAAAAAAAAGTGTGACAGGTAACAAGAAAATGGTAAGTGATCTGAAATGGTGTGTTTAAGGCAACTAAAAAAGGAAACTACCCTCAAAACTCGTTATAAGAAAGCTGCACCTTGTAGCAAAATGAGTTGTTATGTCCAATAATTCATTATAAAAGTACATACCTAACACCATACATATTGCAAGACTAATCATAATTTACTTCGTTATAACCAATATTTCATTATATCTGGGTTTGTGAAATCAAGGCTTGAACGTGTACCCTTGCAAACCCTGAGGCCTTGCCAAAGGTACTGTGGCACCAAACGATACACAATGTAGAAAAATGTGCAAAACTATGCACGAAGCTTTGAGAAGAAAAAAAACCTCACAGGGAAATCTTGTAGCAGGCTTGAAACAGAATGTTGATGATGTGCCTTCTCAATTTAGGGGTGATCACCGTCTTCCTCTCCAGGGCTACGTCACACCAGACGCCGAAGGAGGTCGGCAGTCGGAACTTGAGGTAGTCGTTGCGGTCATGCTCGTTCTTGGGGATGATCGCGATGTTTCGCACTGTTTGCTTCACATCATCGGTGACCAGGTGGGGCGGCAACATTGCACGCAGGTCCTCTGTAACACGTGACAACCTCCTGCAAGAGAAAGAGACCAATGAAAAGATGGTCAAGCTGGGACACAGGCCCTCTATCGTCGTCCGATAAGTAATCGAGTTTTTGCACACACTGCTAAATAAATTGCCGGATTGGCAATGAATGAAGGGTATGCTTAAGTTGTAACAGGGGGGAATGAACATTAGCCAACATTTGTTTGTTATTTAAGGCCCCAAAAGGCTTGTGAAGGCATTGCATGGGGTAGTTAACAATACAATAAATAAGCAACAGCTACAGAACACATATTCAAGCTGGTAGTTCATGCTATGAAGCACATGATCAGTTAGAACAAGAAATAATAGGGCTAATACAAAAATAAGGCACACAATTTTATATAAGTGAAATCACGTTCCAACAAAAAATGCACAGATGAAGTAAAGCAAAAAACTATAAAAAGACACACAATTTTATTGACAAAACATAATAATGTTATGGTGTAACAATCTTATGAACATTAACAAACATTTGGCCATCTTTAGCCAATAATTCTAGCGGTGAACTAGAATTTTAGGTCAGGGAAAGACCAAAAATGACCGGAAAATTTTGAAAGTCTTCTACATTAAGAAAAAAGGAAGCAATTGCATCAGTGACATCTTAGTGCACCTGTCCGCTAAAGATATGACCTTTCTAGACGCCATGATAACCAGTCGAGATTTTTTATATGATGCATGGCTGCTTCACTCACACGCAAGATGGTTGCCGGCAGGGAATAAGCTTTCGTTTTTCCCGTTGGCTTTTTATCCATACCGACTATCAACTGAAAAGGCGCAGAACGGCAGAAAAAAAAAAAGGCACGAAAACTTACTTGCGCATGCCCGTGCAATCGGTGAAGCTATCAGCCTTGTGCTGGTATACGTGAAGGATAGCCGTTGAAGCATTCAATTTCTTCTTTATGCAAGTTAATTGAAAGTTTGCTCACACATGTGCTACCGCTGTTATGGATATGACAGGTCATTGCTGAAGGCATTTCAACTAATTGCTGAAGGCATTGCTACATTTATGGGTTGTTTGAGGTGTCACGTTTCGGCAACAATGATAGAAGAAGTAGTTTTTTTTTTTTTCTTTTCAATGTGTGAGTGCAATCAAAAATTGATTGTGCGCACAGCCCTTTGGGTTTGAAAGCATCCCTAAGCAAAAATTCAATATCACTGTCTGTAGAATAATAGCATCTTTAAATAGATCCAAAATAAGCCAGCTTACTTGGATATGCACAAGTCAACGCGCTACCACCTTGCATTTGTAGCGCACAGTATTCGGTGCCTCGAAATAAAATTACGGGAATCCAGCATACTTGTCAGTCCATCGCAATCCCTGTCTATCGAGGCATTCTACACTGTCACCAAGTCTTTCTCAATGTGCAATGCATTGCAAAGCATGTATTGCACATTGGTACAGTACTCAAGTATTGATATGCAACACCTTTTTTGTTTGTTTTTAGAACTATGCTGACTGCTATGAGCAACTGCTCACGATAGCTGCATCATGATGCTTCGAATCTGGGCGATAAGGGTAATGTTGGCTGCGATTCAGGTGTTCGAGTCAAAATTATACCAACATGACACAATGTTTAGATGCTGCAAATGAAAGAATGTGCTTTACATAGCCATTAGCTTTCGCCTTTCAATCCGCAAGTACTATATTACACCTAGAGCACACTTACATAGTTGCAGCTCCGGGTTCTGCCGTTTTGTTGGACTGGGCAGGTGCGACGCATGTGTTGGACTGGGTAGGTGTGACGCATGTGTTGGACTGGTCAGGTTCAACACGTGTGTTGGACTGGGCATGTGCAATGCATGTGTTGGACTCGGCAAGTTCAACGCAGGTGGTGGACTGGGCAGTTGCTTTCATCTCTTGTGAATGGGCTGCCGGAGCATCCAGCACATCCGTGACACCGCTGAAAAACAGACGTAAAATTATAATCAAGTGCTGCGTGGTGAAGACCGAAAACAGCGCCACTTCCTTTGGAGGCATAGCATTAGCGCTTTTAGTACTAGCAACATTTGCCAACTTCGCAGTCAAGAACTTTTTATAAACATTCTGGATGCTACAACGAAAGAACCCTTCTATGAACCCTCACACAATAAGAAAGTTGACTGCTGAGCTAGTTCACACAAAGTGTATATAATGGGCATTTTTAAATAGGTTTAATAACAAGTAATACAGTAAAAATCAGAAGGGCATTACGAACAGCATAAGCAAACAGTACAAACCTTCTTGCAATCTCACAGCAGGTCTTTTTGAAAGTTCCACCAAAAGCAAGAAGGCACGCTCGCCCCATTAAAGATTATTCATTATGCATTGAATATACTCTTACTGTTAGGGGTGTTTTGTCGAGCGATACTTTACAAAGAGACATGTCAGATAACGCAAGAAAGTCCGATTACCAGTCACGGGTTGCACCCCGCAAAAATTTGAAGTAATCGCCACCATGGTAGGCGTAATAATAATGATTTCTGAAGTTTCACATGACATGACCACCGCATGGTAATGAGGCAATGCGAACTCACTTTACCACCTGTGATTCTTAACATGCAGCTAATGTTAATTGATGGAAATGATAAAAAAGGTGATTTATAACATCCACTCATAAGGCACATGTCACACAGGAGAAAAAAGTTTCTGAAATGCTTATACGGACAGTACAAAATTCACATAAATGAAAAAAGTTATCAGCCATAGCATAAATGAGGATGAAGTAAAATGGAAAACAAATAAATTGATTCAAGCTGACATTCAAGTAACTTCTCAATAACCACATAAAACCAATAGTAAAAACTGCAGACATTGCAACAACGAAAAAAGCACGCTACTGGTTTCTGCACGGCCTCGTTCCTTGAATTGCATTCATGAAGATACATGAAATCTTAAATATTTTATAAAAATGTACACAAACTCCTTCAGGCAGGCACTAAAGGGCACTGCCCTCATGTTGACAATCGAAGTTTTCAATTATCAAGCATTAAAAATTCTTTTATAGTCATTGCAGCAAACAAAAAGAAATTAGCTCATACATCTGCACATTATACAAGTTCATTTTCTGACACCTGGCCGCAATCAACATTGTTCCCAGCAACAACATAGACAACATCCCAGGAACTTTCTGTAGAAGCCTGTCACTTACACTGCCGATGTCACAATTGATTGATTGATATGTGGGTGATTGATATGTGATTAACGTCCCAAAACCACTATATGATTATGAGAGACGCCGTAGTGGAGGGCTCCGGAAATTTAGACCACCTGGGGTTCTTTAACGTGCACCCAAATCTGAGCACACGGGCCTACAACATTTCCGCCTCCATCGGAAATGCAGCCGCCGCAGCCGGGATCCGATGTCACAATTGCCAACGAGAAATAGCCCAAAACAACAAATAGCTCTGATGTATTCAGTAATCCACACAAAAAAGGTAAATAAAAGTAATAAATAGCTAGACATGCTTTTCAAGAAAATGGACTGCAACAAACCACCTTTGCGTACACAAAGCCCTATGGAGACACGTCTGCTTTTCCGCTGTCAGGGGCCTAAAGCAGCAGATGTTCACAAATACAGCACAAATATTTAACGCTTGGATATGAGAAGGATTAACTCACATAATCATTGATTGCGAAGCCTCGGCACCATTGTCACTGCCCTTAGCAATCACGCAAGGTGCATGCACAAGAACATCGGTCAATGTGTAGACAGTTGGCGCCACGCTGACATCACTGCAAAACAGCAAAGCGCATCGCTTGTTTTTGTACAGTAGTCTCCATGCACAAAAGGAACAATGCTTTTCAAAGGTACACTGCACGAAAATATTAAAAAAAATTATGAAAACATGGGAATTCTACTCGAAGGTGCGTTCTAATAAACATTGTCTATTTCACATATCTTTAAACGTCTGGCTGTACTCCTCAAGGATTGTCAGCACGCAGAGGTTGAAAGGCAGAGCGAATGGGGCTGTGCATCGACACCTGTGACATCAATTGTCCCTACAGCAGATGCGTGTTGTACACTTTCCTGTGCAGCTATTTCCCTCTCTTACAACCCGCTCTCTTGCATTCACAAAGTCGCTGATACATGGCCCACCCTTAAAGGGGCCCTGCAGCACTTTTTGAGCATGGTCAGAAAACGCTGCCGACTAGGTACTACAGTGCAGTCCACTTATAACGATACCACATATAACGATATATCGGTTATAACGATGGGTCGACTTAACAGTCTCATTTTATGCATTGGGGCTATGGGGAAAAAACCATATATAACGATATGTTATCCACCGCATATCGGATACAACGATGAAAAGTTTGCCGTGGACGGCATTTTTCATTCAGAATAATCGTAACATTTAGATTGATAAGTTCTTCTGAAACGAACTATGCCGAGACAAGACGAAAAGTTAGCGTAGGCGAGTACGTATCTGCCGCCACTGCAGGACAGCGCCGGCAGCGCGTCCCGGCCGTTCAAAAAGCCGAGGAGAGCATCGCGAGTTGGCGCGACGCACTACAGATGGCGCCAGCTGTGTCACGTTTTGTGCCTCGCCGCGCGTCGACCGCGGAGAGGCTGATGCTGTTTTTCACTGGTAGATTCGGAGCAGGTTTTTTTGCTCCGTGGCGACGAAACCGCATTTCACTGGTAGATTCAGAGTGGATCCGCGCTTTTCACTGGTAGTTTCAGAGCAGCTCGCTCCGAGGCGGATTGCTCGCACTGCTCCGCCGACAAGTCGCAGATTCGGGCGGAAACACGACGAGCAGCATACGTCACTTCCGTCGTTGTACGTTGCTGAGTTTTGCAAAATGGCTGCGTTCGCTGCCTTGGCGGAACTTCTGTCTAGCGACGAAAGCACTTCAAGCAGCAGCTCGTCCAGCTCAGACGACGAAGACTTCGAGGAAAGACAAGCGCTATGCGAAGCCTTCTTTCGGGAAACTTTTTCGGAGTCCCACCGCGAACGTCCCAAAATTTTGGGGTTCATCGAGAACGTTGCGCGGCTGTACACAGACGAGCAGGTAAGCGCGGAGCTCCCTCTTTTCATAATACTACATGAACCTAATTTCATCTTTTTATCATTTCCTTCTCTGCAGTTCCGTCAAGACTTCAGGGTGTCGAGGCGTGTCGCGGAAACGTTGATCCGTGGTTTTGAAGGCTCGCGTCACTACCCATGCAGTGATCGTGGTGGGTCCCCCTCGAAAACCGCGGAAGAGCACATTCTGGTCTTTCTGTGGTAAGTCTGCACGCTGTTTTAAAAGTCATGCCTACCAGTGTGTATAATCTTAATGCTTTCAAGTGCTTCGGCGTAGAAGTACGTTTTTTCGTTGCGTGCGCAGAATTTTGACGGGGAGTCCAACCATTATAAATTTTTGTTCGTGTGTTTATGTGCGCGTGTGTAGAGAATATACACATGTGAAATTTAACAATTTCGGCGGCGTTAAATCTCCCTAGTAGCCTTCCCGTGGCTACGCCGCTTGTGCTTTTTGTCCTTGAAAGTTGCTAAGTGTGATGCAATGGAAACCAATGAAATATGACCGCTTGCAACTGCACAGCCAGAGAGAACAGTGTTAAGAGCTTCTACTTTTCTTACGGCTGCTAATTTTGATGCAAATATTTCATGCCTTTATTTCACAAAGCAGGCTTTACTTGATCACTTTCTTCCATAATGTGTGTTTGCTGTGTCAGGTTTGCTGCAAACAAGGCGTGCCTGAGGGACGTTGCTGGACGCTTTGGCATGGCAACTGCGACAGCATTTAGAGTCGTGGAGCGCACGCTCGAATATTTCCTTGATATAGCCGAAGAGGTAATATCATTTCCAGGAGATCTTGATCAGCTGTCAGCGGACTTCGAACAAGTAAGAATTTTAGGTATTTCACTGTTCCATGGCAAACACAACAAATGAGTTGTCTAATTGAAGCTTACTTTAGAGAATAGTCACATAATACATTGATTGTAGCAGGTTAAGCTGCCGTTGGGGCACAGGGGATGTGGTACTAAGTTGCGCTTGAAAGATGGGGTTATTGTCAAGCAGTCTCACTATCAAATGAGAAATGCTAGTGAAACATGTATTGTTCATTTACAGTGCACATAAAAGCAGGGTGTCTGCCAACGTGGAAAAGTCAGGGAATTTCAAAAAAACCAGGCCAGGTCATGAAAACTGACAGCAGTTCTGTGGGACCGTCACAAAAATAAGCATCGCCATTCATCAAAGCTTAAAAAGTCTCTCAGCTGCAACTACAGTGGGCTGCTGGAAGGTGTGTGAAAAAAAAAAAAGGACAGTGCATAACTCTTGCTTCTGAGTGTAAACGCGAAAGGGACCCATAGAACACAAAGTTTACTGACATTTCAGTACCTCATATGGGAGAGAGCCTTGTTTAAAAGTCATGAAAAAGGCACAGTGTACTTCAGTACGCCTAAATACGTGACGTAAGCAGAGAGAGTACATTGTCAGAAGCCTCCCATCACTCCTGTGCAGCGTATGTACAGTTGTCTGTATCTGGATTCGAGAGTTTTACAAGTCTATTTGGTGGTCTGTGATTCCGTGTGTTCAGGGAGGGCAGTCGAGGCCACGCCTCGTTTTGTGGTATCATATTTGTGTTGTTTAACTTTTACCAGTTTCACCGATGTACTGGTCACAATTATGTCAGCCTATGGCATAAACTAGACTAAGGAAATTTCTGCTCGGCAACTTGTCCTTCACATTGGCTAAAGCATTCTTTAACATCCATGTTGGTATATCCACTCTTTTGGTGCCTGTTGCTTCTACATATCACACGGCATATCTGACTCACGTCTGTAGATTTATGCATGTTTTGTCTATGCCACGATTTCGGCCCGGCTTGAAGGCCGTCTGGTTTTTCTAGGCTAGAACTGCTATCAGCTGAAGCTTGCTGGGCTACTCATGTCTTTTAATAATAATAATAATAATAATAATAATATTATTATTATTATTATTATTATTATTATTATTATTATTATTATTATTATTATTATTATTATTATTGGTGGTGCAACACCAAACGTCTTCAGCTACACACTTATGCTGGTAGCTCGTGTTTCAAGGGTAGAACTTGGGTAACTTCAGCTAAATTTTTCATTTCAGTTTTGTGAGATTGTGTAAATAAATCTGCAATTATTTTTCAGTGTCACGTCTACAGCAGAGTACGTAAATCAAGGTAACATGCGGACATTCATGATTCATCTATAGAATCAAGGAAACTGTTCCACCTTGACAAATTCATTCTCACCACCACATATTCAAATGTCAGCACTTTAAACGTTGACCCCAGCTTTCATTTCACTTCAAGTATGACAGCCCAGATAAATGCATGTGCTTGTCGTAAAAAAAAAAAACATTTTGCAGTATGGCTATGTTCTTGCAACGTTGTCGTTACTCGTTGTCAAGGCAAGATACATAGAATATGCGAGTAGTAGTTATTTACTTTTTTTGTTGAAAAGTATACTTTAGAGGTGTGCAAATTAGGCGGCGGCGCAAATCAATAGTAAATACATCAATCTAGGTCGAATCAGTTCTAATCTAATCTACATATAAATAGGTGAGTCAGTAAATACAGTAGTTCAGGTCGATCTAATTAAATCCAATCCACATCCTAACCGGCGTGGGCTACAGCCATTATAGTAAAATAGATTTTACTCCAGTGGCAGAACCGGCCAGGCTCCTGTGTTTTCATTTTACACGAATGCCACCAAATGGCACCACTTCTAAGTTTCTCAGCAGCTTTGACTGCGATGTCAAACGATCGCAGACACCTTCAAACTTCATCTGCGGTTACTCTTAACTTGTGTGTTTTCTTCCTGGTTCTTCGGAACATCAAACAGCTGACTTGCTCACTGCCTAGCTCAGGGGTTTTATTTTGGCCAGATTTACATGTTTTTTCACAATTGTCGCATGCCCTGAGAACATTTTGAGTGCGTCTGGTAATTATGTTTACCTTTATAGAGCGCCCGGTTTTTTTTTTCTACTCGGGTTTGTTTGCAGTGTACAGTGTTTTCCATGCAAACGTGGCAGTCATGGAATTTGCTTTGAATCATGATGGAAAACCTGGGAAATTCAAGGAATTTAGAAATATGAAATTGGTAGACACCCTGAAAGGGACCCCTGGCACTTAAAATTTCTAATGCCTTTTGCTGTGGTGTTCCGTACAATGATTCCATAGTTCTGGCATGTAAAAGACTTGTGTCACCTAAAGTTAACTCCGCTAAGACCAACAAAACTACTGCATCAAGTGTTAAGATTATTTACTTCAAGAAGTTCACTACAGGTGTGTTCTTTTTCTCTCACTGTCACAGGTGTCAGGAGTGCCCAACACGATCGGTTGCATTGACGGATCCTACATAAGCATCCGCTGCCCTGCAAAAAAAGTGCGTTCAACCTATGTGAACAGGCACAGTTATCCGTCACTGACACTGCAAGCTCTGTGTGATCACAAAAAGAAGTTTCTCGATGTGACTACTGGACACCCCAGCAAGATTCACGATTCGAGAATCTTCAGGACATCGAGGCTTTCTTCAAAGTTGCCGCATGTGTGCTGTTCCGGGAAGTACCACGTTCTCGGGGACGCTGCCTACCCGCTTCGAGATTACCTCATAACCCCATTCAGGAATTATGGTCACCTTGACGCGAGGCAGCGCGCCTTCAATTATCACTTTTCGGCAACGAGAGTGAAGATTGAGAATGCCTTTGGAGACCTCAAGGCCAGGTTCCGCCAGCTGCTGCACCTGGACTTTCTGTTTGTAGACAAAATGAACAAGTTCATTATAGCTTGTTGTGTTTTGCACAATATGTGCATTAATTGTGGTGATGTGGATGTGCCGCCGTACATCGATGATGAACATGCACCGTGGGAATGGGAGGCACAACCGGATGATGTTCCCCCCAACAATGGCCCGCTTGCATCAACTGAAGATGCACTGCGTCGCCAAGGCGAGGAGAAGCGTGAGCGCTTAATGCAAGCGATGCGCATTTGATTTAAAGTTAGGACTGCCTACGTGTACACAAAACAAGAAACGTTAAGGTGTTGTAAATTTTGTTTCGTGTTGTAGAGATTTCTAGCAGAAAATAACACTAAAAGACGGGACGAAGCAAGGACACAAACTACGGCGCTGACTAACAAGCAAATTCGTTTTATTCTTCTAATCCGCGTATATATACTTTACCACAATCTCAAGGAAACAAAAAAAAATAGAATCATGATAAATGCATGCCCCTCATTTCTGAAGCGTATCATTTACAACGGCGGCGAAACATGCATCAGTTTCCCTTATATTTCCCTCTCTCTGAAGGAGTTACCTCTCCTGTCTTATTGAGCATTTCTTTCCTCCTGAGTCAGCCAACATTTGTGTGTGTCTTTTTTTTGCTTTTTCTCACCCTTCAGATTAGTGGTGGAGTGTATATACCTAGACTGGAAGAATAAGACACATTTGGCTGTTAGTCAGTGCCATGGTTGTGTCTCTGCCATGGTTGTGTCCCTGCTTTGTCCCATCCTTTAGCACTGTTTTCTACAGGAAACACTGTACTAACCAGCTAAAATGCATGCCGCACTGTGTTGTAGTGACTCATCTTGCTAGGGCGCAGCCTGATTTTTTTGTTTCTTAGCTTTGTGACACGTAGCAGCTTCCACATAGCGTGAGTCAACCCAAGATGTTTGCAGGAATCTGACTGGATCAGTGTAATTGTTTCCTATGCGAAGCCATCAGCATGCTTATTGCTGACTAGTGCTAACGCCGCAGCGTGTTGGTCGGTATGGCTACTGCAGCTGAAGATAGCTGGTGATATTGATAGTAACTGCACTCTTCGTGCTGGTGAGACACGAGAAAGTGACAAAGTCAACCGGCCAAACATAGCTGGGCTCCAGCTCTCGTCAGCCACCACAAACATTCTGAGAAACATGTAGTGACATTGGCATAAGTCCAAGCTAGTGCAGGCTACACTGAGGAGCATTTGTGTTAATGGAACAATGTCACCAAAATTACGAGCTTGAAATGTTTGTGTTGTTTGTCTTGCAGTTGGGGCACTATGCTTGTCAGTTAAACCTGTCGCTTCGAGGAATATTCGTAATGAACACCCATCCCGACTCATTGTTTCCCACGCATGGTGCCCAAATTCAAAAAGTGCGCTCTGAACGTCACAAAAGCCCGAGTCTACATAGTCTTATGACTCCTGAGATTGTTCGCTGTGTAATTTTTTGTGATTCCAGTAGTAGTTTTACAGTGATGCCAAAATTAGTCACAAGGAGCCATTCTTGCATTAATTACACAGTACATTGCAATATTTATGATCAAAGTTTGGGGACTACCGGACACAATGCTCTTAATTAAAGCATTCAAGTCAAAACAAAAATTTGTCAGGGGTCCTTTAGGCATGGTGACTGCTGCTGTGAGAAATGGCTTCTTTGTCATGCAATTTGGTTATTGCTTGTGCATTAACATTTCATTTGCCTGATGAAAATTTGCATGGACAAACGTTCTGCATTTCTTAGTCTTTGTTCAGCTTTTCTTACCATCAAAACGGCGTGAAATTATAATGATCATTGCAACTTTGTCTTGTAAAAGGGCCCTGGAACCCTTATTTCACCTCAACAACAAACATTGTCAATCTGTTATCAATGCGCCTGCCAACGTGCACATGTGTACAATGCTTACAATAAACATGCTTTTCACATTTTATTCATTTTTCTTGAAGTTGAAAATTTCACGGAGAAGATTCATCTTTTCTTTGTGCATTTCTTCTCGTCGCTGTGTTTTAGCAAGTCGTCGCTCTTCCCTCTTGCTGTCTCTTTCAGCCTTTCGCTCTGCTCGCCGTTCATCTAACTCCTTCATTTTTTCAAAGAAGGTTTGCAGGTGGAGCTCGCGTGCTGAATTCGGGCGTTTTCTTTTTGAATCAGGAGTGTCGTCCTGCCCAACGGAGCTGGATGGAGAGTGTGACGTTGACGAGCTTGAACCAGCAAGTGGAACAGACTCGGTGGATGACTGTGGACATGTCTTTTTTGATACCACTCCACTTGCGTCGCGTACCACTTCTGGTTCCAAGCTGTCGTCCAGCCACTTGATTTTTTCAAGCTCGGCCTCGTAGGGGACTTCTTGTGGGGAACAGCCAGACGTATTATTTTTCCCAGCTGCCACATTTTTTCTTTTCAGTACGGTTTTGTACCGAGAGCAGCACTGCTCACCAGTTCTCATTACACCCAGTTTATTATTAATGTCTGTTGCAATTTTTTCAAACATGGCCTTTTTGTTGCGAAATTTTTTCAGAGGGCCAACTTGAGGGAAATATGAGGCGTAGAGGTCCAGCAGCAGCTTCGTCTCGCCACTCGTCCACTCACACCCTGCAGCTGAAATATGCATTATACACACATAAAATACATATAAACTGGCATTAATAGACTTTTTTGATACAGGGCACGAAGCTATATGCTCTCTGAGCCATAGAACACTTACTGTAAAGCATTAGTACTGTCACACTGTTTTGGCACAGCAAATATTGGGTGCTGTGGGGATCGCTTTGCATATCAGAACAGACAATCATGCAAATTCATAATATTACTATACATAACTTATTCACAGCATAATTTTCTTAGAGAGTAAATTTGAAAACACTGCATAATAAATATGGGGCCTCTTCGTGCAGCTGACTATTCGTTGAATTCAATTTTATTATTTAAGCACCCAATATTGAGAAGCGTGAGCAAGAAGCCATTAAATGGTTTTGCGTAATTCGTGGTTTTTTTGAGAGGGTTTGCAATCTGCTGGACCTATCTTCATCCTAATGCCACTAGCATGTTTGTGTATGCATGCTTACCACGTGCAGGAGTCCCTGGCTGACAAGCCCGACTTGGTGACGCACCAGTAGACGCTGCAGAATCTGTGTTTGATAATTGAAAAGCATTGTAGTATGTTAATATGTGTTAATTTTAAGCAGGTACACAATTTTCTTCAAGTAGTCCTTACACGTTGCTCGTCAAGGCATTGTCCTCTACATATATAGACGACTGTATACAAAACTAGTTCTACAGAGACACATGTAGACCAATTTACCATTTCCTAAAAATGCGCCCTGTGTATGTGACAAAGCGTCGGTGGCGTCACACTGTGTAGCACCTTCAAATAGAGAAAAAGAAAAGACATTTGCGGGTTAACACCAAAAGAGTAGAGGTCAAGAATCACCAAGAAAACGTTACTTCTCTAGTAAATTTTTCATGCATGTATTCATGCGCGAATACAGAGATCGCCATGCATTTTTATTAAAGGTAATACAGCAGCTTGGTGAGCGCTGCGAAAATTCCGGCGCTTGTGATATTCTAAATAGTAGGACTGTAAGGTGTTGGGTAAGCAACTGCTCTGATTAAAAAAAAAAGCCTGCTCACAACATGCCGTATTTTTGCGAGCGCCGATTGCGGCCGTTACCACGTGTACCCGCATGCTTTACAATTATCTGACCAGTCTTCATGCGGAGCTATCAAAGTTAGCATTCCGTGCAGAGTTTATTATCAGCGTCAAGTACGTCGCACTTACCGTTCAGATCGTTGCCGCTGTTTCTGAAAACGCCCAGCAACAGCCGACGCACAGCCGGTGTCAATTCCGCGTGCTCGTCCATACTTGCTACACAACTGCTGTTCGCGACTGCGTTAAAGTGTTCTACAAAGCTTTAACTGCGTGGTCGAAATGCGCGCCCTGCAGTGGCGGCCAAAGTTGCCAAGGAAACGAAGAGAGCGGAAAAATAAACTGTTTCCGGAACCGGTTTGCGTGACGTATGCATAATCAACTTCCGGGGCACCTCTCACGGAGCATTCTCGTGTTTCACTGGCAGAGGTGGCTTCGTGCGATCCGAGTGCTCGCTCCGGGATTTCGGCGGTCGCTCTGAATCTCCCAGTGAAAAACACCATGAGAGAATTTAAAAAAAAAATGCGAAAAGCAAAGCGCCGCGCTCCGCGGCTCCCCGCCTTCTACAACGGCAAGCCGGCAAGCTACTCGTAGCTTGCCGAACGAAAGCGGGAAAGAGAGAGAAAATAAAAAAAGCGAAAAGCAAAGCGGCGCGGCGGCATGGGGGCGGGGCCTTGTTGGCATTCCGGCTGTGTACCTCTGGCTGTGCTTTCTTCCTCCCACTGCTCCCACCCCGCCGTCGGTCAGTCTCTCTTCCTCAGCGAACCCGTGATGCGTTCTTCGGAGTAAGAAATAAAGTCTTGTTTTTGACATCCTACTATCTACAATATTTATTAATTGGTGAAAATAGCAAAACGAAGCCTGGAGCTACAAAAGGTACGTTTGGCGACGATTTTTTGGCGGCAGTCCAGATATAACGATCACCGGTTATAACGATCATATTTTTAGGTTTTCTCGATATCGTTATAAGTGGACTGCACTGTAGAGGCTCTCGAGAACATGCGAGCCAAATATCACAGGGCGGCATGCAACCTGAAATTCACAATAAATTCCCAAAGTCCGCTAGAAATTGCTTGCTTTCCTCTCAACAAGTGACGAAAGAAGCTCAGAAATACCTCGTCACAGCTGTTCTATCAGCCATTGGCTGATTTGAACATGGCGTGCTCGGTCGTTACAAGGATTGCTGCGAGAAGCAGTGACACGTCAGCGCGAGCATGAGCAATCGCACTGAAAAGGCCGCGTAATCTAAAAAAAACTATAAAAAAGTGCCCATGGTCACCAGGCTCACGTGACGCATTTTATTTGCCCTTGCCATCCTTCCCTGTAGCTTTCAGTGCTTTTGTTGGAGCGAGGGAAGCGAAAATGCGATTGCAGCATCCGACAAATCTTTGCAACTCCGCTCATACTCAACAGATTGAAAAAATTTCTCCCAGGGTGAATTCGCAAGGAAATAAGGTCTTTCCATTTGCATGGCTACTTGAAGGGTTGCTGGGTCCCTTTAAGAGGCTTAACCCCACTTCTGAGCATCATTCACTACCTATGCCGTTAGTGCTGCTTCCAGGAACCATAGTGGGAACAGAAAAGGTTGAAAGACACAGACAATGGCTGGCAAGGTTGGCGCACCCAATTTCGCCGGTGCTAAATGTCGCAGATGTTAAAGGGGTGCTGACACAAAAACTTTGGCCTCGCGTTTTTCTGCTGCAATGTGTTGCTGGGGGTCTGTTAGTCATGACACGACACATCGTTTGCTGAAGCACGCGACAGGTAATTATTTGAAGGCCCCTTATTATGGATCAGTTTCAGTTTCGGTTTGAGAGAGCGCCAGAAACTGGGTGCAACTGTCGCCATCTAGCGTGCGCAGCTTTTGACCACGTCAGCACACAGAACTGTGACATACTTCCGCATGGTGCGCATCAAGAATTACATTCTAATAGGAAACGAGACTGAAACATCGCCAAACACAGAGATTTCTGAGCCTGCGCCACGGCTACGCACTCGCAACCAGCCGCCGAGAAATGTAGACTGAGGTAACAAACGTGGCAAAAAAAAAAATGACGGCCATGACGTCATCATAACTTGTTTTGTTGACTGCAGCGTCGTGACGTGAGGGAAGTAGGGGGTCACCTAGGGGCCCCCTTCGATGGAGTCGAGGGCTCGCGCAAACTTCAAAATTCTCTTAAAATACCTTCCCAGCTATACTCGGTGTTGATATTTTGCACATGATATACGAACGTTCCTGGGAATCAATCCTACAGGCTACCTCGGCCACGAAATTTTGTGTCAGTGCCTCTTTTAATGCCAGAAAACGTCACCTCGACCGTTTCACAAGCAGTTTGTGGAAATTCATTGACTTTATTAACTTTCACTAGTTTCAGTATGAAATATAGGTTGTGTCTGTGTATTTCAAAAACAAATCTTTCAATTTGACCGGATCTCCACCGCGTAATCTTGTTCAGCATCCCTTTCAGCTCACACGCAATTTTGCTAGGACAGCTAAAAAGAACATTTAATGTGAACCACTGAACGGTAAAACACAAACAGCAGCCCGACTACTGCAATCAGAAAGCTTGCTTTGCTACAGGGCCAACATTGAAAATATTACTATGCAGCACAGCCAAGTGAAGAGGTTTCTACACGCAAGTTCAAAAGCATATGGTAAACACCTGCCGAGAAATGCATCTTAAAATGAGAACTGCAATATGTGCACCTTAGCTACAGTGCATGCTTGCAAGCCGATACAATATGCAACATGAACAAAAAAATAATAAGACATTGTTTTTGGTAAAATATGTAGTAAAATGCAAAACCAAGGAACACAGAAGAAACTCTGTAACACAATGCAGAAAGAGGTGAAGGTGCAACAGGAGATCTTAAAACAGGAAAGAAACAGCAAAACATTCTGGCAGGACACAAGGACAAAGAAGGCACGACATATTTTGTGTCCTGTCAGAATTTCGGGGCAGTTTTTTTCTGTGTTATAAGCATGAATTAACTAGCCCAAACATCAACCCTAGTTAACAAGAGATGTTCCATTATATTAATTTTCATTTGTTTACGACATAAGTAAGAAAACTATTTCGACAAAAAAATGTGGCTTGTTTCATTTGTGATACTGGTACAGCGATACACTGACATGGCACACTGATGACGTGAACTGAAGTGTGAAAAATATCTCCTTTTTCGAAATACCGCCCAACCAACTATTGCCCCACAAGTGCCAAGTGTGTGATCGCAAAGCCCACGGAGACACCAATACTTGAACACAAAAAAGCATGCAATGCGGCAAGACGAAATCGCAGACGCACCTGGACTGGATGCTGTAATGCAGCTGGTCCCCCGGCCCGGAAATGTGGAAAACTTCCTGAGAAGACACAGGTGGCCTTGGTGCAACTTGGTGCCTGAAAATTTGTGGAACTGTGAAGGTCATTGCGCTCTCTATATGTTGTTTGAAAGCTGCATCACATTGTGGACCTACAACAAAATTTTTATCTACTCTATTGATACATTATGCGTAATTTCAAAGCCCAAGCAAGGGGTGTGCCAAAAGAGCTGTGCAATATGCGGCTTGCATGCTGCCCACAGGTGTGTTTTTATGAATTTATCGTGCATGACTCCTTTTCATTATCATGTTTTACAGCGAAAGCTATCATGAGATCACTTTTCGGGTGGCGTTGCACATGTTGTTGTCTGCCGCCGCCACCAGTGTTCGTAACCACATTGCGCGAAATTAGAAAAAAAAAACTTGCACCAAAGACAGTGGGGCTTAAACCCGGTTCCGCTGGGTGCCAGCCCAATATTCTACTACTGAGCCACACCAGTGCTTGTGACTAGTTGTCAAACTTGCCTTAGGCAGGCTTTATGTCGGGAAAGCAATTGCGTTAATACGGCTTATAAAGCCTTTTACAACAGCAAAAGAACAACCAGTCGTCGCACAATGCAAATAGCGCAACAAGTAGGCTGTCCAATGCTTCAAACTATTAAAAAAGCTTGTTCTTATTCCCCTATTAACTGTGGCGCATACCCACTTCAGACATAATTCCTCATTGTCGTCAGCGACTACATGAACAATGGGCATAAAATTCCTTGCTAGTGTTAACAGATACCGCGATCCTCAGAAGAATGACAAAAATAGCATAGCGAATGCCGGCCTACTACCCAAAAGCTTATTATTAATGCCCTAGTGAGTACCAAGCAAGTGTGCTTGCAGTAGTTACCCAATGAGTGTTTTGAAAAGGCTCTGAGAGGCCGCTCTTCTAGCTTTTGCTGTGACTGTGCTGCGCCTACCGTGCAAGCCTGGCATTTTTTTATTTATGTGCATACAGTACAAAAATCCATGCCAGCAAAATCCTATCACTTCTGTTTAGCACCAGCCAATTCGAGGTTATGTCAGCAATTTTCCCAATGGGCTTTTTCCCAGTCTCTGCAGCACCTCAAGTGGAGGTTGTCGAAATCAAAACTTATGCCCTTTGGACTCCGAAATGGTCTGCCGCATGCCGGTAAGCAATCGTAGCGGCCTGCGTTCACGCATCTTTCTGGGAGAAACATTAGCATGTTCGCGACTCCACGTGTCTCTAGGTCTGCACATGTCGTGGCGTTTTGGCCACCGAAAATAATGGCACATGCCTACTCGAGGCCGGCGTGCATGCGCAAGCCTACCTGCCCAGAAAAGGCCCATTTCATCACAGCATTTTTTGCTCCATCATTACATGGCATGCCCAGCTACACATTTACTGGCCACCGTCTTTTGCTGTATAAACAGCTACAATCTGAAAATAGTTCACTCCTTTTGGGGTGTAAAGCTTAACCGCCATTTGTATTGTGTGCACTTCCTTTCTTGGAGGAATGTGCTGCTGCTCTTTTTACTTTTATTATTCTGAATTTCAGCTACTTCGGTAGTTTAATTAGCCTAACCCTCGTTATAGTAATGTAAGTGCAACTGACATTTATATTCAGACATTCCAAGGAGTAATTTAGCAAGCCTAGCTGATACTTCTTGTCACTTTTTAATTGGTCATTTCTAATGAAACCAACAGGAAATTAAGACAAGACCTGCGTAGGGGGCATTACTTGTGGTTACTGAACTGCAGAGTGATGATTCTACAATTCTTTCAATTTAGGTGAAATATGTCTCCCTACAGTTAAAAAACTGCAATGTCCCTTATACTTTTCATCTTCTGTCCTTTTGATTAGTTTTGTATAATACAGAGAGCTAGCCCCTTGGACCATTCCCCTTGTTTTGTAAGTAGACACTATCACTCTAGCGCCCTGACAAAGTCAAGTCTTTCTGTTGAGACATTGGCTTGATTGAAGATTGCTATTTAATGATCTCCCATCACTCCAAGCTTTCTTCTTTACCTGAACTTCGGCACTGTTCGAATTGGTGAAATCATTCATCTGCTCTGGAGAAGCGCACCACATATATGTAGTCTACACTCAGTGTAAATAAGGCAAACTACATGCGTACCATACTACAAATGAACACTTACGCATACTGCTGGGAAGGGTGGTTGGTTGGAACGCTGGCCTTGACAGGAGATGCTGCCGTGGAACTTGTAGCAGGACTGTTTTTCCACACGACACGCACCTTTGCCTTGTTCGGAACCACATCGTCGGGCATAAGGTCCACAAAGTCTTCCAAGTCAGTATCAAATATCTGAATCTATTGGAGAGAAAGCAGTACATGGTTAGGAACAGCTTCATGCAGCGCAAGCCAAACTACAACATATGCAGGGGTGTAGCCATAGATTTTTTTTTTCAGTCGTGAGCGGGGGGGGGGGGGGGTCGACCACTGTAAGCACCTCAGTGACACACAGCATACTTGCATAGACGTCAGACTCTGGAGTTTTGCAGGCATGTAGTGCCACCAGTCGCGTAGTGCAAAGTTTTGGGTAGTGCAAAGCCCGACTCCCTTGCACAGATTACAGTGCAACCAAGTGCAAATAGGGCGAGCGAAAAAACAATTGAGTTAAATTTTAGGTGTGTTTGCGCATTGAACACTCAGGAAAAGCGCTATAAATTTCTTTCTACTAGTCGGACGCGTTACCGAACCGCCATGATGTGCTTGCTGGTTCACTTGCCAGTTCGACGACGAAAACAAGAGCAGACGCTACAGCTCCGCGCTCTACGAAGAAATTTTGGTCATGACCACAAGCAGGTTTTTCTTGCCGTGTGTCTCCGCGATTGCTGAAGCTATCTTGGGGGCCTCGGTTTTGCCTTTTGTTGTAAACCAAGAAAAAGGACAGGCATTTTTTTCCCATTGCAGTATATGTAAATGGAAGACATTCATCAACAGGACATTCTAGGACACGTAATAAAAGAGTTCAATGCACAGGAAGCGAGACATGAATGGACAATGCAACTGGAAAGGCGAAAATTGCCAGGGCCATTCGTGCCCGATAAAGGGAGCTTCGTGCCACTGATTGTAGGTTACATTGCTTGTGTATGCACTTCATCGCTTTGGCAACTTGCGTATGCCCAAATTTATGCATTTAGGCATTACAGAACACACGCATTGAAGTGCTTGCCAGGAACTACATGTCATGCGACGCTCACTTGCACTTAAATTACGAGTAGCAGCACGCCGAAATAACTGAAACATCTTTTGGATTGTACCTGCAGTTCGCTTTGATGAGCTTCCTACTTATATGAAGCGAATTTGGATTGACGAAAGAAGCTTGCCAGGTCCTTGATTTTCAGTAAACCATGCCTCAACACCACTGAAAGTGGAGGGCCTATGCACATTCGCTTCCGGACAGCTCTTTTTGCGCTACTCAGTTATGGCCAGCACGGTGATCAGGGCATATGTGGCGGCGTTTTTTGCAGGGCCGCCTGGTCAGAGTTTGACATCTATTTAACACCTGAGCTACGATGATACCAGTCCCTTAAGCAGTGTTTTTACCAAATTACCAATTAACTAAGTCTTCCAAAACATGGAACATTTTTTCTAAGCCTTAGAAAAGGGCCTAGCAGCAGCCAGCCATCCGGAAAGCGTATACACATTAAATCTTAATTGATCCACATAAGGAAATGTTCACTGATAGGCTGGAGCTTGTGGAATTCGCACTAGCGTGGTAGTTATTCAATATATATGACCAGTGAATGATAGAATGACCTTGCGGCTATGAAACCGTGTCATGTCTCGTACGTGGCACACCTTGCAATGCGAAATAATTGGCATATTGTTCTATGTGTACGTTTATTTATAATGCTGATAATAATTTGAGGCACCTCAGGTAAAACTGTTGCTTGAATCGCAATTTAGTATTTATGGCTTCCGAGAGTCCAGCAGGTCCGCATTCAAAAGAGGGGAAAAAAATTAAACATAGAAGGGTATTTCCACCGATCTTGATGCTAAATAAACAATTCAAAAAGCAAATGACGCAGCAAATAAGATCTAGATAAGTTTGCAACAATGCAATCAATTAGCTTTACCAACCCTTCACCACGTTTTTTTTTTTTTTTTTTTTCGAAGAACATCGCTGCTGACACGGGATCGCAGTACTTCTGGAACGGTGCACTCAATTTTGGAACAGGGAACACCATTCGGCAGAATGTGTAGCATAATGGTGTTCGCCACTCCAGTAAATTCGTCGCGGTGTTCAATAAGGCGTTCCAGCTAACACCGTATTCAGCACGGACAATACGTATCAAAAGTGCATGCATGCGTGGAGCACAAAGGAGTCTACCAGGGTGTTACGGGAGTCGAATTCGTCAATTCCTGCAAGTCCCGCGAGTAACTCCTCGTAGGCACCCGTTTCCAGCTTCAACTTTCTTCTGCTGCCACTCTCCAGCATTACAAGGCAAAACACGTCTCCCATGGCGATACAGGCACTGCGGGACGATGCCGCGCATAAACGTACACGTCCTAACCACGCGGAATTTTACTGGTTCACCCCCGGACAAACACGAAGAGTCGGCGCGGGATAGGGCATGGAAATAACTTGGAGTTGGTGGTCGGCTAAATGGGCCCGGATAATTAAGATGGATCTATGAGTGATTCTTGAAAGTTGATTTGCTTCAGAGGTTCTATTGCGTTGAAAGGAGGTGACAGTCAATAAGTTGCAAACGAGTACAACAAGTTTAACTTGCAAAGAGCGCAACAGTTTTCTATGCCGTCTTCAGCATTGTTTTCAACGCAATAAAATTGACAAGTGTTGGCAAACTTTATGGGTGTCAGGTTGCGCCCTCTGCTTTGTGAAGATTCCTAGCCATACTTCTAGAGGCTTGGGTAAGGGTGTAAAATGGGTGCCATTGTCTTGCACGCACGGTGAATGGTGTTGAGCGGGTTGTGGTGTGTATCGCTATCGCCATTTACACTTTGCGTAATACGGTGTTATCGAGAAAAGCACGTGGTTCGTGTGTTCGAGTGGACAGCCGTGAGTGAGGCGACGAACCGGTGGCCTCATTAATTATAAAAACATATTTGCGAGTACCACATGCTGAACGCATTTCGAGATCGAAGCTGGACATCTAGCTTGTCCGTGCTGCGCTAGTCACGCAATAAAAGAGAGAGAGATAAGAGAAGGAGGAAGGTTTCAGAAAAAAAAGGAGGCATTTTCACCCGAAAGCAAGACATTCTACAACACAAACATTATGTAAATTGCTCAAGGACGTCGCCAAGATTTTGTAACACAGGAAAAAGGGGTAGGTCCTATGAGCGAATGTAGATACGCGGAGGGGGGGGGGGGGGGAGTATAGCCTGAACCCACCTCCCTCTCACCAACACCACCAAGGGCATAGCCAGAATTTCTTTTTTGAAAGTTCAACCGCACTTTTTGTTTGTGTGCGTACATGTACATGTGCAAAACTGAAAAATTTAGCAGAGAACCCCCTCCCCCTTAAATGGCTACGCCAGGAAACACCAGCCTGGCTCAGTCTAGATGACAACAATGCCTTGCAACTTTAATGACCTGGCTCAGGGGCAGGTCAGAGGAGAAACAAACAGTGGAACACAACACACAATTTTTCTACCTTCCTACCACTTTTTTTTTTCTCGTACAAAGCTGTATAACCATGTTCTACATTTTACATATTTTTATTTGTTTGAGTGCTCCGTTGTTCATTGTCTTTATTTCAGTTCTCTGTCACTTTTTACAAAGTTGATATTGCTCCAGCCGGACATTTTGGAGCCAATTCGGTACCTTGCTGAGCTAGGGGGGGGGGGGGGGGGACTGTGTTGATCATGGAAGCATCGCCATGTCCTGTACTCTCCCTACAGCTCTGGCTTTCCTATTTCCTCACGTTTGGCGAGCAGTTTGCATTTGCCAATGCGTGCTGAACGTGCTAAAACTCGAGCAAGAACCTCCTTCCCAAATTCCTTTCCATTTCTAGAACAGAAGCTCCCTCAAGGTTGATCTTAATGTCGTCACAGTGCTCTGCAGGAGGCTCTCTTTAACATTAGGCTCTCTTTAAACTGCGGCAAGAGCCATTTCAACAGGTCTTTTACTCAGTGAGACAGATTTCTGTCGAAATGTTTGCTTTCATTTCTTGCATGTTGGAGAGAGCAGGCGTAACTCCACTTTTGCAAGGTCAGCTTTTTACTCGGAAGTCAGGGCAAGCTTGGATTTGACCAGAAGTAAACGGCATTTCGTCCTCTTTCCCAACATTCTTTGCCATAATTATGTCGAAAAGCTCACTTGCCTAACATTTTAAAATAACTCCTAACTCCTTCAAAATTATGAGTCAACCAACACTTGTAGTTAAAATCGCTAGTGCTTGAGTACTGTGTCACGTACTTTATAACCCTTGCTTTCACAATAAAAAAGGCTTGTGCCATCAACCGGCAAATTGATATAAAAGTAAAAAGGAAAACAAGCAGAATCTTCTTTGGGAGTTGTTTCAGTGACGAGTAAGCATAAAATCCTGTCGCACGTTGTGGCCTTTCCCGAATATGAATCTTGGGCAGCACTGGTGTGGCTTCTTTCATCTTCTCTCCAGTGTTTGTCAGCATCTAGAATAGCCCTGACAGGCACCTCCCGCATCCACAGCAACACGAGTTTGGCTTTAGACATGCACGAATGCTGAATAACATAAAACATTTCAAACATAAAACATTTCATGTTAACTTTACACCGCATCTAAGAGAGAGATACGTATTACAAAAGTACCACAAAATTTAACAAAGCCTTCATAAGAAGTCCTCGCTTTTCACAATTTTTTCGCACAGCAGGTACATATTTATATGGTTTACATATAGTATTACCATTCTGCTTGCGTGGTTGGATAGCCCAGAGGTTAAGAGACTGACCTTCAAAGCCTGCACCCGAGTTTGGAACCTGACCCCGGCAAAATAAAAGAACTTTCATTGCCTATTTATCAGTTTGAAGCGATGACTGCCTTGCACGACCGAAGGGCTGACCGTTTTCTAGTCGAGTCAGGTAGAAATCAGTGCTTAGCTACTTATTTAAAACCTGAACACTGATTTACACAAAACATCCCAAACAAGCCAAAGAGCACTTTCCGAACAGAACTAATCTTATGATTTTACATTTCATGGCCAATTTTGACTGCATTTGATACATTATGGGCAGTACCAGTAACTGGGCAGCAACTGATGCTACCTATCATTGAAACCTGATAGGTTTCAATGATACCCAGTTATTTAACACATGATTTCGTAAGAATGCACCACAGTCTGCAGTTCATAATTGGGAGAAAATGTTTTGTACCCTACTGCAATACACCCCGGGGTATAAGACGTGAGAAAAAAGTTTTCCTTGTTTTGTGCAAGAAAAAACTGCAATCTTCTGGACAAGTGGAGGCGAGCAGTCCTCATGAACAATCAGGCGCTTCATTCAACTGATTTTGCCTGCAAAAAACATTTCAAGCTCAAATGCATGTGCAAAGAATGAACAACACACTACAATGAACACGTCCTGAGGAACATGCCGCAAAGGGGGACATTGTCAAGGGACACTGTGCCGATAAAGTTCCCTACCTGGGATACCCGACCAATGTGAGAAAAACTTGCGTTAAATGCCAAGCTGCTAAGTGCAGTGAAGGAATTGATTCTGCTGAGGTTTTTAATAAGAGTGTCAATACTGCTCCTCTCTAGGTATACATGTATTTAAGTCTTAGTTAGCTATAAGTTTGTTTCACTGTAGCCTGCGAAGCTTATGTGACGTGACGTACTCTGCTGTGGTGCCTCATGAATGCTCATATAAGCACTGACACAATTGGCAAAGTTAGAAAATATATTTGTAACAGAAACTGCTTCAATATGTGAGTCCAGCTAAACCACTGGCCATGCGAGGATGTACAGGCACTATTTTACAACTCAAGACGACACAAACCACTGCATCACAGGCCCTTACAAAAGTAAGGGTGGGCACCGCAGCCTGCAGTTGTCGATGAACGTAAATAACACTTTCAGTGTTGACAGAGTACACGTCTAGAATACGGAAACTAAATTCTAATATTCAATTCAAAAACAAAAGCAAAATAAAAAAACCAGCTTTGACTCTCCCTATAGCTTCATTGTGCGGCGATGGCGTAGTGGTTAGAGCATCCGCCTCGCATGCAGAGGTCCGTGGTTCAAATTCCGGTGCCGCACAGTTCCCAACCGGAAAAAAAAAAAAAAAAAAAATCCGCGTGTTGATGGAACTGCATTAAGAGGCCTGGAGTGCGGCCTCACCGGTAACCACCGCCGGGAACGCACTCCCTCACCAGAGAAGGATTGTCCACCCTGGTGCAGTATCTGGCCACTACCTCCCACATGCATACGTCAAATAACTCACGGCCCTCAGTTCCCAGCAGCTGCGAAGCAACTGACCATGGCGGCGGTCAGATCTGCAACGCAGCAGAGGGTGCTAAGAATCTCTGGACTACAGGCCGCCATTGGAACCTGAACTTGGCAACGTTTAACGCTAGAACCTTATCTAGTGAGGGAAGTCTAGCTGTACTATTCGAGGAGCTAGAGGGTGTTAAATGGGATATAATAGGGCTCAGTGAGGTTAGGAGGACAGATGAGGCCTATACTGTGCTACAGAACGGGCACGTCCTTTGCTATCGGGGCTTGGCAGACAGAAAAGAACTGGGAGTGGGGTTCCTAATTCACAGAAACATAGCTGGCAACATAGAGGAATACTATAGCATTAATGAAAGGGTGGTAGGCATTGTAATTAAACTGAATAAAAGATACAAGATGAAGGTAGTACAGGCTTACGCACCTACATCCAGCCATGATGACGCTTCAGCTGAAAGCTTCTATGAAGACGTGGAATCGGCAATGAGTAAGGTAAAAACACAGTATAGTATAGTGATGGGCGACTTTAATGCAAAGATAGGGAAGAAGCAGGCTGGAGACCAGGCAGTAGGAGATTATGGCATCGTCACTAGAAACGCCAGAGGAGAGCTACTAGTAGAATTCGCAGAACGCAATAATTTGCGGATTTTGAATACCTTCTACCGAAAACGAGAAAACCGCAAGTAGACATGGAGGAGCCCTAATGGCGAAAATAAGAACGAAATAGACTTTATAATGACTGCACACCCAGGAATCGTGCAGGATGTGGAAGTGGTTGGCAAGGCACGATGCAGTGACCATAGAATGGTACGGTCTCGAATTCGTCTAGACTTGAAGAAGGAACGACAGAAACTGATACGCAATAAGCCAATCAATGAGCTAGCACTGAGAGGGAAAGTACAGGAATTCAGAGTGTCGCTGCAGAACAGGTACTCGGCTTTTAGTGAGGAAACCAACCTTAGTGTAGATACAATGAATGATAATCTGACGAGTATCATTACGGAGTGTGCAGTGGAAGTTGGAGGCAGGGTAGTTAGACATGACACTGGCAAACTTTCCCAGGAAACGAAGAACCTAATTAAGAAGCATCAAAGCATGAAAGTGTCAAGTACAACAGACAAAATAGAACTGGCAGAGCTTTCGAAGTTGATTAATAGACGTAAAGTATGCGATGTAAGAAGGTATAACATGGAGAGAATTGAACACGCTTTGAAAAACGGAGGAAGCGTCAAAGCAGTGAAGAGGAAACTTGGGATAGGCAAAAGTCGGATGTATGCACTAAGGGACAAAGAAGGCAAAATAACTACCAATATGGATAGGATAGTTAAAATAGCGGAGGAGTTTTACAGAGATCTGTACAGTAGCCGAGACAACCACGATCTTAATACTATAAGAACTAGCAGTAACCCAGATGACACCCCACCAGTAATGATAGAAGAAGTCAGAAAAGCTTTGGAGAGCATGCAAAGAGGCAAAGCTGCTGGTGAGGATCAGGTAACATCAGATCTGCTGAAAGATGGAGGACAGATTGTGTTAGAAAAACTAGCCACCCTGTTTACGAGGTGTCTCCTGACGGGAAGGGTACCAGAGTCTTGGAAGAACGCTAACATCATCTTAATACATAAGAAAGGAGATGACAAGGACTTGAAGAATTACAGGCCGATCAGCTTGCTCTCTGCAGTATACAAGCTATTTACAAAGGTAATTGCTAACAGAGTAAAGAAAACATTAGAATTCAATCAACCAAATGAACAAGCAGGATTTCGAACAGGCTACTCAACAATTGACCACATTCATACTATCAATCAGGTAATAAAGAAATGCTCAGAGTATAACCAACCACTATACTTAGCCTTCATAGATTACGAGAAGGCGTTTGATTCAGTAGAAATATCAGCCGTCATGCAGACACTGCTGAATAAGGGCGTAGATGAAGTATATATAAACATTCTGGAAGAAATCTACAGGGGATCAACTGCTACCATAGTGCTTCATAAAGAAAGCAACATAATACCAATCAAGAAGGGTGTAAGGCAGGGGGACACAATCTCCCCAATGTTATTTACTGCGTGCTTACAGGAGGTTTTCAGAAGCCTAGAATGGGAACAGTTAGGGATAAGAGTTGATGGAGAATACCTTAGTAACCTGCGCTTCGCCGATGACATTGCATTGCTGAGTAACTCAGGGGACGAACTGCAACTCATGATTACGGAGTTAGACAAGGAGAGCAGAAAGGTGGGTCTTAAAATTAATCTGCAGAAAACGAAAGTAATGTACAACAACCTCGGCAAGGAGCAGCGCTTCGAGATAGGTAATAGTGCACTTGAAGTTGTAAAAGACTATGTCTACTTAGGGCAGGTAATAACCGCAGAGCCTAACCACGAGACTGAAGTAAGTAGAAGAATAAGAATGGGGTGGAGCACATTCGGCAAGCACTCTCAAATCATGACAGGTAGATTGCCACTATCCCTGAAGAGGAATGTATACAAGAGCTGCATTTTGCCGGTACTTAGCCACGGAGCAGAAACCTGGAGACTTACAAAGAGGGTTCAGCTTAAATTGAGGACGACACAGCGAGCAATGGATAGAAAAATGGTAGGTGTAACCTTAAGAGAAGACAAGAAAAAAGCAGAGTGGATAAGGGAACAAACAGTGGCTAAGAATGTTATTGTTGAAATCAAGAAGAGGAAATGAACATGGGCCGGGCATGTAGCGCATAGACAGGATAACCGCTGGTCATTAAAGGTTACTAACTGGATTCCCAGAGAAGGCAAGCGGGTTAGGCGGAGACAGAAAGTTAGATGGACAGACGAGATCAAGAAGTTTGAGAGTATAAAATGGCAGCAGCAAGCACAGGACCGAGTTGACTGGCGGAATATGGGAGAGGCCTTTGTCCCGCAGTGGACGTAGTCAGGCTGCTGCTGCTGCTGATGATGATGATGGGCAGTACCAGTGCACACACTCAGGGGACGAAGAAAAGAGGCACAAACAAGCACCCAAGAGTGCGTGCGCTGGTACTGCCCATAATGTATCATCAACTAGCCCAACTATCAGTCCTGCATTTAATGCCAACGAAAAGAACATATTTGAACAATGGTTGCACCTTGTGAAAAAAAAAAGTCCATCGTAACCACAATAGACACTGCCAAAAGTAAAACAAGAAACTGTAGATATTTATTCTCACAATTTCCATCACTAAAAAAATTTTTACAAAAGCCAGCCTTCGTGAATTGCAGAACTTGCTGAATCTTGTAATAAAAGCTCTGCTTTTGTCTGAAGGACATTTGTAGAGCTGGACCATACATAAAACAATAATGTAACCTCCGGCAGATAAAATTATGACTCTTATTAAATTTGTATTTTTCAAAACAACACACTGCAGAAAATACAACAAAACAGAAATACACTGAAAATGCAGCAAAAATGTTAACGAGCAGTACATGCCTTTTTGTACATGCCCATCACACCACCCTTTTGCTGTAATCAAGTGAACAGGATCACAGGTACAAAACAAAAGTGTTCAACTTCAGAGCACTGTTCCATGATAAGTGGACCACAAAATCTCCTATCTAGGATTCAAAAAATTTTAACATGACTGCATCAACTCCCGTGCCTTCAATGAAAACTACTTATAAAAACGGCAAGAGTTTCTTAAGGCACTTATGACAATCTACATGTGTACAGATGTGTACATGTGTACATACAGATATACATTGCATGCATTGGTTCAAACTGAGTTTGAAATGAGAGCAAGCATAACATACAATGAGACTAGAAGCATAGATTGGGTTTGACATAATTTTATCTAAACCAGCATGCTCACATAAAGACAGACTAGGATACGTATAATACAGGCATCACACAGTCACTTTTGATCGCTCCTAATATCTATTCAATTTCTCGACTGTGATTTGCTCCTTCAAGCCAAGCTGCAGAAGGGAACCAATCACAGTAGGAGGAGATTCAGTACCAATCAGGCTTAACTGCGATCAGTGCAGCATCTTATAAGACAATACATTTACCAATCTTCACACTTGTATGAAAATAGTAGTACTGTCCTTTTAATCCCGTCACACCAACGTGTCTAGCAACAATCATTATCTTTTAATGCAATATGAGCAAGCTCTTTTTCTCTTTTTTTTTTCAGAACAAACAGAGGCTATGAACCAAAATTACTTGCAACATATAAAACAACATCAACTCAACATTGACAATGAAACCAGTTTGACATATCGAGAACTAAAAAAACTTATGCGTGATAAACATGCAGTAAATGGGCATCTTAGATGGAACAACTACACTTATGATTGATTTCGCACTTGAATTCCGCAAACGTAATCATCTCCCAGTAAATGACGCTCCTGTTAAACAAAGCATACTTTAGTGGACCCTCAGGTACTGTTCAGAAAGAGCCAATTGCTGTTATTTGTTTTACAGCTTAAGCTATAACGGGCTTATTCCAACGGCCAATTCCAAACTGCCTACCACACCACAGCAGCCATTGCAAATCTACAAACAGAAAAAAAAAATCCCGATTCCTGGCAAAATCAAACACCGGCATTTTAAATCAGCAGCTAAGAACAGCCTTTCTTCATGGCCCAGCTAAATTAACTGATGTATATGTGTGATCATGGGCATAAAAATGCAATCGAATTGAACTAACAAACCACAACACTTTGTGCAGTCTCTTATGTTTCCCTACTATTCTATGTTCACCGCGGTTAAAGATGTAGAAATCACACCGCATTGAACAGTTAGCTTTGCTTTTTCGATTGTTACAGTTATGCAGTGAAATTTCCAACACCAGCACGAAATTGCACAAAATGCTTAAAGAGGTCTATGACTTGCAAGAATTGCACATAACAATGACTACACTCTAAAAAACAATTGCATCCACTGGAGTGTATTTTTCGTTGCAGGTGATAAGTGTCGACCTCACATGGCCTTCCTTCCTTAAACGCCATTAGGATGCTACTTTCAGGTCAAGGATGACATGCGCACACTGGCAGTGTTAAACAGTGTTCTTGATACGAACGTACTGAGTGCACATTTTACAAAAAAGAACACGCAAGTGAGCGACATGCAGTGGAACTGCTTTTAGAGTGCGACAGTTGAGAGGATCAGCGACTACGCCAGACTATCGACGCAAGTCCGGGGCCGTTACTCTCCTGTACAATTTGATGAACCTCTTGCATTTGCCTTGTGGCGCGGCGGTGTAGTTGAAGCTGAGAAACGCGTGCTCCAAGAACGTCATGATGCCCTGCACGCACTGGGAGTACTCCAACTGGAGGAGCCAGAAGGATGCGAAGAGCGCGCAGAGGCCCCCGAGCAGGGAAGACGCGGAGAACAGGCGGGAACCGTTGACAAACAGGTCAACGCTCTCGCAGTCACGCGTGACGAGGCAGGGCGTTGTCAGGGCGTGGTCCTCCTGTCAAGAAGCAGAAGTGGCCCATCAGAATTTATGCCTTCTTGCCTCCTGCTGCGATTTCATTTTCGGAAAACTGCGGCAACGGCGCGCAGGTTGTTTTATTGTAAGCTAGGTAGCACTTTTAACAGTACTCGACATCAAATAGTTTTTTTTAAGGAGACACAAAACTGAAAAACACTTTTTCTCTTGTTAGTCCGAATAATCTGTCACAATTCTAGGATCAGTACTCTTGTCGCAAGCAGACGCTTGGTAAAACCAAGGGGGCGGGGGGTTGAGTTGATTTATTTGTTCTTTTTACACCAAAAAGAAAAAAAAAGGTCGCGAGACACGGGGGAGAGAGTCCGAACAACCTCGCTAGCGTAAACATCGGCGTTGCGGTCTTATATTGGCTTGGAGCGGCCCAACACATGAGGGTATGGTTCCCAACCTAGGTGCGAGTCTTAAAGGGGGAGTGCAAATACTGCCGAAATTCCGCGTCATCAAAACTAGCAAAATCTTTTCCGTCAGAAGAACTGGCGTATGTCTTCTTAAGACACCAGTTAAAATAGGGGACAAAGAAGCTGGCTGCCACAAAAGCGTGGGTAAAAGCTTTGCTACGTTAATAGATTCAAAACGCTTCTCGCCTTTTTTACGTCTTTATTGCCTTTAATCTATTACTGCGTTAGCCACGTGCCCTTGGTGCTAGTAGATTGCTTTCGCGTCACTGTGACAGCGGTTTCGTGTGCGGCGGCTGAACTCGCGCCTTCAAAACTAAGTCTCTATCTCTTTCTCTTTTTTTTTTTTTTTTTTTTGCTATCTATGCCCGCAACTGCCTCAGCTTTGTTTGCAGCCTTTGCGGAAAGCAGCGTCACTTTGACTGGTCGAGCGTTGGGCGCGAGCACACTTTCGGAGTTCTCTCATTTTACGTCGTCGCCAAACATGATCGTGCCAAGAGCGACCCCTGTTTTGTCCACGGTGGTTGAGGCAAACCACAACCACACGGGTAGGAGACAGTGCGTCTGCTGGTCGCGCACGTAGTACTTTTGAAGGTTTGCTCACCCTGCTATCGGGCTTCATTCGATAGTTTCGGTAATAAAGTTCATATCACTCGCCGCAATGAGGAAAATTTCCGAACATCTGAATTTTGGCAAACAGTGGAATTCGGCTGGGGAATTTCGCGAATTCGTATCTGCCAGTTTCGCAACACTGCGATGGGTTCACAAAATTGAATGGGTTCACAAAAAACGTCTGGAGCGGATGGGTCTGCATTTTTGTCAATGCGGCCAGATGGAAACAGCATAGAAATTTCTATTTCCAGGAGATTTTTACGTCAACCGTACAAATGCAAGAAATGGTCAAAATCGGAGAGTCTTCCGGATAGTCCGGGATACTTGGCAGGTAAGGATCAGTAAAGATAGGCTCAGGAGGCCATTCGTCCTTAAGTTCGTTTCACAATGCCACTAAACTTCGACACGTGACAAAGCCTTTGGATGAGGTCAACGGCAAAATGCCGACCTACCGTGACCAAGACGGAATACAGGTTCTCCCCGCATCTCTTGGCAATGGAGTCCAACACCAGAAGAACAACATCTGCAATGACAGAGGACAATATATTACTAAAAGAACTGTGGTTAAACGATTCAGAAGATGTGCAATGTAAGTACAGCAGTGTCTCGATAGTCAGCAGCTCTAGCCAAAATGACGATGCAACTGCTTCAAATTTGATTCGTTTTATATTTCGCTGTCGCACCCCCACACGAATTTTTTGGCAAATGAAACTCATTAGGTGGAATATACTTTGTGAGGCGCTTTGGCCATGTGTGAGAAACCAGATGACAAGCAACGCGTGAGGAAAGCCTTCGGGGGTTTAAAAGAAAGAAACTGAAGTTAATTACTTGCAGTAAACACTGTAACTGTAGCAACACTGTCTGAGTGTACCATTGCCTGGCTGAGAAATGGCCTTGATCTCATCGCTTGTGCCCCAGTTCATCAGCACCAGGAACATCTTCTTGATGCCTCTCTCAAAGCAGGCAACAATGTCCCTCTTCCAGAGGACCCTGAACTCCCGAAGCAGCTGAAAAGGAGTAATAACAGCAAACAGTTAAGCCCCACAGCAAAGCGCTTCTTTTTTTTTTTTGTTAATTTGTGTTGAGCCATTGCACTAGCTCGCAGGCAGGAGTCCGATAGTGCACACTGTTTAAAAATGCGTCTAAAGTACAAATTTTTTCACAAAATACACGGCCAGTACGGTTACTATTGCATTGCTTATAACGACAAATCAAAAGTGACAAGCAAGCGTTGCATCACGAACTTCAACATGCTTTCTACGTTAAAATCACCAATGATATTATTTTTCAGCCGCCACGACCAGGAATCAAACTCGCGTCTCAGCAGTGCGATGAAATCGGTCGCCAAAGTGCCAGGGAAAGTAATGGCTCTCTCAAAGGCCGATGAAACTTTCAGCATTTGCAAGTTGGCGAGCTCAGTCACGACAGAAGTATTGTAAAATGCGACTCGAAGTGTGTGAAATTGTACGAGCACTAATAAATAGTACATGCCAAAGATTACGGAGTGTCGGAGGTAGTACTTTGAAAAAAATTGAGCTGGGTATGTGAATGGCGGGAGAAGCACTTCGATACCAATGAAGAGGTTCTTAAATGCCGTGATTACTTTCAGGACCATTGTCGAAACTTTCCACAACACCGATTCAGATCTTACAAATCCAAACAGGATGCTCAAGAAAGAGTGCTCTCAGAACCACTTTTGGAAGGCGAGTTTAGTTAACCATGCAGATCTCCTGTTACAGAGGTGGCTCTGAGCAAGTGTGCTGCTCAGCAAATGCCAGTAAGATACTTCATTTTGATATCATACAGTCAATTTTTCCATGGCGCACCTACCAACACTGACACTAGCTTGAAGTCTGGCAGGAGTACAAGTTCTGGTAACGCGGAAGGTGGGCTAGTTGTGATGACTTCAGGCACCGAATATTCCAAAATGGGTGCTTGTGCGCCCCAAATGCAGCCACAGTGCCGAGCGACCGTGGAAACGTCACAATTTCTTGCACAAGCAGGTGACGAGAAGCTCATACAATGTTGTGACGTCACTAGCTTGTACGTCACTAATTAAAACTAGCTTTTAGAAACACATTGTAATTATTTCTCCAGGTTGCACTCATGCTTAGCAGGACATTTTTGAGGCTTTTGAGGACTTGGAATTTTATTGGATGCAAAAAAACGACAAGTAAACGTTTTCGTGTCAGCTGTTACGACGCGCGCCTCCGACGACGTTACGAAGGGCGCTACGAATCTCACCGCTGCAACCACTGTTTCGAAAGACGGCGACGCCAACACGTTCCCGAAGGCGCCACTGCTTCGAACTCCGCAGGGAAGGTCACCAGCCGTTCGGTAGCGTAGGTTTCTCAGCTCGCGACTGCTTCTGCGCTGAGCTGATAGACGAGCGGACGAGACGATGGTGAGTTAAACAAGGTTTATGTACAGCATATATACAGAGGCGTTACAAATTCGGCACTGGGGCCGACAGAGACGCGAAGAGCCGAGCTCTTCTCTCTAACACATAGCTCAACTCTCTATCACATAGCTCAACTGCGACACACATGTCTGCTCTCACATAGGACTGCTGTCAAAGGGGTCTGCTCTCGACGCGCCGCAGGGCTTCTTTTATATGCACCGGGTCCACCCCAACTGTCCAACCAAAAGCGCCGCTGGTCGTGAGGTCAGACTCCTCCAATGGGGATCGCCGCTGGGCCCGACATTCTTTCTCATCAAATCTCGAGAGGCTGCGCTGCAGGTGGCTGCACCCAAGGACGAGTGACGTCGCCACGCATTGCGTCAGAACCGCCAGACAGGAAGACGCCGGTTGTTTACTCGACGGGCTGAGCTGACTCACGGCACGTGCGCGCCAGAAAGGCGCCGTCGCGTGATGACGCCGTCGAGTTGTTGATCGCGTCAGGCGGGCTGGCGTGCTGGCCTTGACACAGATTTCCTTTTTCCGCGGCAAGGACGCTAGCTGCGGACTCGCTGGCATAACAGCACCCCCGCCGCCAGACAATGCGCCGAAAAGACGAGCTGCTTCCCCGTGGCTCGGATGTCAGGCGCGCTCGTTCGCCAGGTCCCTCCAGGTTCGCCTCCAGGACCATGGGGAGAATGCAGCTTCAGACTCTGTTCCTGGAACACATCCCATTCTTGAGGACGAATCCCAGCTCCACTGGCTTGTCGCCACAACTTGCCGGCCAGCTTCGCTCGTCTATAACGATCCTTGGTTTCAGCACTTGTCGATGGTTCTGCAACTTGTCAAGAACGGATCGACAACAGACAACACACGACACAAGCAAGTGCCCTCAGTCACCCGACAGAACACCAGACAAAGTATAGTACAACGTATACCTAGCTACGTGTCTATCGGAATTTCGTTCCCTCTACATCAAGAGGCACATGTGGGACACAAAAGACTTTTAAAACGACAACTCAAATTTTTACACGCAAAACAACGTAACGAATTAGAATAGAACATAAAGTTGGCTCCTTGAGCTCACTCTGGACGAGAGCGCTCAGCTAAGGTCGTGATGAGGTCAAAATTTTGCCCCGAATCGCCAGCAAGAAACCGAAAGGTGGAGAAGGTACTAACTGAACGCACTGCTCAATGCGCCTGCATTAGCATTTAGCTTTCCTTTTTTTTTTTTTTTGTAGCGAACATCAAAGTTGAGCTGTTAGAGCATCATGCTCCATCTCAGTAACCGGCCAGTTTTAGGCGACGATACCTATGCAGTACCAACAGCTGCTCATACTTGCGACGTTGCACGGGGGAACAACGATACGGTTTGCTAGGGATTGGCTCCTCACAAGTTAGCTCTATATCGTGTTCGATCACTGTCGTGTCTCCGGGACGGTCCAAAAACATGTATCCAAACTCGGAAACAATCCTTTTTAGATCCTCCTTCTGGACTTCACTTAACCTAGGCTCTAGGTTCAACTGCTCCAAGATTACCTCCGATCCCCTTTCGATTACATCACTAGAACTCAAAATTTCTGCTCCCTCTTCCTCTGAAGCATTCAAAACAGATTTACGACTGCTTTCAAGTTACCGTGATAAATTTTGTTCGGTCGCCTTCCTAATTTCACTTCATAATTCGTATCGGAAAGCTTAAATATTACTTTGGCGGGCCCTTCCCAATGAATCTCAAGCTTGTTCTTGTTGAACGGCCACAGCAGCACTACCTGACTTCCTACTTCAAAAACGCGCTTCTTCACCGATTCGACGTTGTACTCCTTCGACAACACTTGTGCAGCTTTCATGTGGCTTTCCACTAGCGCTTCAATCGAGAGGTCCGCACGCTGCTCTCGAATGGCTGTTTCTCGGTCAACCCTCGACAGCTCGCTCCAACTTTCCGCTACAGGCGAGAGCGTTGCACTCCCCTCGCTCTGACTCAATGGCGCCATGTCGTCTCCCCCCATTACGAAAACCGTGCAAGTCGCTTCGGCGACGGGCCGCTCGCGTGATTGCTCACATGACTCACGCGGAAAATTTCCTCTCTGAGGTTCCGTCGACCCGCCGACAAGGTCACTTGAGAGTTCACCGCATTGAACAAGATCAAGCTCCTGCGAAAGCCTCCGCGCTTGCGATCGCGTGAGGGCCATGTCCTCGCCTACTACGAACGGTGGCAGTTGGTCGCGAATTCTCTGACCGCTGACCTGAACTGTCGCAGAAGCTACGCTAGGCGCCTACGAACACTGTATGATTGCCAATTCTATTCATTTCAACTCGAGGCGCTCCTGTCTCTCGGCCTCCTCACGGCGTTCTCGCCTTTCAGCTTCTTCACGTTCGCGAACTTCTCGCCTTTCAGCCTCCTCGCGGCATGCTTTGATATCCGCCCAGGCCTCATCGACTTCCTCAGCCGACACTGCTTGATCCTTCATGATCTCAAGGATCGCTTGCTTTCGTTTCGCACGACCCAAAGTAATGCCGAGTTCCTCACAAATTTCGATGAGTTCCTTCACTTTAAGGTTCTCCATTGTTCACACTAGCCTCTTGCTGTTTGCCCCTGTTAACAACTTACTTGCCGTACCCACTATAAGTCAACTAGCAAGACGCGCAAGCAATTTTTCACACTCCCGTGTTTACCCCCTCCGCATTAACTTTCGTTTCAAAGCCCTTCGACTTTGCTTGAAACGATCAAAGCTCACTTCAATGCTTCACACAGCCCTTCTCTAAACTACTACAATCTGAGCTAGAGTAGTCTGGTGAACTGAGGGGAAAACATCAGGCACTCACCGCATCGATGTCGCTGACGCCGGCCGATCCCGCAGCTGCCAACTACTGTTACAAAGCGCATCGATGTCGCTGACGCCGGCCGATCCCGCAGCTGCCAACCACTGTTACGAATGTTGCGAAGCGCGCCTCCGACGACGTTACGAAGGGCGCTACGAATCTCACCACTGCAACCACTGTTTCGAAAGACGGCGACGCCAACACGGTCCCGAAGGCGCCACTGCTTCGAACTCCGCAGGGAAGGTCACCAGCCGTTTGGTAGCGTAGGTTTCTCAGCTCGCGACTGCTTCTGCGCTGAGCTGATAGACGAGCGGACGAGACGACGATGAGTTAAACAAGGTTTATGTACAGCATATATACAGAGGCGTTACAAATTCGGCACTGGGGCCGACAGAGACGCGAAGAGCCGAGCTCTTCTCTCTAACACATAGCTCTTCTCTCAAATAGGTCTGCTGTCAAAGGGGTCGGCTAACACATAGCTCAACTCTCTATCACATAGCTCAACTGCGACACACATGCCTGCTCTCACATAGGACTGCTGTCAAAGGGGTCTGCTCTCGACGCGCCGCAGGGCTTATTTTATATGCACCGGGTCCACCCCAACTGTCCAACCAAAAGCGCCGCTGGTCGTGAGGTCAGACTCCTCCAATGGGGGTCGCCGCTGGGCCGCGTCATTCTTTCTCATCGAATCTGGAGAGGCTGCGCTGCAGGTGGCTGCACCCAAGGACGAGTGATGTCACCGCGCATTGCGTCAGACCCGCCAGACAGGAAGAAGCCGGTTGTTTACTCGACGGGCTCACTGGCTGAGCTGACTCACTGCACGTGCGCGCCAGAAAGGCGCCGTCGCGTGATGACGCCGTCGAGTTGTTGATCGCGTCAGGCGGGCTCGCGTGCTGGCCTTGACACAGATTTCCTTTTTCCGCGGCATGGACGTTCGCTGCGGACTCGCTGGCATAACACAGCATTCCTTCAATCTGGATGTTGCATTTGGGGATCTGGCAGTTGATGAACCGTCAGTTCGGCAGCATTTCTAATGAAGAAACACACTGAATGTGGTGTTTTTAAGGCAGGTGAACACTTATAAAAACTTGTGGGACTGTGTCCATTTATGTGTACAGATTAAAAATAGCTATCTTTGCAGTGTTCAGCATCTTACAGAATGCATTAAATGATAGGCATGTAAAAGTTAGTTTTGAGATAAAATATGCAAACATTAAGACAGCATTTTGCTTTAAAAGGTCTAAATTGCAATTTTTTATCTAGTTAGCAAATCTAACTTCAGTAGTGAGATGACATGAGAGTGATCTTAGAAGTTTTCAGCTCACACTGATGCATTTTAAAGGGGTCATGACATGGTCACCCGACAGTTGACAGTTTTGGCTGAAAAACAAAGGTAGAGGGTCAAATATGCTTGTACACGTGTGAAAACTGGACTGCAAAAGGTTATTTCAGTCCAAAATAACCTGCAAAAGTAATCACGTGTGCACTCCACACACCGCCAGCGATCGTCATTTTGCCATGGCGTGCGTGACATCACAAGCCGTAAGGAGCAGTGCCGTCGTCTGCTGCCTAACAGCATCTTCAGCATGCAGTCAGTGTGACTGTCGCGAGTGTTGCTTGCCGCGTGGTTCACATGTATCAGAGTGCTAAAAGTGTTGCGGCGTCGTTACCGGTACCATCGCTATGTCGTGGGCCCCATCATCACCTCACGACTTGGGTAGTGGTTGATAGAGAAGCAGAAGTGGCGACAACGTCATGCGTGCTGTACATCTTGATTTCAACCCCATCGTCACCAGCTCGAGCGACGAAGAGCGCGTTGAAGACGAGGCGAACCAAGATGCCAACGTCCTTTGCGTTGTGGTAGACATTGCAGACAGCTTTCCGCAAGGATAAGTAGTTTATTTCAAAGGTGCCAGGTTGACAAGCGAGCTTGGGACACGGGCATCTGTTGATGCAGCATTCGAGAGCAAGTGTTACTTTGCGCAGTGGAATTAATAAAGCGTGCAGAGTTGTTTTTTTTTTTTTTTTTTTTGGCTAGCATACGTGCGTGCATGACTTTCGGTGCTGAACATAATATAAATGAGTGGTCGTAACAATGCTGCACGTTGGGATTGTTGTTTTTCCATCGGCTGTTGCGTGCGGCATATGTAAACATTAGCCGAAGCGAACGGCATGTCAGTGCGACACTAGGGTTACTCACATTATACGTTTTGGCCGAATCTTTGCTTGAACACGGTCGACTGCATTCAGTGCCGGTTAAAAAGTAGCCAGTGTCACGCTTAAGTAACTATGGCACTGCCTGCGAGAAGTTTCAATAAATATATATCCGTAGCAGTAAATGGTATACAGGTTGCACATTCACAGGTAACTTTTGACCTCTGACAGAGTGACAAAAATTGTTTGCTGCAAGTATCAGCGCTACATTGGTGATGCTATGGCATTGTTTCTACCGCTGCAAGTCATTTAGACCCAGTAGCAAGTTGAACAACGCAGAAAAAGCTCGATTGCAATTGCAGCTGACAATGGAACACGATCGTTGTCCGGAATACAAACCATTCCGCAGCTCGCCCAGCAAGCGGTTCGTTACGTCACAACTAGCAAGTGGACAAGTCATGCTGACTCTCGAGCCGCACGCTCATTGATAAAAATATTGAATTATGAATTAATCACTCGATCGAATGCACTAAAATTTTGCAAACTTGTCAGTGAACATACAAAGATCAACCCACAGAAGATAGATTATGGTCAAAAATTGGGTGTCATTACCCCTTTAAAATGTGAATAAAATGGTTCCGTTTAGGAGAATGAATTCACGATTACAGTCAGATTTCATTACAATGAACGTGGAAGTAACCAAATGTCGGTAATAACGAAGTAAATGCAAAATAGTCTTGAAATAGATAATGTGTCAGGAGTGAATATTTATAACAAATTTTTGGATGTAACAAACTCATTTTTGTGTAAGATGCAGCGTTACAATGACGTTTGGGTGTATAAGAAGTCGTATCATCTTGGGGGGTATGGCGTCCCAAAACAACAATACATGTTTACAAAAAGTTTAACTCACGGCTGACTCTTCTCTGAAGATGGGAAACTTCAAAACGACTTCCTCCACTGACATTTCATGGATGATGCTGTGCCTCTCGATGGCAAGCTTTCGCTTGTGACCATCTACACCCTCTAGAGCAGCAGCAACGTCGGCCTCGCCTTGTGGATGTGCTTTGCCTTTGTACTCTAATAGCTCTTCACCAATCCACTAAAAATGCAAAAAGAAAAGAAATATGTTAAAAAGACTCAATCAAATAGGTTGTGTGTGAAACTCTGCATTCCTTCCTTATTGAAGCACTAAAGCAACAGGAAAAGTGCGCAAGTTATTCATGTAAATACATCACGTGGTGCAACGCACGGATGAAGTTTTCCATTTCTGCCACAAGCTATCCAAGGGCATGAAAAGGTGCGCTGGACAAGGAGACAAAAGCAAGAGGTCACCATGAAGAATTGCAAGCTATGCATCAAGTAACTTTATTTTCTGTCACATGTGAGTATAAGCACATCGTCATAAAGGTGCAAGGAGAGATTACACTGTCAAGAAATAAAACTATTTCAATGAGCCTCAAAACCACACAGAGGTTGAGAAGTACTTTGGTTTGGGCTAGCTGGTTCATAGTACTCACTTAGAAAGGGCAGCACAAAAACACGGGGAAAAAAAAGATATGTCTTTCTTTTCCCCGTGTTTTTGCGCTGCCCTTTATAAGTGAGTGTAGAGATTGAAATCGAAAGGGACCGTGTACCGCTTAGAAAAATGTTTCTGATTGTGGCGCGAATGAGAAGATCGTTCATCACATCAGTGGCAACGAGGGAGATTTTAGCTCATAAAAGGTAATTATAATTTTAACTTGATGTTGAAAGTCGACAAAAGATGACCGCTAGCGTCATTTAACAGCGATGTGATCAGTCTACTGATAGGACAAAAAATACTTGGAAGTACACTTATTTTGCTCAAGAACAAATATGTATAACTTGAAACTGTATTTTACGCACTTGAGGCAGCTTCAGGTTGCGTCAGACTAACTTTTGCTTTTTTTTTCTCTTGTGTGTTCAAATAGGCACCAGGTGGCGCTGCCAACAGTGTGTTCGCTTGCCGGCATGCCTGCCTGCAAACGGCTGAGAAATGCGAGCACCGCGTCCGCCACCGCTCATAAAAACAACAAAGAAATGTACGTGCCCTAAGCGATCAATAAGGTATTTGTTGTATTAATAAACAAAATTAGATGAAGCCTGCGAAAACCTCACACGGTTTCAGTTTTCGACTTTTCCCGCCAGTACAATTGCCATTGCCTCCACCGACCAATGTTATGGTCAATCATGCCACCGTCGGAAGGAGACGAAACAAAAATAGAAAAATTATGTTTTGAAAATCTCTACACACTTTCCAGAGGAACCGCTGCAAGGTTAGACACTTTGGATGGTACTCTTCTTATTGCAACGCAAAGCACTGAAGGAGGGTAGACAGTCCCTCTAATAATAGTGTTGCAGTTGTCACAACAAATAGCCACGAAAATTTTAACTGCGAAGCCGTTCTAGCTCGGCATAAAATGTCATGACCTAAAATAATCATGAACCACCACGCAGAGTGGATCAAGAGGGGGGGGGAGCGGTAGGAGCGACCCCCCCCCCCCAGTCTCTGTCAGCACTCTCGCCTCTCTTTACTGCTTGTCGTTTACTTCCTATTACCAATTAGAAGAAATGAAGGGGACAACTGTGAGCATACTAAAAGTATTTATGCCATGACAGGGTCCTCACACTACTAAATACAATAAAGTCAGGGCCCCACACCCCTCTTCGCTGTTACTTCAACCAACTCCCCCCCCCCTGAAATGAGTGGCTGGATCCTACCTTCCCAGCATTCTCCCTTTTTGCCCTCTTCTGCTTCACTCCCACAACATGTACGCCAATCTTTCCAGCATATAGCAAGAGGGAAGCACAAAGTGAGAGATACAGAGAGATATGTGAGGGTGAGAAGTGCAAAGAAAGAAAGAGACAGACAGAAATGTACATTTAAGGGCTCATTTTCTTTGTTAGACACTATATTAATAAGAAGAGACATTGATGTCAAGGAAAGTACAGGGGAGATATAGGAAGTAATTGTGATGTAAAAGTGTAGAAAGAAAAGTGGACAAAAAGATTACGTACCACGGCCACGGACCGAACCTGCAACCTTCGAATAATGTGTCCGATGCTCTACCAATTGAGCAGACATGGCAGCTATCTCCCACCGTCCGCTCTATGATGTATACATGTGCATTAAACGCGGCAGCGTCAGTTAGCGCCTTTGGTAGCCATGATGGCGAGTTGACACTCGCTGGCCCCTTCATATCAAAACCAAAAGTGTCTTTTTGGGGCAGCAACATGACAAGCATATCTCAGTCACTCTTGCTTGACTGGGTCGTTTCTGTATGGTGTCGATTTCAATGCATTCTCAAGTGTCATGATACTCTCTAAGGGTTCTCAACACCAGTGTTTATGTTTTGAGCAGCAATTAAAAAAATTTCAAATTTGTGTCAGTACTTCTTTAAAGGGGCCCTGCAACAAACACCTTTTGAGCATAGTCAGAAAAAAGCTGCCGATTGATGATTGAGGCTCCTCGAGAAAGCACCAGCCAAATATTATGGCGCTGCATGCAGCCTGGAATTCACAATAAATTCTCAAAGTCAGCTAAAAATTGCGTTCTCTTCTCTAAAAAAATGACGATACAAATCCGAAAATTGTTCGTCGCAGCCATTTGTATCAGCCATTGGTTGATTTGAGCCTGGTGCACTTTAGTCATTACTCATGCCACCCCGAGAGGGCGTGAGTCACATGACCTGTCCACACAGACGTGTGGACGCACTGAAAAGCCGCGCATTCGAAGAAAAAAAAGAAAAAGTGCTCAGGGTCGAGAGGTGAGCGTGCCATATTTTTTTTACCCATGCCAGCTCTCCCTGCTTAGCTTCCAGCGCTTTTGTTGGAACGAGAGACAAGATTGCAGTAGCTGTGTGAGACAAATCTTTGTAACTCTGCTTGTACTGGACGGATTCTAATGCTTTTCACGGCGGTGAACTCATGAAGAAACAAGCTCTCTTAGTGAATCTATTCCATGGCTACTTGAAAAAGTGTTGCAGAGCCCCTTTAAAAATGCAGAAGCCTTTTTTTTTTATATCGCAAAGATAAGGTTGCTTGCATAAGCAATACAATTCATTTGATTTCTTTATTTGTTTTCATTGCAAAAGATCAAGCAGTGGCAGTGATGCGGCTAAAGTTAAAAGCTGCACTGGGACAGCTGGAGGTGCCCTAAGACCCTGCTTTATAATGTGGCAATGTGTTGCGCAGTCATATTACAAAAACAGGTTCACAAAAAATAAAAAAATACATTATTTCTGCAGTACAGTAAAGAATAATCAATGTGGAACAATGCAATGTAACAGTAGCAGGTAGAACAATTATTACAAAGATAAGACACCATTACATTAGCTAACCCTCAACTGCTCTCCTGGAAATGAAGTTTTTTAAAAGCCACATTGTTATAAGAGCCTAATGACTACAGCAATCAACATTACAATGCTTCTGGCATAAAATGTGTTGGTGCTCACAGTGAAAAATGCTCCCCAAAACAGGCACTCTGCCAGTCGTTTCCCATATAAAACGATAGCATGAACCTGACATGTCTAGCTTACCAGAGGCCGGAAAACACGCTGCGAGTCCATGCTGTGGTCCAGTCTTTGAGGCTCGCATGGTTTCTGAGGCTCACATGGCTTCCGAGGCTCACGTCGTTTCGTGGGACGTCTGCCAATTCAGCTTGATGCAGGCGGAGCTTTAGCGTTAGAGAATTCACCCAAAACTCCTGTGAGATCAAAACAGGCAAGATTTCAAAACCAGCCAAGGTTAGCCTACTGCCCCAAGTCAGAGGTCACTGGTTGCGAAAACACCGACGCCATTCTTTAGTATGCCCACAGGCCTGTACAGAAACACAGCAGTCTTGCACTTAAGTTCAACAACTTCCGGTCCACCACTGCGATCTTGCAACAGAGTGAATGTGATCTCGTGGTTTCAAACTAGACGTGAAAAGGGGACCTTAATTTGGTCATCATGCTTGGCCATCTGACAATAATCCACTTATCAATGTTCAGATTATCAGTGTTTTTAGTTCACACATTAGCATTTCTAACTGCAATTCAGATGCTTTTCACAAGGTAAGCAAATCTATGTTATAAGTGTTTTAAGATGAAGTGCATGAAAGCAACCCAAGGGCGGAACACCTCTTTGAGTGAAGTAACATTCAACAGGCTTTGCTATATCGCTTAATTAAACTTAATTACAATGTCCTTATAAGTCACCATCTCAAGTTGACACATCTGCTCCCTTTATTGATTGATTGATATGTGGGGTTTAACGTCCCAAAACCACTATATGATTATGAGAGACGCCGTAGTGGAGGGCTCCGGAAATTTAGACCACCTGAGGTTCTTTAACGTGCACCCAAATCTGAGCACACGGGCGTACAACATTTCCGCCTCCATCGGAAATGCAGCCGCCGCAGCCGGGATTCGAACCCGCACCCTGCGGGTCAGCAGCCGAGTACCTTAGCCACTAGACCACCGCGGCGGGGCCTGCTCCCTTTATCACCTATCCACTGTAACAAACCTTTATTTTACCTTTCCATTTTTTGTCTTGACGCTTGACAGGTGTGGATATTTATGTAACAGGCAAGCCACAGCCTCTTCGATTTGCTCTTTCTTTCGGGCGCCTGGATAAAACGTAAAACAAACACGCAACAAGGTCATTGAAGAACTGTAGCATTTTAAAAAAACGAACGATAAGCAGAAGCTACGAAAAATGTCGCAGTAAAGGGCGAGGGAGTGATTTTAAGTCATTGTAATTCTCCATAAAGACCTTATGCGAGGAATGAAAGATTTAGCTCAAGGCCTCAACCAACTCGTTTTTGCAGACACATTGACCCCAACTCCTACTACTATTACTTGACTGGATCCCTTTGCGTGACATAAACAGTAGAGCAAACAAAACTAACAAATCCTCGAGCAAGACTATGTGGCAGCAAAGTGATTATCCACCAACTCCGCTCATAACCAATTACACATGAGTGCTTTGCAGTGTCATTTATGTCAGAAATTCTTTCGACAACCTACTGCATACCAATGGCAGTCGGAAGCACTACTGAAATAATAGGTATTTACATATCAATGTCTAGAATTATTCTGAAGGCCTCATTACCACTTTACATAACCCATAAATAACAGGCATGGGCTAGAAGAGCCGTATAGGGCCCCCGTAAAGAAAAGCCTGGACCACTCACGTATTGAAGGACATTTAATACATGACCCTTACCATAACTCGTTGCTTGACTGGCTACGCAAAACTGTGCGTGTACCTCTAAAAGTTATAATTATGCCTCAAAGCAAGATTTCAAACTAAACATATGTATTGGGTGATTGCAGGTTGAACTATGAGGCTTTCTGTGGCTGTACCTACTAAACCGTATATCATCTTGGTAATATTCCACTAATTGTACCTGATTAACCATATGTCGACTGCTAATATTATGCTAATTGTACTTTATGACATACACACTGTAACCTTTCTCTTGCTCCTCCTTCTGTTAAACAAATTGCTTTCAAAAGCTCTGAGCGGCCAAAGCTAGAGTATCCCAATGTAGTTTTATATGTGAAGCGTCTTATGATTGAGCTCAATCCGGTGAGTGGCGTGACCACCCTTATGGCACAAAAGCGACCCTCCCTCTTTCCTCGAAACCCTGCCGCAGAAGAGCGTAGCTTATGCCTGCTCTCCGCTCTCTCCTTTAGACATCTCTCCCAGCGGAGTTTACTGCCCCGCAACGCATGTCTGTCCCCTCCTCCTCTCATACACTCCCCTCTCGCCTCGCAACACCGAAGCAGGCAGCGTCTGCTACCCCGACTTTCTTGATTGAAAAAGCCGACTGCTCGCGCAGCGCCACCGTTCACTGGCCACCCCTTATACGCAGGCATTGGATCCTGACCTCCAAGGTAGTACCGGTGGGAGACTGCATTGTTAAACGACGAAAATTCGCAGCACAAGCTAACTAAAAACAGGGTGCAGGCCTCTGCGTCTAATCGGAGTCTTCTGCCTCTTGTTGCCCATTAGCAGCAATTGGTATGTTGCAATAGGAAACATGGGTCCATCACTGCGTACCTTTGCGCCTGCCCAGGTTTCTCGCCTGCACAACGCCGCTTTTGGCCAGCGCAAGCGCTGGCGTGCGCTGCTTTCCGTTTACACATAATTCCCTACTGCGGGAGACGGTGTAATTCATTTTAGACCCACTGGAATAACTTTACCAACGCCCTGGGGTCTGTCCAGAACCAGGCAACATGATTTATTCTGCTTAGGCGTTACTACAATAAACGTACTGGCATTAAAAGTGAAGATTAAATTACTTGATTACCCCTTGCATAAGAAAAGCCAGCAACAGTTTGCCTGCCATATATCCTAAAAAATCTATACCCTCTGGCAATTGTTTTTTTTTTTTATGTGCATGAGATGGCCTGCTCACTGAAGGTGCCGCCATCATGGACCCAATAGTATTCAGGCAGCTTGTCGAAACCATCCCATAGTAGCTAATATATTCCGGTTAGCCCTTCATAACCGCCTCCTCAAGTGATGCCTCAACAAGTGGCCTTTAAAAAATGAATAAATAATGAATAAATGAAGAAATGTATGAATGAACTTAGGTACAAGACTTACAAAGTTTTCTTGGAGAGTGCATTGAAGAGGCTAAAGACAATGTGCTGCTGCATCGTAGAGCTGACCGGCACTTTCATGCAGAGCAACTCATCAAAAACGCCAAATGAAGGCAGCTCAAATTCCACATGCTCAGCTTCCTGTAGATCTTCTTCCACTTGTTCCATGGGCTTTGGACTTGGCACAAGAACCACGGGGTCAGGTTCCTGCAAAAACACCTCTGCTTGTTCTGCAGGCTTTGAATCTGGCACAAGAACCACATGCTCAGGTTCCTCCAGAGGCACCTCCACTTGCTGCTCGAGCTTCGAGCTTGGTGCAGGAACCGCGTGGTCAAGGTCGTCCATAGGATCGTCTGTTTGTTCTGTAGACTTCGAGCTTGGCGAAACCACAATGGGGTCAAGTCGATTCAAAGACACCTCTCCTCGCTGCTCTGGCTTTGAGCTTGGCTCATCCTCTTGAGGGCTTCATTAGATACAAAAGGGAAAAAGAAAAAAAAAAACAGAGAAGCCTTTTTCAAGTCAGACATCCAAAGAATGCTAAACATTTGTACTTCAGTTGCATAGAAACATGGGCATTTGTGCAAGATGTGCTATAATAAAGTCGCTTTATACTTGTAATTGAATAAGAAACAACGCATGCAAAGTGTGCGTGCACATAGAACAAAATCTCGTGGCACAATCGATGCAAAGTGGTGAATTAAATGTAACAGAAGTAGTGACAAACGGCCTTGAGTGCCATTCTGTGCAATGCGTGAAATCTCATTCAACGTCGATGTCTGGCACACAGCAAAGGTTAAAGTGGTCCTAGAGATCAAACAGCAGTAAATTGATATAGAGAGGTGCTCTCACTTGTGGCGAATTCTTCTTTAATCTTGACAAAATCAATTAATAACTCAAAGTAATGGCTTTGAAACCTATCCCACTCACTGCAACCACTGTTAGCGAAGCTACTGTCAGATGCAACTAGAGAAGAAAGGAGCGGCGCCACGCATCTAATGAACGATTTACTCCAGTCAGCCTAGAACGTGCAAACATGCTTGAGTGCAATGACTTTCAAAGCGATAACACAACTGTCGTCTAAACTGAACCAGACTGCACTTAATGTCACTACGTTAATCTAATCGAAGAACTAGGGTTAATCTATACAGTGGCAATAATTTTTTTTTGTTGGCATGGTACCTGACTTCCTCCACTGGTTCGTCACAGCTGTCCCTTTCATCATCTGGAGAACCCAGACTCCCCTGCTGTGCCATCAGTGCCTCGGAAGCTTTTTGATCAGTGCACATTCCAAGCGGGTCAGACACGGTGAAGTCTTCCAGAACAGCATCAGAATAGTCCGGATAATCCACCCATTCCACGTCTTCCAACTGTTCACTCTTCCACACACATTCCATTGGTTCTGACACAACGCAGAACTGTACGGAGTTTGAAGGCGTGGCTCCCGAATCGCTGGAATTTTCGGCCTTGTGAGTAGACGTGCTTTTAGACTCGTTGAGTTCTTCCGCCTGGACTGGAGGGTCCTTACACCCGGACAAATCACCTGATGAATTCAATGGTGGCTCTTGACTGGCAAGCTGTGACAAGTAAAAAATTGTCGTTTCAACGAACAGACTGACCTGAGTGAATAGGCTAATGAAAGCCATGCCTTCAAACCTGTGGCTTTGAACCACTCGCTAGCAGAGACTGCACAAGGTAAATGCTGAAGTAAATGGGCAGGTCGAGCACAAATAATTTTTCAAGTGCATTTTTACCGGGGTAAATTGAAAGAAATAACATAGATTATCAATTTCTCTCTTTTCAATGTTGAAATGCTGCATTCTTTTCCAGCTACCAGCCTCAACTTTTGTAAAAAAAAAAAACCTATTTTATCCCTGTCCAAGGCTGTGGTGTGTAAAGTCAAGCACTCAAAAGGGCGCAATTACAAAATATCTGTCATATCAATACACTATCCCTGTCTTAAATTTTATAAGAGCAGTTCAAAAGGCCCAATTTTTGTCATCCTGCAACTTCGTTTTCTATGCTGCCACGGTGCCAGGCTCCCGTGCTTCATTATCCAAAAACAATCTCTGCACCTCTTTCTTATTCCGTACTGCCACCCTCCCCCACCCACCACCACCACCACCACATGCACAAGACGATGTAGTTCTTTCCCAGGTAATATGGCCAGCAACTGATGATTCATCCATCGCAGTGACGCCAATGACTCTCATGCCAGAATGCCTACCACAATTGAAAGCGCTTCCTCTTAAAAAATTCTTGCCATGTTTGGGTTATGCGATGTTGCGTGTGCATTGCGTCAAGTTAAAACGAAGCTGGTGGGAGCCAGATCATGTGCACGAAACCATGGTCGCTAATTGATGAAGACAGCAACGTGGACTGCACCGCCTTGGTATGGTCACCAGCAAATGCTGTTTTCGCTCTTGTGCGATGCACATTTACAGAGCATCATGTCCGGCACCGAATCAATGACAGCTTGATGCCTTTTAACAATGCACATGTTGGCCGAAACAACAAAACATACCTGAATTATCTGATTTTCCTCTAATTAATTCAGTCAAAGTAATCAGCTATTACACTTTTCAGTAATATTTAGGGTATCACATGCCCGAACCACAATATCAGGCATGCTGTAGAAGAGGATCGCACAAAATGGGGCTTACAGCATTTCGCCTTTATCAAAGCGCAGCCACCACGGCAGTGACCGAAACCATGAGCTTTCGGTCAACAGCCGAGCACCGTAGCACAGAGGAAGACGGCTAGGCAACATAGTACTTTCTGCTTCACGCAACTCTAACGCTGCCACTTTGTGCTGGTAACTTCACCACTCTATGTACTCACCGCTAGCTCTGTATGGGCGTAGGCATGCTCGTCGTCATCAGGGACCAGCTCTGTCTCGAGTCCCAGCGTTCTTCGTGCTTTGACTACAGCAGCAGGCGGCCACAAGCTTCTTGCGTGCGGTTTTGAACCTGCTTCTCAGGGCAATCGACCAATGGCACTGTGACAGCGAGAGGCAAGCAGATACAGCAGTTGCCTCTATTTTCATACAATGAAGCAAGACATCGAGGAGCACTCCTGCCGTCACCTTTCCACAGCAACGGTGGATCGCGGACTATTCCGCAGTGCAAGTGACTTGCTGTATTCACACGCAAGAATGACACCGCAGTAAAAGCTCGCTCACACATTCGTCATAGTCTAAGAGAGAGAGATCAAAGTCCAACTTTTAGCAACCTGGCAAAGTTGTTCAAGATGGTGCAGTTTCCAAACAATTGTAGAGGTGGCAGGTTTTTCGTTTCCAGTCATCACAGTTGAAAACTATTTCTTGGCATCTTTTACATTTTTAAACGTATCCAGAAATAACCATACTTAGGAAAGTGAAGGACTTGACCAGGGCTAAACCAGACCGGCTGCCAAACATTGCAAGCAAAGAGGATCGTGCTGAAGCTCGCCCGAGAGTTAAGCAAACCAGAACATTCGCCACTTCTCAGAGAGAAGCCACCAGGTCCAGTCAAACTTCATAACCACGACATCAGACAAGCCCCACTTCTTATAGAAATGTATTCTTCAACAGAAATTTTTTAAGTTGTCGTCTAGCTTCATCCAACTGCGGACATTTGTGCCATTCTTCCGAGCGCTTTATAAGTTTTGGCAATGCAGGTGAAAAATTGTAGTTTTCAAATGTGCCAGGATGTTGAAAAGCCATACAGTCAGAAACTACCGTGTGAAAATGTCTCACCCTGTTGTACCTTCCCTCAATGACGTGGGGGTACTTTGCCACCAGCGAGTCAAGTACCTTTTTGTACAGCCTCGATGTTGGATATCTGCAAGAAAGAGATTTCGAGACCTCGCGCAATGAATGACAGCAATAATATTTGAAGCAAACACAACTTCATCTATTACCCATATTAGCTTCTTTAAATACAGTAGAACATTCTATAAGCAATGTTGGATTGAATACAAAAATATTGCCAGAGTCAACAGCAGACTTTTTTTCAGGCACCTGATCATGGAAATGCCTTCGCAACCCTTACACGTGTCAGAGCCAACACGTAAGCACTTCTGAGTCTGCCAACGCTGAAGCGCTTCTTTCTCCAAATTTTCATGCTCTCTGGTAGGATAATTGACGACTAACAGCCATAGTACCAGCGGCGGTAATGACGATACCCTCTACCTGATGCCACAAATGAAGCTTCTGTTCAGTAATATCAAAGTGTAACTAGCTATTATTCACTAATTACTTTTATAAAGCTGAACCCCTTTAGAAGGGACACTGTTATAACAGACATTGGGGTTGGGTATAAGAGACACAGGTGCACCAGTACTGAAAGTTGGTCCGAAAATCAGAACACGGTATCAGGCTTAAAAGAGACACCTTATATAAGGGACAAGCACTGGTCATTGCCACTTATTGCCAGGATTCAATTGTAAGCCTCAATTCAATTTCAATTTAGATGTCTGCACCACCACTGGGCAGATTTAGTTATCATACTCACTTCACTTTAAAGGGGTGATGCCACAAGTTTGCAGCTTGCGCAATCTTTGCTGCCAGCGTTTCTTATAGCGCCAGGAATAATAATACACGCACCATCGCGTATTCTCACTAAATAATTTAGTATTGCCTCGTTTATGTGGACAATGTTTGGTTTAGGTTTCTGGGTGCCGAGTCGGGCAGCGACGTAGAAGTGTAGGTGGCTTGATCATGTGGTGCTGTCTCATTAAAAACACTAAAGACAGTGGCATACTTTAAGGCATCTTTCTGCCGCAAAATATTAATTGTCAGCTAGCTTGCATTTAAAATTGGGTGCCTGCCTCATTCCTGTCAAGAACCCTAAACTACACTTATGGCGCACAGGCTATCTGTGAACTTTGATGTGCACAATGCATGGAATTAAAGCAAGAAGAAAGGGTGCAAGCCAGATGACAATAATTCTGTGATCAAAAAGCACCCCTAAAAATGCTTTACACTCCAAAATACAGATACACCATTCAGGATGTCCTTTCTATTACAGTACACTCAAAAAATGGCATATTGAGGGTGTCCCTTTGACACAGCAACAATAGTCCTTCAACTTGCTCCCCAGTTACACCCCCAGCTGCACCCTTATCGGTGCATTTTCCTCATGCAGCAATACCTGTCACCCTGTTTGTGGCCTGCCCGCTAATTGTGACCTGGAAGGTCTAGCCGCTAGAGGCTAAAGTAACAAAAAGCATGAAAGCCAAATGATAATTATTGCTGTGCAACCAAAAAAAAAGCCGCTCAAAATGGTGCAACACTGCTTTTACCCTATAAATATTGATGCACTCTTTGAAGAGTATCTCTTTCACACGGCTTTCAGGTGTCCCCTTTCCAAACAGCTCGATGCTTTCAAATTTACAATAAAGAATGTTATCCTACGCTGATGGCGCATGCACCGCAAGTCAGCTGAAAACACCGCGAGTGTGGCATTAAATTGAGGAAGGACACACAAGTTAGGTAAGAATCGTTGATTTGATTTTATATGTGGGGTTTAACGTCCCCAAACCACCATATGATTATGAGAGGCGCCGTAGTGGAGGGCTCCGGAAATTTCGACCACCTGGGGTTCTTTAATGTGCACCCAAATCTGAGCACACGAGCCTACAACATTTCCGCCTCCATCGGAAATGCAGCCGCCGCAGCCGGGATTCGAACCCGCGACCTGCGGGTCAGCAGCCGAGTACCTTAGCCACTATACCACCGCGGCGAAGCAGGTAAGAATCGTTGTTAAACAGAGACACCCATAAGGGTGTCTTTTAATCGGCTTACAGCGAATCGTTGGAAGAACTATTTTATTTTTCTACAACAAGCAAGTTACCCTTTCACAATACTAAAATCACTATGCTTGACACAAGAATGCACGTGGTAAGCGAAAAAGAACGTGTGAAAAAAAAACGTAGCTGGCAACACCACATTGAAAATTCTGCAAAAATCACCATAATGACATTATAAATTTAAACAGCGTCTGCTGGTACCTACATAGACCCTAATTGATAAAAGTGAAAGGCGTCGCCTTCAGGAAGGAAAAAAGAGTGGTGCAGAGACTCTGCATACCAAGTTTTCGAAAATTTCCTCAAACCAATGCTGACAAAATATGAAAAATACACTTTGAAATACGCGATATTATGTGCAGGGATCAAGGCATGAAATCTAGACACGAATCGTTTACCTCCATTTTTTCTTCTATAACTAAAGCTATGACAATGAACTCGACAATATTCCAGCTGTCAGAATACAATTTTAAAACCTATATCGATTCCTCAACAAACTTTAGTGTATCTAAGCCATGTAGTTTAAATCATGCCATGCAAAAAAAAAAAAAACGCTAAAATAAGTGACTCACTCACAGGGTCATCCTGTAGCAAGCCTTGAACAGCACAGAGATGATGTGCGTCCGGACCTTCCTGGTGATTGGCCGCTTTCTCTGCAGGAAGAGGTCGCACCAGCCACCGAAGGAAGGAGGCAGCACAAACTTGAGATGGTCTTTTTTGTCCCGCGTTACTGCGGGAGTGATATCCACACAAGCTTCCGTGATCATGGATGGCTGCATGGCACACCATGCGTCTTGCGTTCGTGTGACGTTCCTGCACAGCACAAGAACAAACTGTCGATAAGAGAGCAGCAAAACTAGGAGGATGCTTAAACTTTGACTCCGAAAGTAAAACACGATAGAGCAGCTAGGTCTCGTCAACGTCGGCATCTCAATCGCTAGCCTGGCTTGATTTGTTGGTGCACACCTCAACTGTGTCGCAAGAAAAAAATGAATGAGTGTGTCGTCCATTTCAAACTACACAGGAGTATGGTTTGTTGATTTTAGGTCGCGGGATCGAATCCTGGCTGCAGCGGTTGCATTTCCGATGGAGGCGGAAATGTTGTAGGCCCGTGTGCTCAGATTTGGGTGCACGTTAAAGAACCCCAGGTGGTCGAAATTTCTGGAGCCCTCCACTACGGTGTCTCTCATAATCATAGGGTGGTTTTGGAACGTTAAACCCCACATATCTATCTATCTTTGTTGATTTTAAACTATACATAACGCCTGCTCCTCACAAGTTGATGTAGTACCCACTATGCGTCCATAAGGCTCGGTATGCTTTATTGATGCTGTTGCTGATAATCAAGTGTACCTTAGCGATTTGTATTTGGTGAAACTAAACTACCATAGGTTGCACAATCATAACACCTAATGGCATTTCACACCTCCGCCACGCAATATTCGATTCATTAAGAGGGTAGGATGGGGCAAATAGGTCATCTTGGTGTAAACTTTATATTGCACAAATTTTTTCATATCTTATTCTGAAATTTTGCATGCAATAAGAAAAAAAGTCTTGTTACTGTTTCGTATTTAAGGAGCACGGACATTAAATTCACTCATGCCAAGATTTTTGCGTCAACGAGTAGCTATAGACTCCGTACCAGCGATTCGTGACGTAAAGTGCAACTGAGGAATGTATATCACTTTCATTGATTCATATCACTGGTATTTAGCACGACTCAAAACAGCCGGCAATCCCGCCATTTCAAGCGCTGGGAGCCCTACCAGTGGCGTGACCTCACGGCCACCTCCAGGTCGCGCCACAGCTGACCACTTCTCCACAGAAAAGAGTGACGTCAGGCTCAGCTGCTCCGCAAACATTTCGTCTGCTAGGCGGAAACATTCAGACATGCCTTGTAACCTGCATTGCTGTCGTCGCCATACAAAGCGTCGATTCGAGTTGAATACCCGAGCCTGGAGCTTGGAATCCCCCGAGATTCACGACGTCGCGAATTATTTTTGCTTCGGTCGACCCTTTACAGAACAGCGACTTCAAAATGGATACCATTCCAAGCAGTACTGAGGAGGTGCCCAAGGATGCCATGTTCGCTCGTGCGTCTCAGTTAGCTATATTGGTGTGTTTTGGCGTGCACGGCATTCAGGTATAGGCAAAGGGGTCAATAGAATCTCGCTATCGGGAAGGAGCATCAGCAAAAAAATAGAATACGTTCCCTGCTTGCCAGGTTCTTCTTTGCGCCTCCAGATGGCCCCACCTATCCAATCTGTCGCAGTTGCGGCAGCAGTAACCCAGTATTACGCGGATGCAAAGAAGTCTACAAACGAACTAAAACACTATAACAATACCTGCGTGTTACTTGCTAGCAATGGTATCTTGCCTAAACGCTGTTTCACTTTGATAGCTTGTGGTCGTGTTGGCGTGAAAAGACACACCCATTGCGCTTTTTCCACGCTTAGAACGAGACGAGTGCAACTCACCCGCAACTCGTAACAATTCCCTGACATGCTGATCGACATGCACACTTTTAATCATGCTCTTTTCTTTTGCTATTCCTTTATAGGTGGTTTGCATCTTGGTGTGTTCGCGAAATCATTGAAAGCGGTGCGTCGATGATCAAACGTGACGAGCGAGTGAGTATCCAGGCTTCGGCGCCATTCAGCGCCACGATAAGAACACTCGCATCGTAGACCTCATCGCTACTAGCGCATCGTCACTCGGGATGGTATGTGTGGAAAGTAGTATCAGACCGAACACGTAGCACTAGTGTCCATGTCGCAGGGCACTCCATCTTCATTAAACTCTGGTACGCTGCTTGCCGTTGAAATAAAATAACTACCACACGGTGGATTTGATTCAAATTTGGCCAAGATGATCTGTGCACACCGAGCAATCACAGGAAGGGCACATCTCAATTCTGAAATTTGATGTCAGTGCTTTATTAAGCGAAATTTTATACTAGAGTGTATGTGTAAATGTGTTTTTTCTCGAAAACAAAAAAAAAACTACAAATGCGAAATCTAGCATGCTAATTCCACAGGCTCACACAAATACCTGACAAGAAAAAAAATAATGTGCACACATGTCACGTGCCACAAGACACACTTTCCAATTAATCATTTTTTACATTACATTTTACACAGTTTTTAAAAGGTTAAGTTCGACTATTTGGAATGGATTTAAATATAAAGTGAGAAACCTTTAGCGCAATTGTTTTTCAGATAGTTTTCCAAACAAAGCACATCAAATTTGGACAATTTTCAAAAACAAGCACATGAGAAAAATGTGTCTATATGTTTTTAAACACACATGAGTAGTGTTCACAACATAAAACCAATGAATACACTACAAAAGCATGGGCTTTGTAAATTTGCAATTTGCTCATGAAAATGACAGAAAATGAATATATTTAACCAATCTAGCCATGTTTATTATAAACAATACATACAATCAGAAATTATGAAAGAAAGCAAGTAAACAAGGCCTACTATTTGTTATGAGGCATGGTTTCTCACACCATTTCTAATTAGCTTTGAGTGCTCCTCCGCAATTGCCGTTGCACGATTTCTCTCTTCAGAGTGTGCATCATTCTTTAGTAATGAAATAAAAAAAAACGCTTTTTTGGCAATCTGCCAAAACATACTTCTTAAGGAGACTCCGTACAGCACAGAGCATTTGTACAGGGCTTTTTTTTTTTTTTTTTGAAACAGATTCACGCACCAGCATACCTCTGTTGCGGACCATCTGCTTGCCACACTGCTTGTCTTTGGTATGATTACTACACAAACAGAAAATTTTTATAACCCATTTGCACCTATCTAAATCTATTTGCTCACAATCGATAGAACTGACGCCAGGATATCTGTGAAATGAGCTCTCCTCCAATGGTATCGTGTTTGAAATGAGATGGAATGCTACTCTGACGTAAAGGTTTTTGAGTAATCGATTCCCGAGTTAAGAGGTTAGGTTTTACATACAACGCTCCAAGTGCACGACCTTTATGGCAGAACTCCAATTGTACTCACGCTGCCGTGCACCCAGGACTGCCACAACCGCCAAATGGCACGGTCTGGACAGCAGCGTCTGAGCAGCGCACAGTCTCACTAGGAATTTCGACGACGCTGTGAAAAAAAGTCAGCAGAGAAAAATGTTTTCTTTTACCGTGGAGGCAGAACATTGCGCCACAGAGCATGAGCATTGCCATTCTACAGCAGCAGTGTAGAAAGAAAATGAGGCCTCAGCCAAAGCACTTCGTCTTTCTTTAGAGTGACCGGGACATCGACCTATAAGTGGCAGAAAATATTATCAATGCACATAATCAAGAATGCAATTCATGTCTGCATCTAATACAGTAGCTAGCAGAAGACACGGGCAGACAGTACAGCTGAACGAGCAACTGCAGAGCCATGTATACAAGGTACACTTGTTTCTTAATGCAGGCTCTCTTGTAACTCTAGTGAATGAAATTTCAAACATATGGGCAGCATGTCTTCCATTAGCGGTCTACACGAAATAAGCGATCACAAAATAATTCATGCAGTTTTTTCTTTTTCCCCTGTCAAACATTATACTGATTGCAAAACAACCCGCTTATACGTTAAAGGAGGCTATGTTGCTATGAATAGCGAATTAGAAGCATTCTACGAATCATTCGTATCGGGCTTTGAAAATTGCTCGATGAAACAAAACTGGTCGCTCTTCCAAAACAAGCTGTCTAATCTTGTTACGCAACATATACCAACAGCCGTACTCCGGCCAAATTGCAACCAACCATGGTTCACCAACACATTAAAAAAACTTGAAAACAAAAAGAAATGGTTGTTTCTCTGAGCTAAACTTCGGCCAAACCTCAACTCCTGAGATACGAAGCTGAACGCACCTACTTCGTCTCTATTCAACAACACGAATATTCATTTTCTCATTCAGATCTACCTCGCATGCTTAATAGCAACCCACGAAAATTCTGGCATGTCATCAACCCCAATTCATCCTCTGGTATCACAATTTCTAAAGACTGTGAAGTTTTATCCGACATAGATTACCAATGTGTTTAACTCCGGTTTCGCATCTGTTTTCACAATTGAACCGCCCATGCCTTGCCCTGCATATTCTGTTCCTGCGTTGCCTTCAATGCCTGATGTAAATTTTTCACCAGTCGGAATATCTGCACTGATTGACAAACACAAATTATTTTCATCAGCCGGTGTTAATGAAGTCACTTTGAAGTTATTGAAAAACACTAAGTGCATATCTCCCATGTACCTAACTCTGCTGTTCTCGCAATCATTATCATCAGGTACCCTTCCAGACGAGTGGAAAAAGAGCAAGGTCGTTCCAGTCTACAAATCAGGTAACCGTGAATCACCATTGAACTATTGCCCCATATCCATCACTAGTATACCTTGCAAAATGATGGAACATGTCATATTTTCACAGGTTATCAATTTTCTTGACAGTAATAACATTTTACATCCATCACAACATAGCTTCCGTAAGAACTTATCATGTGAAACCCAACTAGCCTCATTTCTGCACGACCTCCACTCAAACCTTGATCATAACATTGTAACATAACTCATTTTCCTTGACATTGCGAAAGCATTTGATAAAGTATCTCACCAAAAATTAATATCAAAACTTTCTCACTTAAACTTGCAGTCTAACATCTTAAATTGGATAAAAGAATTTCCAAGTAACCGGCCACAATCTGTCATTATTAACAATACTGCTTCTGAATTTCTACCAGTCCCGTCAGGCGTTCCCCAGGGCTTCGTTTTAGGTCCGCTGTTTATTTTAATATACATAAACGATATACCAACCCATGTATCATCTAACATAGGATTGTTTGCAGATGACTGCGTCCTTTATCGATCTATCATTAACAATCACGACCGCATCTCATTGCAGGATGACATAAATAACATTAAAAACTGGTGTGATCAGTGGATGGTGGTCTTGAATACAAATAAATGTAAGTCCATGTCGATTTCTCGCAAGACATAATCGTAATCACATTGCTTTCGCAATTGACGACACCCCCATCGACCATGTCAACTCATATAAGTACCTAGACATTACAATTACACATGATCTCAACTGGTGCTCCCATGCGACTAACATATCTTCATCTGCAAACAAAACTTTAGAATTTCTCAAACGTAACTTTTTGCAGTGCTCCTCAACCCATAAAACTACTCGCATATAAAACAGTGGTACGGCCCAAGCTTGAATATGCATCGCCCATATGGAATCCTCATCAGAACTACCTCAACGACGCCATAGAGTCCATGCAGAGTCGCGGAGTTAGGTATATTCATTCATCATTCCCATACGACATCAGTGTTTCATCTTTAAAAGCAGATTCTGGATTGGAATCTATGGCTCACCGCCGCTGTATCGCGAGCTTATCGTTACATCACAAGTTCTACAACAGTTCACTTCATCGCGCACCTTACATTTCACCTCCTTCACGCATTTCAGTGCGCATTGGCCATTCATATAACGTTGCTCGCCCGATTGCGCGCACTGTCGCTTGCTCGTCATCATTTTTTCTGTGCACAGTCAAAGACTAGAACGGCCTCCCTCACCACATCACTTTTATCGCCACTTCAACTGCCTTCACGGCCACATCAACAAGATTATTTTGTGAACAGTCTCTGTAATTTTTTTTCCTGTTTGTGTTCTATACCCCACCCCTTATGTAACACCCCTGCGGGGTCTTTAAGGTAAAATGAATGAATGAACGAATATGGTCAGCTCACAACACTGGTTCAGGTGTCTCCATGGAACCACTGCTGGCTTCTTGAATTTCAGCTTCACATGCTTGCACCGAAACTTCCCTTTGTTCTTTGACCAAAGGTAGCTCTGTTAAAGGACTGCAAATTTCAAAAGAAATTTTTCATTTACAGAATTAAAAGGCCCGTTCTGCAAAATAAACTGCAGAGTGACAGACAGCAAGTGCACTTTTTTTTCACATAACGTATGACAATATTCAACTGCTTCACAGAAATAGCTTGACAGCCAGCCCTCACCTTTTTCACATGCATCCAAGTACTAAGGTCACTGGATACCTATGTAAACACACTTCATGTGTTTGAACAATTAATCTCGCAGGTAAGGACGCATTGTAAGCTGTACTTAAATCACAAGACTGAAAAAGGCTTTGATTAATCTTGCCAAAGGTGATGATTAGACAGAATTCCTGCACATGGGATCTGAAGAGCTGCAGAGGAAATGTTTAAAATATTTGAAAAAAACTAAATGTCACTACATTTACACTGAACCAAGCACAGTAGATAGTACCCCATCGGCTTACTTAAGAAAACTTATTTCCCCACACAAGCGGCGGCATGACGTCTTTCCATGCAAGACAATGACCCTTAAATTAAACACTGTGTAAAACATATTTGTTGCGTCATTAGTGACCAGAATATTCAAAAATATTTGAAGAAGACGTCTGTCTACATTTGCTGTTTAGCTCGGTTTTAGCATTGCAATAGCAGCTGCACGTGTAGCTTCCCAAGAAACTTCCGATCGCTTCAGTTACCGCTCTTAATGTCGAAGCAAAAAGCTAGTTTTTTTATGTTATGGTAGAGTAGTTTTGTTTTGCTTTCAGGTAAAAGGAAGGCACCTGAAGTGAAGGACTAGATTTTATAATGCTGTGTGGAGCCTAGAAGGGAATATATTTGAAATATATGGCGAATCACAGAGAGAAAAGCATCAAAAATGAGCGGGCTAAGGCTCTTTTTGATTCCCCGCCCATGCTAACTAGGCTGCGTCGGTGCACAAAACTCGAAGCCGTCCAGGACCCATGCTTGTCAACAGCCAAAAGGTCTATATAGGGCATCATGACTCAGCAGTATGTTGGATAAAAATAGCTGACGTGAAACAATACTAACAGATTTTGCAGACAAGGGGGTGCAACACTCCGACCAGCAGTAGCCACAGCTGGATTGCACAGCGCTGAAGCCTTCCTTGAGATGACGCGTAGTTTTGCTTTGTTAGGAATTTTCTCTCCAGGTACAAGGTCCACGAAATCGTCCAGATCAGTGTCAAACATCTGGACCTGTATGAGATGCAGGATTTTATTGAAAAAGAAAGGAAGTTCTAAAGCAAGGATATGTCATGATTCACACGACGTGCTATTACCACACATTATCATCAGTGAGCTGTCGAATCCCTCGCACTACACTTGAACCTGGCTATACATAAGACTGAAATAGTGAATTGTCAGTAATAATACAATAAATGCAAACTCCCTAGGGAAAGCTTTTTTCAACGACATTTTCATACCCAAACGAAAAGTGCTAGTGCTGCAGCAATACCAGCTGTAATAAAGAAACATTTGGGTTGCATGAGGTTCAAAACTCAAACAGTGGCATAAATAGTGAAATAATTATTGAAGAACAATGTCCTTGCAATACTGAAAATTTGGCTGAGAAGATAGTCACATTCTGCTTCAAATATTGTTCCACCCCTGACATACTCTAATATAAGAGACACTAGTGTGCATACATAGATGCAGGGATTGATCAGGAAATGGGAATGCAATACCAGGCTTATAAGAGAACCCGTATATAAGGGACAAAAACTGCTCCGTCATGTGTCTCTAATAAAGGGATTCCGTCACATGAACTTAGTACTGTTATTATTTCACCATACCATGTCTAAGTCTGTTTAGTCTGAAAGGCCGCAAGCAGAGAGGAATAAGCTACATCATTCAGATTGGGCTTGAAACCGAGAATAATTCGATGTTGTATTTGGGATATCCCCATGACACAAACTGCCAATCAGTTATTGGCATTTTGTATCGCTACTGTTACAACTACCACATATAAAAAACTTATGGCCCCCACGATATCAAGTTCGAATACTTCTACTACACTCTAATAACAGTTGCACCGTTTCGTAGGCATATTTTTGCCCCAGAACAGCCGTCATCCATCTTTTGTGTCTCTTGTTGGTTTACAAATGTGTCTCTGACACATCTAGTTTTCAAACCACATGTGCACTATAAGTAAGCATGACATGAAATTCTCGATGGGAAAGTAGTGAGCAAGTAGCTTCCAGGAAAGAAAACATAAGTACTCGACGTAGCAACTATTGTTTTGTAGAGCAAAGATACCTATATATAAGGAGCTTTCAGCAGCGAAGCTGAAACATGCACTTCCATAGTTTATCGCGAGCTGGGATATATCGAAGTGTCTTCTGTTGTAGCCTTTGGTTTCTCTGTCGCCCATTGAAGGGATGCAAGCTTCAAACATGGAGTTTGGCGATGTTAGCTTGAACATTACAAGCACCAAAAGGTTATTATTTTTTATGGGCAGCTGCGACTGACGCTACAATTCCTAGCTATACATTCAGATAAAACTCGAAAAGAAATTGATGGAAGCACAGAAAATTTTCGACGTTACGCATGCTATAGCAGTTTCTGCACACTGATGGACACGACATCGAGGAAGATCTGGGCCTAGGTCCCCAAAAACTCTGTAGGACAATGCGATACTCATATAACCAAGCAACCAACACACTGTACGTGACTGTGCCAGCAAGCACTCGTATATCTACCTTCCCACTCGGAAAACCTTTAGCATGTGTACACAGTTCCTGGGCTAAATTGCTGAACATGACTGCATTCCCTACTTCCATAACAACAAAACTGTTGTCACATTCGCTGGAGTAATCTTTAAAACGGGCATGGTTCACTGTGCGCACAACACGGTGCCTCATTTAAAACAACAAACAACAAAGCACTTGATGGTCAGGCATACAGGAAGAACGCAACGAAAGTGACAACTTTTAACAAGTGCAGATTAAGAATGCGGTTACTTAATTAATTTTGCTCGAGAAGCGTCAGACTAGAGAACATTGATCTTGCGTGTCAGCGAAATTAAATCTCTCGAAAAACTTCAGAATGGGGGAAGGGGGGAGACAGACACAGGGCAAGAAAGAGAGTCTTGAAGAAAAACACACACACACTTGCTAAAAGTTAGCGCTAACGTTGTGTCCGTTCTGCGTCGTCACCTAAATGTACAAACGTTACGAGCAATTAAAAAGAACGCTGTTAGTATTTCCTTAAGTACACATTGTGTTTGTGGGCTCCAAGCGGTGAATTCACTTTTACGCATTCTCGACAAGGAGCGTATCGGATCGTTCAAAGTAACACCCAAAAGAGGGAGTAAAATGCACATCGGCAGTGGAGAGACCATCGGCTCTTGCATACTCCTCATTTCCAAACACAGGATGCCGTGCGGCAGCACGCATGCTGCATGCAGTTCACTTTAGCTCATTTTAACTGGGACAAACTACGTGTCACAACGTGCGGGTCATGCAGGGGGGTGCAAGAAAAAAAAATCTACCAGGGTGTTTTTGTGATCGACATCCACGATTTCGGTCAGTTTCTCCACCAACTCGGAGTAGGCTCCCGTAGCCAGCTTCAGCTTTCGCCGGTTGCCGCTTTGAAATATGACGAGGCAGAACACGTATCCCATTTCGGCTACAGGAACAACGCGATGGAAGCACTGCGCGAATCACCCAACAGCGCACCAAATCAACACGTTCATACACGAGCAGCCAGCGCGGGAAAGCCAGGAAAGCAAGTGGAAATAGTGAATACTCGGTGGTCAAATCACAGAACACATTGTCAAAATGTTCAAGCTATTATAGTGGCGGGGTTATGGACAAAGGGGTAGACACGGTATGCAGTGCGCGTGGAGAAGAGTTTTCTAAAGCACTGGGGTTTAGGAACAGGAAGGGCAAAATAGGCTTTAATCGGGTAGAAATAACTAGAAGAAGGTCGTCTGATTGGTGGCTAAAATCAAGGCACGAGTGAAAGTTAAATTTTTTTACTGCAAAGTACCAGTCCTCAACTTTACTATTTAAAGAAAATTAAAAAAAAAGATAAATCTAGTTTTTGGTTTTCTAAGTATTACGGCTAGGTAGCGTTAGCCGCCACTCAATCTCATGACCTACTGTATTTTACTGACCTGCCCAGCAAACGAAGCGCCAACGCGCCCTTTCTAGTATTGGCGCCTGCCGCTATGCGCCCTGTGGCGCTGCAACTTACCTCATTCACACCAGTTGCTGGCGGCCGAAACATGGGCCGCCGCGCTTTTAAATGCGAAGCATTTCTTACTATCTATCTATCTATCTATCTATCTATCTATCTATCTATCTATCTATCTATCTATCTATCTATCTATCTATCTATCTATCTATCTATCTATCTATCTATCTATCTATCTATTGATCTATCTATGTATCTATCTATCTATCTATCTATCTTGTAGTGACAAAAATACGGGCTTGCTAGAGACGATGAAGAAGACGTTTGTTATAGCAGAGTGCAAAAAAATTCCAACATACACAAGAGCATTATTTAACCATACTGATTCCTATTCAATGTAATGAATAATTGTCTTATCTGAACGAGTGACAAGCAACTATTGCACTCCTTTCATTCTGCCTAGGGTGTCTGTTCTTTTTTCTTTCTTTTTTCTGGTGGGTGGTTTCGATATTTAAAAAAAATCTTACTGAATTAAGTCATCGATTCTTGGCCTATCCCCCTGAGTGGGTCATCATCATCACCTCATCATCATCATCATCATCATCATCATCATCATCAGAGGCTCGTGCTGCTGCAGCTGCTGCTGAAACCGCTGGCTGCTGTCTCGCTGCTGTTCGGCCCATTAAACGATTGCATCACCCTGGCGTGGCGTCTAACAGTATTCTTACATTTGGTGGAGGTGCTGGTTGTCTCAAACTGGAACTCCGTTCCCGGACTCTACCTCAACCCCCCGCCTCGCCAATGCCTGACGACATGACCCAGCCACCTGCAGTCATAATCCCATCTGTCACCTGTTTCGGAATGCCACGACAGCGAGATACAGTGATTTTCAACGCGACCGACGACCAAGACGCCGAAGACTGGCTGTCCCAGTATGAACCGGTAAGCGCCCACAATAAGTGGGATGACACAGATAAGCTCGCTTACCTTCATTTCTATCTGGCGGGTGTGGCAGAACTGTGATTTAACAACCACAAAGCGGAAATACCCTCTTGGTCAACCTTCAAGACGCGCTTTGCAGAAGTCTTTGGCCGACCCGCTGTTCGCAAGCTCCGCGCCGAACTGCGCTTGCGCGGCCGCGCACAGCGCTCTGGCGAGACCTTTACCTCGTATATTGAGGATATTCTGGACCTCTGCCGTCGTATCGATTCCCACATGTCTGGCACTGACAAAATACGGCACATCATGAAAAGTATCGAGGACGACGCCTTCCACGTGGTCGTTGCATAAAACCCGCAAACCGTCGCCCAGCTTATTCAGCACTGTCAGAGTTTCGACGAGCTGCGGAGAGAGCGCATTTCTACTCGACGTCCAAACCTCGACACGAGCTCTACTACATCTGCGTTAACCATTGGCGCTGTTTCATCCCAACAAAGCACCTTAATGCAGCAAATTCAGCAGTTCGTCCGAGAAGAAGTGGCGCGCCAATTGTCTCTTGTGCTGCACGTTCCGGCCAGTGCGCACACGCTGACCCCAACGCTCCGCAGGACAATCGAAGAGCAAGTTTCTGATGCCCTGTCTCCTACATACCATCCTTCGCCTATCTCCGCCCCTCTCACTTACGCTGAGGCCGCCAGACGATCGCCGCCATCGCTACCAAACGCCACGGATCTTGCTAAACAGCCCCGTCCCATCTACGCAGCAAGTCCCCCGTCGAAGAGCAAGTTTCTGATGCCCTGTCTCCTACATACCATCCTTCGCCTATCTCCGCCCCTCTCACTTACGCTGAGGCCACCAGACGATCGCCGCCGTCGCTACCAAACGCCACGGATCTTGCTAAACAGCCCCGTCCCATCTACGCAGCAAGTCCCCCTGTCCGTCCCCACCCACCTCCTGTTCGCCACCCCGCACTATATACCATCAACTAACCCTTGCCGCACTCCGGACAACAGGCCGATTTGCAATTTCTGCTATCTTCCCGGTCATGTAGCACGCTACTGCTGTCGTCAGGATTATAACCCAACTGCTGGTGAGGCGACTTAAGGCTATCGTCCAGAGCCACCACAGTCGTCTTCGTTCCCCCCCACGTCGGAACAGTCGCCGCGGCTTCGACAGGGATCGGTCGCCCTCACCACGGCGCCGTTAGATTTCTCCTATGCTTCCTCGATCAGCACCCACCCAAACGGAAAACTGACCATCGCCGTTCCCGAGACAAGAGCTGCGCACATATATCGAAACTTTCAAGGCCTCCGTTTCTACCTGCTAATGAAATAACTGTGCATATTGATGGTGTACCGGTGCAAGCGCTCGTTGATACTGGTGCTGCCGTGTCTGTGCCAAGTGGTGGACTGTGCCGCAAGTTGAAGAAGCTTATGCTGCCACTTTCCGATGTCTCTCTCCGCACGGCCACTGCGCATCACATCCAACCTTCTGCGGCGTGCATAGCTTGACTGGTCATCCAAAATATTTCGTATGTAGTCGAATTCGTTGTGTTTTCCCCATGTTCGCATGATATCATCTTAGACTGGGACTTCCTCTGCGCTGATCATGCCGTCGTTCACTGTGCGCGTGCCAGACTAGAGTTGTCGACGATGTCTGAACTGCCCCTGTGTGAAGCGCCGACGTCTGAAATACCTTTCAAGCCGCTATCTTCCCGAGTCACCGTGGCCGCGGACACTCACATTCCTCCTCTATCCTATGTTCTTGTGCCACTCTTCTGCGACGATGTGCCCTCTGTCAACGCCCTCTTTTACCCCTCCAACGCCTTTGGCTCTCGCAAAAGCTTCCTTCTCTCGTTCGCAGTTGTCACCGTAGAAAACTCCCGTGGCTTCATTTATACAACGAACTCGCTTCCTTCCCCAGCCATATTATTCCGTGGCGAAGTCCTCGGTCACCTTGAGGAAATTGGTTCTGTTTCGTCCAATCACCTACATGACGACTTGCCATTATCTCACTTAAACACCATTACCTCTGATACCACTCCCACTTCATCTCCGGAGGCTTTTTTCCCATCGATTAACCCTAAACTTCCCGCTGCTCAGCGCACCCAACTCCTAGCTCTACTAGATCGCTTCAATATGTCATTTGACCATAGCCAACCTTCTTTGGGTCGCACATCTGCAATCGTTCACCAAATCAACACCGTTAGCTATGCATCTTTGCACCAGCGCCCATATCAAGTTTCTCACGCTGAACGCCGTGCCATTTATGATCAGGTGAATGATATGCTTCGACGTGGCGTAATACAACCTTCAAACAGTCCTTGGGCCTCTCCTGTTGTACTGGTGAAAAATAAGGATGGTAGCATCAGATTTTGCGTTGATTACAGGCGTCTTAATAAGATCACGAGAAAAGATGTTTATCCGCTGCCAAGAATCGATGACGCCCTCGATTGCCTACAAGGAGTTCTTTTCTTCTTTAGACCTTCGATCGGGCTACTGGCAAGTTTCTATGAATGAAGCCGACCGCCCCAAGACAGCGTTTGTAACGCCTGACGGATTGTATGAATTTAACGTGATGCCATTCGGCCTCTGTGATGCGCCTGCCACCTTCGATCGTCTCATGGACAACATCCTTAGAGGGTTTAAATGGAACACATGCCTGTGCTATTTGGATGACGTCGTCGTTTTCTCGAAGGACTTCGACTCCCACCTCAGCCGCCTCGCAAGCGTCCTGACTTGTCTTTCGGACGCTGGACTGCAGCTGAATTTGAAGAAATGCCACTTTGCTGCCCGCCAGCTTACCATATTAGGGCATGTTGTTAGCAAGCATGGTGTTCGTCCTGATCCAGCCAAGCTTAGCGCTGTCGCCGACTTTCCCAGGCCAGCAGCTACACAAAAGAACTCCGTAGCTTCATCGGCCTCTGCTCATACTTTCGCCGTTTCGTGCGCAATTTCGCCACCATAATCGCACCCCTGATGCAGCTACTTGCCGACAACCAAGACATCTCAACGTGGTCTGCAGTATGCGATGAAGCATTCGCCTAGTTACGGCATCTTCTGACATCACCACATATCTTACGCCACTTTGATCCAGACGCTCCAACCAAAATCTATATGGACGCTAGTGGAGTAGGCCTCGGTGCTAATCTTGCTCAGCGCAAATCTGGCTTCGATGAGTACGTTATATCTTACGTTAGTCGCACCGTTACTAAAGCGGAAAAGAACTATTCAGTCACCGAGAAAGAATGCCTTGCAATTGTTTGCGCAATCACTAAATTCTGACCTTACGTATTTGGCCGCCCATTTGACGTCGTGACTAATCACCACGCATTGTGTTGGTTGTCGTCATTAAAAGACCCATCTGGTCGCCTAGCTCACTGGGTACTACGTCTCCAAGATTACGACATTCGTGTAATTTATCGGTCAGGCCGCAAGCATTCGGACGCTGACGCTCTTTCTCGCTCGCCACTTCCCCACGATTATGTTACAGCGTCTGTTTCCCGCTGTGAATGTTCTTCACTTGAACATGTCGACATGTCCTCTGAGCAACACCAGGATCCATAGATAGCGTCTCTCTTAGAGTACCTGTCTCAGACGTCTCCAAGTACCGACAACCGTTT